CTAGAGGCTATCTCGGAGCGTCGGAGGCCGTCTTGGAGCCACGGGGCAGCGTTGGAACGTCGCGAGGTCCTCTGGGGGCTCTGTTGGGGCATCTTGGGGCTCTATGGGGGGTATTGGGTCTTCTCTTGGCTTTTCTGGTGCGTCCTGGGGCCTTCTTGGGGCCTCGCTCGGGTCCCGCTCGGAGCTTTCTCGGGCCCCCCCCCCCGGGGGCTTCCGGGCGCCTCCGGGCGCCCCTGATTTAGGCACCCCCTTGCGAGCCCTCGAAGTCGCTTCTGGGGGCCTCCTGGGGCGCTCGCGGGGCGACATTGGGCGCTCTCGGGGCCGTCGGGGGCCCCTCCCAGTGCTCTCCTGGGCCATCTCGGGGCCGCCGTGACGCTTCGACAACGCGTCGGATGCGAAAGGAGGCGAAGGCAAAAGCCATTGATGTTGCTCAGGTCTTGGAAGGACATTGGTTCCCCCTGGGAGGTCCTAGACACTGTCCAGTAGCATTTGGGGCCGTCTTGCCTCCTGGGGCCTCGTGGAGACATGCTGATAGCTATCTTGAACCACGTAGAGCTAACTTAAGCGATCTTCGAGGCCGCTTCAGGGTTTCCGAGGCCCTCTCGGAGCCACCTCGGGCTACCTTGGACGCCCCGGCACTTCGCGACCCCGCCCCCCCGCCCCCGTCCAGCATCAAGGGGAACAGTAGTTGCGCTGGCAGAGGGGAAAGATTTCTCGCCAAACCGCCTGCGCCCTGAGGGCTGGCGGGACTACTCGAGTTCGAGAGACCAGAGAGAGCGCGCACTTGGCAGCTTGTATCCTTCGCCAGCGAGCAGGCCGTTTCTCTCCTGAAGGCCATGCTCAGCATCTCTCTCGGCTGTCCACGATCAGCCGCGCCGAGTCGAGCAAGCGCGCGCGTGGCCAGGCCGGCCTTGACGTTGTGGCCCAAGGCCGCCAGATTCATAGATGGGGGCACCTGCGCGCGCACTGCTCGCCGCGGCTTTCGCCAGCAGGTTGGGGGGGGGCGCTAGAGAGGATTCTGGGGAAGAGAGGGGGGAGCTGATGAATGATTGTGACCTTGAGCTACTGCTGGACGCCGAGCTAGCCGAGGTCTGGCGTCTCGTTCAGGCGTGGGCCACTCGGACTCGCAGAATGGCGCTTGCTGGGCCTGGCTCTGCCGATGGGCAGTACTTTCTGCTTTTGGAGGCTAGTGCTGATGCGTTCCGACATCGTAGGTCGCAAGTCCATGGCGCTGTAGACGCCTCTCGCAAGGGCGCCGCCGAGTTGGCCCCGTTCAATCGGCTTGTCCACCCCGCGGTCGGACTGCTGCTGACCTCGATGGGCAATGCGATTCTGCATGGGATTTTGGAGGCAAAGTTTCGATTAACGCGTTTTTTGTTTGTTTTTTTTTTCCCCCCCCCCGATGGGTGCCGCCATTCCCGGGCAGGCGCCCCGCTCTCAGAGGATCTCAGCAACGGGCCGCGGGTTTCAGGCCCGAAGGTCCGCAGCAAGGGGGGTCGCTGAGCTCCTGGCGCGCCTTTGCACGCACATGGCAGAGCATTTGCGTTCAAGGTCCCTGCGCAGGGCCAACTGCTAAGTATTTCAAGTGCTGCCTCTTCATCCGCTCGCTGGCTGGAGGCCGTCGCCTATCCCTGATGTCTCCCGAACCCCTTATCGCGATCTCTGTCCTTGCGTTCGCCGCCGCCTCTTTCTTCGCCATCCCTGGGGTCGCCGACGATGCGTGCCGCGGTGGCCTCCATGTTCCGAATTCCTGCCCGCGCAACGCGATCCCGAATTCAGTCTCGTTGCAGTTGAAAGGCATTTATCCCCGGAGCTATAGCACGAGGTCTTTCTGGCGCGCAGGGCGAGCTGCACGTCGCAGCAGTGCTACCAGGTCGCCGAAATTCTGGGAATGTAAATTGGAGACGGAGGAGGTTCTTGCAGGAGATCATATGTTCCTGTGGTGGCGCTGGAATAAGTTTCGTCGGCCAGCTCATCTGAGGCAGATGATCGACCTGGCTGGTCGGCGCCGGCACCTCTCTGTTCGAATTAGACCACTGGACAAGAGGTATCCTGGAAGTCCCCAAAATCCAAAGTGAGCTGAAACAGGTTTTCGTTCTGGATGTGTTACCGATTGGAACCCAGAGGCCGCGGCTGCTCAGATCTCGATGGCCGTCCTCCGCGCGCGCTGGGTCGCACATATCATTCTTGCATCTGGCTTAGCATATTGCGGTGAGTGTGCGAAGCGATGAATACAATTCCGTCGTTTTCGTCACCCGTGTAGGACTTGTCGTATCGACGCGGTGGAAGTGCTGATGTTCTACACTACTTCGTTTGTGCTCGTGTTGTTCCTGTCGTGTGGCGCCCCTTCCCTCGCTTCCCGAGTGGCGGGGCCTTCGCGGCCCTGGCGGGAGCTCCGGTTTTCGCCCCTTCGAGAAGTTGCTTGGTCAGGCGAGTCCCATTGTATTGTTGTCGCTGTCGGTTTGCTCTGATCTTGTTTCAACAATTCATGTGTTCGGTCTCTTTTTGTTCGCGCCCCCTCGGAGTGAAGTTCCCTAAGGGCAGAGTTCGCCTGTGCGCGATGCGGCGCGCGGGAGCGCGGGCTTTTGCGCGCTGTTCTGGGGCGCCGCCATCGCCGATGGCGCCAACGGGCGCGATTCGGTGTGCGTCAGGGAGCGGGCCTCTCTCTCTCCGCCATCCTTCCCCCGTCCCCTGGCGACATGGGCCTGCGGAGGCGGGCCCGCCTGAGGCCGCCTCGGAGCTTCATGGGGGGGGCGGGGGGGGCGTGAAGTTTACAAGGGCGCCCTCGAGGGCGCGAAGTTGTTCGCGTTTCGCTGTTCGCTGTTTTTCCTCATCCTTTTTTTTCCCCCTGGGAGGCGGCGCGAGAGCGCGTCGCATTTCGCGTTTCGCGCAGCGCGAAGCGCGAAGTTGGGAACTCTTGGTTTAAGGGGGCATAGACTTGTGATGGGCAGAAGTCAGAGGGCGTCGCGAGCCACGGCTCGCCGACGCAGTCTTGCCGTGCTCTTCGCACGCGAGGTTTTCACGGGAAGCCGTCTCAAGGAGCTGCCCATGTGACGTGCGACGGCAGGCCCGGCAGGGGCCACTGCATGCGCGTTGAATTATTTTGGCAGGATAAGTGTCCCGGGTGCGGGGGCGGCCGCGCTGTTCGCCCAGCGGGCTGGATGCTGAACGAGATTTCGTTATTTTTCCGGCGGATCGAGACGCGAAAGCGGCGAGAGCGTCAGCTGCCCCCCGGCCACAGCTGAAGGTTGTGCCTCCGTCCCCGCTGCCCCTGTCAGTTGCGCGCGGGGTCATCGATCATCCCTAGATTGACCCCTGGGAGGCTCGGATGCGATTGTCTTATCTTGCCTCGTCTCCTGCCCCCTCGCTCTCTCTTTCCCCTCCGCACACCGGCATCCCTCTATCCTCGTCCCCTCTGTTCTTCCCCTTCCTCCGCGGTTCCTGGCGCGAAAGGGCGCGGCGATGGGTCAGCTGGAGGGGTGCCTTTTCGCTAGGGGTCGGCGCGCCACGGTCGCCCCGTTCGTCGGCCTGTCTCCTGGTCGCAATCGTTTTCGTTGTTTCTCCCTCCCCCACAAGAACCCCCCCCCGTCGCGCAACAATTATGACGGGGGGGGGCAGGTTTCGGCATGCATGGGGGACTTCGCCGGGCCCTCGACGGTCAAAAGACAACCCAGGATGAGGAGGGGATCAAAAAGGGGGAGTGCGGTATTCCGACAAGCGCCTCTGGCTCTCCTACACCAGCGCAGCCGAGGCGGGCTACGCTGGAGACCCCCTCCAGTACAGCCTCGCCACATTCCTAGGCTACTTGGCCCAGGAGCCCGGCTGTCCTCCCCTTGGCCTGGATGCAGCTGCCCCCTCGTCAGAAAAAGTGGGCCGCGATCGCCGCTCTGGTAGCTGGCGAGACGCTCGCAGGGTCATTTCCCAATGCCCCGCAGGAGGCGCGAATGCGGCTTTGACTTCATATGCCTTCCCCCGCGCAATGAGGACATTTACCAAACCCTCCACAACTACTAACGCGCCCCCACGGCCGCTGGTGCTCCCCCCAGGAGCCCTGCGCCGACTGCCGACGAGCACATGGATGCGGCAAGTGACGTTCCCTTGGGGGGCGGTGTTCCCCCGCCCGCCAGGCCCATGATTGGGCGCCCCGCACTCGATGGCCCGCTCGCAGCGCCTCCAGCACCCCTCCAGTGGATTCGGTCATCGCCGCGCTTCCGCCAAATCTGAAGAGGTCCTCGCCGGGCACGCCTCCCATCGCTGGACGAGGTCAGCTCCCGCCAGGCGCATCCCCACAGCCCCTCTTGGGCAACAAAGGCTCCGCCTCGTGCAGATCCTGCACCCGCCCGCCATCCGCCGCCCGCACCGCCAGCCCAGGCCGCCCCCCTCTCGGGCGCCGCGCCCACGCAGACGCCCACCATCTGCCGCAAACGCCGCCATTGGTGACAAGAGGGCGCGCTACGGCAGCGACGTGCTCGTGGTGGCGCTGGAATCCTACGGGCGGCTCGCTGGCGGCGCATCGCGCTCCGGAGCACATCGCCACGCATGCCGCGGCGTCTTCGCGACCAGTGGGCGGCCCCCAGATTGCCCCCCCGCTGGCGGGCGTGTCTGGAGTGCGCGGTCCACATCGGCGCCGCGGACATCGACCTCCTGGCGCTGGGCTGTGCGCCCACGGCTGAGGAGGCGCGGGTGCTCTACGGCTGGGTGGCCAGCGCTGGGTGGTCAGCGCTTGTATAGTTGCAGTGTGCCGCGTTAAACGGCAGTGTCTGTGCAGGAGAAGGAGCAGGAGGAGGAGGAGGAGGAGGAGGAGGAGGAGGAGGAGGAGGAGGGGGAGCAAAAGGAGCAAAAGGAGCAAAAGGAGCAAAAGGAGCAAAAGGAGCAGGAGGTGGAAGAGGAGGAGGCGGAGTACCGTTGAAGGCCCCGCCGCGCCCACAGTATACAAGGCTGTCAAGGCGTCAAGGCGCTGATTCCCTGAAGCTCCCTGCCTGCCCTCCCGCGGCTGCCCGATGTCCGCTGCCGCGGCGCGGCTGGCGATGTGGTGCTCACGAGCGGCAACCATATCCGCATCCGCGCCCTCGCGGTCTGGATTCTGGGGCGCGATCCCGCGGATGCGCGGTCTCTGCCCGCGGAAAACATCCCCGCGTCCGCGACGTCGCGGCCCCGGGGCCGGGCCCGCGAGGCCTTGGGTGCGGATGTGGTGTGTTGCCCACGAGGCGCGGCTGCGTCGGACACGGGGAACCACAAAAGCACGATCCCGCTGCTCCCCGGACGCATCCCAGGGCGCGCTCGGCCCAGGAGAGCGTGTTGATCAGGCCTGGGCAACGAGTTGCTTGCGTAGAATGTTGTCCCCCCCCCACCCACCCCCACTCCCCCCTCTCCCCCCCGCCGCCCCCCCAGTCTTTGAGCCAGCCTGCTGGGCGGGATAGTACGCACGCAACTCCTGAGTTGCGTGATCACCCGGTTTCCTCGACGGGCTCGCCGGAGAGCCCCCCGACCTCACGAAAGAAGAAGCTGCAAGAAACGCCGAAATCGAGTTAGGCCGCGGCGACGAAGGCCCGAATCAGGCCCCCAGACATAGAGAACGAGAAGAGGGCCTCGACATCGGAACCGAGCTCACACCGCCAATGGCACCAACGACCAAGCTGCCCCCTAATGCATGAATGGATGCACTACCGGCCAGAATTTAGAGGCGGATCGTTCCGTGGCGATGCTTGGACCCCCCGAGGCTCAAGGGCCCAAGGCGCGCCAAATACTTCCGCACAAAATTCAAGAGGCAGTGTTTCTTCAGACCCGGGCACGTCCACTTGCTTGGAGGGGGAGGTGCGGGGGGCATGGCGAGGCCCGAAAAAACATTTGTTCGACCCACTACCTGGGGCCAGCTTTTGTGAACGGCCCGTAATGGCAGAAAAGAAGAACCTGCCCTTCGTGTTTCCCCCCCATACAGTTTGACATGGGAGTTCCTGTTGTTACTCAGACGCCTCCGACTCGGTCAATCCTCCTGTTCTCCTTCTTTTCCTCTCAGGCTCAGCATTCCGACTCACACTCAGACTCGCTCACACTCAGACTCACCCGCGTTCAAAGCCCACTTGCACTCAGACGCGCTCGCACTCAGATTATTCACACTCAGACTCGCTCACACTCAGAGTCGCTCACATCTTGTGGTGATGTCTAAGGCGGTTTGCCTTTTTGGTTGCTAACTTCGCCGCTTCCGGAACAGATCGCGAGGATGTCGCAAGCAAGGCGTTGGCTCAAGCACCCCAGAGGGGAGGCCGCTAGTGAGCAGTGCACGTGACCATTCGCGTTCAGATTGCAGAGGTGTCTCAGGCGGTTTGCTCGTTTGATTGCTTGGATTGCGGAGTCCTTACGGCCGGTGCCGCCGACCTTGAGGGGGGGCGACGACGACAACGGCGACGACGACGACGACGACGCTGACGTGGGCCAGAGTCCTCAAGGATGTTTCTTGGGGTCTTTTCGGAAGGCTCTCGAGGGCCCTTGAGGAGGAGTTGTTGGGCCTCTTGGGAGCCTCCTGGCGGCCTCTTGGGAGCCTTATGGGGGCCTCTTCGGGCTTCCTGGGGACCTCTTGTGGGCCTCTTTGGTGCCTCTTGGGCCCCATTTCGTTTGTCAGACTCTGGAGAGATCTCGGGCGGTTTGCCTCTCTGGTGGCCGTACTCCTATCTGCTTCGTGTGTTGGGGCAAGAAAGGGTTGCCGTGTGCGGGCCAGAGCGGATCGTGAGGATGTCCCGAGCGAGGCGTTGGGAGGACAAGGAGGCGGAAGGAGCGGGTTTGTTTCGTCTTCCTCTTCTTCCTCCTCCTCCTCCTCCTCCTCCTCCTCCCCCTGTTCCTTCTCATCCTCCTCCTTTTCCTCCTCCTCCTCCCTCCTCCTCCTCCTCCTCCTCCTCCTCCTCCTCCTCCTCCTCCCCTCTTCCTCAATGTCTACCTCTTTCTCACCCTCTTCCCCTCTTCATCCCCCCTTCATTCTTGTTTCTAATGAAGAACCCCTTCTCGCGCCCCGAGGCCCGTCGGAGGGGTGGACCAGGCGTTTCGCTTGAGATTTAATTGCAATGTATGTGCCTGAAGCTCCGAACTTGGCAGCAGCATCGTATATGGGGTTTTCATTTTTAACATGTGTCTCTCGCCTCAGCGCCGAGCGCATTTGTTTGAAACGTGTTGAAGAGTTGCACGGAATGAGGACAGGTGCTTCTCGAAATGAGATTCTCGCGTTAACGCCGCGCACATTCGTCTTAAAGAGTTCCAAGAGCTCCACGGATTCAGGACAGATGTTTTTCAAAATGCGGCTCTCGCCTGCGCACCGCGTGCATTCAAATGAAAATTGCAGGAGCTTCACCGAGTGAGGGCGGTTCGTTTTCAAAAGGTGGTTATATTTTGAGCGCCGCGCAATTTTTTTAGGAGGTTGCAAGGGCTTCGCGGAGTGTCGGCGATTTCATTCCAAAAGGTGGCTCTCGCTTGAGCGTCGCGCACATTCGTTTCAAACATGTGCAAGATGTTCACTGACTTGCATAGTTAACGTGCCAGAACTCATGTTTTCGAGCGGTTCAGATCAAGGCGCAACAGTTACGTACGTTGGCTTGCGCTGTTGGAGTCCCAGGAATTGTGCTTTGGCGCGATTCAGGATCGCCAAGACGCTACTGTCAGATTGACTCGTGGCGTTGAAGTCCTGAGAATCGTGTTTTGGCACGCGCGCCCCTTTGTCCTCCCCATCCTCCTCCTCTTCCCTCTCCTCTAGTAGATGGTGAGGGTCTGCCTAGCGAGGCGCTGGCTTCAACACCCCAAAGGGGGGCCGCCAAGACAGATGCAACCCCAGATACTCACAGGCAAACGCTCTCAACGAGACGTGCCTGGGGATGAACTACACCCACTGGGATCGCCGCGTCGAGAAACTGATTGTCAAGGGGGTCTCAGTGCGTACGGTCGTGAACTTTCGGTTATCGTGTCTCTCCGTCGGCTCTGACCCACCGCGCTTCGGCGCGACACGCTATTCACATCCTGGTCCCCAGGCGTCGACGCCCCAAGCTGTCCCCAGCCTCCCGCCTCGCGGAGCGGAGCGACACGCCACCCGCTCGCAGGGCATGGCGTGTCGCTGGGGCCGCCGCCACCACACGCTGAGCTGAGGTGCGTGACCGTATTCCTCTGAGGGCGAGCGCTGCTGCCCCGGCACCGGGGCGCGGGGCCCGCGGCCCGGGTACCGGGGCGCCTTCCCTCCTCTGCGAGCTGACGCACTCATGAGTCACACAGGGATCCACAGAGTATCCCGAGTGCGGGCAATATATAGAAATCCATACCTATACGACCACCCTTCGGGTGATAAGGAGGTTGTGGGGGGGGGAGAGGGGGGGAACCAACATCTGACTCAATCGATCTCACCATCGATCTCACTCAACGGGACACCACGGGACACCACGGGACACTTGTCGATCTTAGTATCGATCTCACTATCGATCTCACTCAACGGGAGACCACGGGCCACCACGGGACACCACGGGACACCGCGGGACACCTCTCGATCTCACTATCGTTCTCACTATCGATCTCACTCAACGGGACACTATAGGACACCTCGGGACACCACATCGATCTCACTATCTCACGATCGATCTCACTATCGATCTCACTTAACGGGACACCATAGGACACCTCAGGACACCACATCGATCTCAGTATCGCTCTCAGTATCGATCTCACTTAACGGGACACCACGAGACACCTCGGGACACCTGCCGATCTCACTATCGAACTCACTCAGCGGGACACCACGGGATTCCACGGGACAACTCGGGGCACCACATCGATCTCAGTATCGCTCTCAGTATCGCTCTCAGTATCGATCTCACTCAACGGGACATAGGCGGGACACTGCGGGCCACCGGACGCCAGAGGAGAAACAATTAGTCCGGCCGCGGCCCAGCCACAGGAGGATTTCGGGACACCAGCGGGACACCGGCGCGACACCGCGGGCCACCGGCCGCCGGAGGAGAAACAGTTGGTCCGGCCGCGGCCCAGCCACAGGAGGATTTCCTCTCGCCCGCCCGCGCAGCTTCACCTCGCCCGCACGCGCGCACGGCACGCACGACACGAACCCGAAACCGAACTCGATTTCCCGGTAGGGGGGGTCTCCGTTTCACGTCGGATTTACCCCCCAATCTCCGATCCAGCGCGTCCTGGGCTTTCTCCGAAGGGGCGCCGCCAGGCCGAGGCGCACTGGATATAGATACACATCGAGCCTCCATGGTGCCGCATTTTTATCCATGTCCACTGCGCCTCGGGCTCCTGGGGAGGGGAGCCCTTAAACTCCAAGCTGCAGTGGATATGGACCGAAGTATGGCCCGCACCGAGCTCTGGTGCCACCGACCTGCTCTCGCAGGACCGTCTTCCCTGCACGTCTCTCGGCGCCTCGCCTCGCTCCCTCTGAGGACGAGCGCTGCTGCCCCGGCACCGCGGCGCAGGGCCCGCGGCCGCGGCAGCGGCGGCGAGGCTGCTCCGCGCCGCCGCCGCCCCTGGGCGGCGGGCCGCGTCCACGGAGGCCGCGGCCGTGGGCTTCGTGGAGCGGACCGGCGGCTGCGGGAGAGGTGGGCGGCGGGGAGATTCGGGGGCAGGGGAGGAGGGGCGGGCCTTCTCAGAAGGCTCGGAAGTCCCCAGGGCGCGGATACGGATGTGTTCGCCGCTCGTGGATACGATCCGTCGTCGTCGTCGTCGTCGTCGTCGTCGTCGTCGTCGTCGTCGTCGTCGTCGTCGTCGTAGTGCTGTCGATCGGGAAAGGGAGCTGTGCCCGCCTCCGTCTACTTGTGGATGTCGGGGGGCATGACGTACAGGAACACGCAGCTCATCGCGCATGTGATTGGGAAGCTGCAGAGCCCGGGGGTGCCGTGGATGATTGGGGGCGACTTCCAGGTGGCGCCCGAGGTGATGGCAAAGGTCGAGAGCGTGAAGGTAGCCAAGGCCAAGTTGGTGGCGCCTAACGCGGCCTGCGGCACGAGAAGGCATGCCTATGGGAATGGCGATATCGACTACTTTCTAGTGTCGGACTCGGTGCAGGCGCAGGTGCAGCACGTCGAAGTACAGGAATCGTGGCCTGCAGCACCGCGTAAGCCAGTCGGGCTGACGATCGAGCTCAAGGTCGTGGAGCGCATGATCAGGGTGCTGGAAAAGCCCAAGGCGTTGCCAGAGGTACAGATAGGGTGCGCGCCCGCACCTCTGAGCTACGAGCACGTGCAGGAGCTCAAGACGCAGGAGTAAGCTAATAAGGCATGGACCAAGTATATGAAGGTTTCTGGAGCAGGAGGCCTCCCAAGTCAGAGGTACGCAGTAGGCTGAGGACGACCCGCACGCTGGGAGAGCAGAGGAGCCGAAGTGGAGGATCAAACCGTTCGGTTTTGGAAGTGAGAACGTGCCCGCGGCAGCGAGGGAGGCAACGTGGTGGCGGTGGTTGGCACGGTCACTACGCGGGCTGCAAGGCGCGTGCCAGAGGTGGAGGAAAGCAAAGGAGCAGGACATGGTGCAGAAGAGGCGACACGAGATGAGAAGCCAGGAGATGTTGTTCCAGGTCAGGCGTAGGCGCGTGAAGTACATCAGCGTAGAGGAGCACGGTATCTGGCAGGCGCGGCGCGACATGATAGCAGCGGGGCAGCTACGAGGAGGAAGTAAAAAAGGCGAGCTTCGTGAACTGGATGCAGGAAGCGGAGTGCAAGATGAAGGCGGTGGACCAGAGGTTGCTGCGTGAGAGGAAGGCGAAGTGGGCCGACAAGCTGGAGATAGCGGCGGCAGGAGCTGCAGGAGGCCTACACAAGCTCAGTGAAGCGGCTATGGTGTGGAGGCCCAGACGAGCAGACACCATGGAGAAGGCAGCTGGCCCCTTGGGGGCGGCGGAGTACACCTTGGAGGAGTGGGAGTGGAAGGTCGTCGGGGGGGTAAGTGAGAAGTTGCAGGAGGAGCCGGGGCCATGGGAGCAGGAGCCCTGGCAGGAGCTCGAAGATTTCAAGGAGGATGATGTCAGCGGGCTGAAGGAGGTGGCGCGTACCTTCAGGAAACGCACGGGGATAGGAGTGGACCGACCGCATCCACCCATGCTGCAGGGAGCATGCGACGATGCCTACAACGGGCTGCTGGACATCCCCAGGGTGGTGGAGCGCACGTTGATCTGGCCGACACACCTGGCCACGGTCCTCTTCTCCATCATCCCGAAAACCTTCGCCACCGACAGGGTGGTTGGGTTGCTGCCGACCACCACCCGTGCGTGGGAGAGCACGGGGGAGCCGTGCGTGATCAAGTGGGCAAGGGAGAACCAGAGGAGTTGGGACTGCCATGGGAAGGCAGCATAGGACGCGGCGTGGGACGTGCTGCTCAGCCACGAGATGGACGATCCCGATAACGAGAGTGAGGAGTTGGAGGCCGCGATTACCGCGGTGCTGGATCGGGTCAAGGCTTTCCAGAAAGTGGGCTCGCACGTGCTATGGGGGACGGGCAAGCAGCGAGCGATGACGAATGAAGCCCTGGACACCGAAACTCCCAAGAGTCCATAGAAACATGAAAAGCTCTCGACACCATCGTTTCCAAGCGCGAGCGGTAACGCCAGAAGCCCTTCACACCAAGGTTCCCAACGGCGGCGGTGCCATGAACCATCTCGGGCAAGTTTCTGAAGCGCTCGTTCCGTTCCCGTTCTGGCCCAGGTCTTCCACGCGGATGTCTAACATGGGGACTTGTTGTGGTTGTCTCAGGCGGAACGCCTGGTTTGCAGAATCGGTTTGGGATGTCTCGGGCGAAGCGCACGCTTGTACATGTCCAGGTCGCCCAGGCGGCCGTCCAACATGAGGATGTGTTGAGGATGGCTCGAACAAAACGCTTGTTGTCACGCGTCCATGTCGCCCAGGTGGATGTCAGATATGATGATTGGTTGAGGATGTGTCCAGCGAAACTGTTGCGTTGACGCGTCGAGGTCGGCGCGCGGATATATATATATATATATATATATATATATATATATATGTATGTATGTATGTATATATTTATATATACATATATAACATGAGGTTGTGTTGAAGATGCCTCGAGCGAAACGATCGCTTTCACGCGTGAAGGTCGCCAAGGCAAATGTCTACCATGAGGATGTGTTGACCATGTCTCGAGTGAAACGTTTGCTTTCACGTGTCCAGGTCGCCCAGGCGGACACCTAACGTGAGGATTTGTTAAGGAGATTATCAGCCAAGCGCTCGTTTTTCACTTGGGGAAATCTCGAGCGACACGTTTGGTTTCACATGTCCCGGTTGCCCAGGCGGATGTCTGACATGAGAATTTGTTGAGGACGTCTCGAGCGAGACGCTTGCCCGTTCTGTGGCGCGTCCCCCTGCCCGTCCGCGGCGCGTCCCCTGGCGCGCTGGCGCGTCCCCTGGCGCGTCCGTTGCAACATTCTCTGGCGCGAAGTGCCCTGTCACGTCCCCTCGCATGCCCCTCGGCGCGTCCCGTGTCACGTTCCCTGACTCATCTTCTGTCGCGTTCACTGGCTCGTCCCCTCGCGTTTCCCCTGCCCGTTCCATGGCGCGTCCCTTGCCCAGTCCCCTGGCATGACGTCCTCTGGCACGCGCATTGGCACGTCCCGTGGCATGTCCCTGACATTTCCAGGGCACGTCCCCTCATACGTCCGCTGACAAGTCCCCTGGCGCATTCCCAAGTGCGCCCTTGCACATCCCATGGCTTGTCCATGCGCCCTGCGCCCCGTGTCGTCTCGTCAAATTTCGAAGCTGGGTCGGGTCTTGAGCTCGAGTTCGTGAAACGCCCCGCACATTTCGAATGCAGTTTGCTCTGGCCAGCTATGTCTTAAGGCATCATGAGGTTGATATTCAGATCAGTTCGATCAGGATTCGCATGCTGAGGAGGACTCGAGTCACAACGCTACAGAGCACAACCGCGGCATGGCACATCGCACTGCAGCACAGCACAGCACAGCACAACCCCTGGCACGGTACATTGCGATCGATCGATTCAGCATGTTTTAACTGCTTGTCGCCAAGTCAGGTGTTCTGAAAGCGGTTCCATGCCCAACATCTCTGTATTCCTTTCCAGGTTCTGTCCGACCTCCACTATTGCCTTCCCATGTAGCGTCCATTCCCTGATCGGAGCAGGCATCTTGTGCACTTGCACAGAGGTCCTGGCCAGGCCGGTCCTGAGCCCAGGATCCGTGCACGCGTTTCCCCGGCCATGCCCCGATCTTGCCTGGGCTACAGCATGGGCCCCGGTGGCGTTGGTGTGCAACGTGGTGACTTCCCTGGACTCGGCTGCGCGGAAGCGTGACTTTTGGTGCGGGCCCCACTGGGGTCCCCCCGTCCTGGCTTGGGCGCTTGGATTTTGCCCCCCCTCCCCCCCAAAGCCCCCTGGGGCCGCGCGCCGCCGGTCACTCCTTGCCCGGGTTCCCTCTGGCGTGCAGCTGGCAGTGAGAGCCGCCACCCCGGAGGACAGCCGCGACCGCCTCGGCGACGCGGGCGGCCAGCGAGCGCGGGGCGCTGCACGTGGGCCCGGCTGGCTTCGACACGGAGAAGCTGGCGCGGGACATGGCGGAACGGCTCCGCGCGCACGGCGAGGCCGTTCGGAGGGGCGCGGCAGGGGGACTCCCCGAGGAAGTTGCGGGTGAGGCCCTGGCAGGCGTTCTGGAGTTTTGTCGACACGGGTACGCGTCTTGGGGAGGTCGGCGAGTCTCCTGGGGTGGTTCCCTCTCGTTTCCGTGGGTAGCGTCTTCAGCGTCCTTGGTTCGTTTGTGCGGCTTTCTAGGGTTCGCGGCTTGGTGTTTGGGGGTTCTCACCTGGCATTTCTCGTGGTCGCAGCTTAACCCCACGCGACCATTTGTTTGCCCAAGCCAGACGACCTTGGTGTATAATTGATTCGAGCCCCTCTACAGGCGGCGGTGGTCGTCGTGGGCACGAATGCCACGCAGGAGGCGTTCACAAGAGGAAGCACACACACACACACATATATATATATGTATATATATATATATATATATATATAGACGTGCACATATATATATAGAGACACGCTCTTTTGATGTCGCGGCCTCGCGCACAGCGGCGCGGCGTACAAAGTCAGGCGAAGAGACGCACGTGGCTGGCCCAGATCACGCGGCTTGGAGACACTGTGTCCACGCAGATGGCGATCGACAGCATCGCAGAGACACACAAACAAACAAACAAACAAACAAACCAACATATAATCAAACACAACAAATCAAACAAACAAACAGACAAACAAACACGCGCATGTTTTTCCTCCAGCGTCGAGGTGGCTGCACCTCGTCGAAAAAGAGTAGTACAGGCTTACACACATAGTGTTGTCGTCGCGGCCACGCGCGCGGCGGCGAAAACCAGACACACATACACTCGTGCTGATCCCGTTTCTGTTTTTTCTGTGTCTCTCCGGATCGCCCGTGGGAGGCGGCCTTCGTCGCCGCAGTTGGATTCGGCTCGGGATTTTGGCTAAAGCGCAGGTCCGGAGAGTGGCGGTAGCGTTTTCGTTTACTCCCCACCGAAGGTGCTGCGTGTGGTCGAGAACGTGGAGGCTGACCTGCGAAGCGACGAGGCGGAGGAGAAGCTGCTAGCTTTCATACCCACTCTCGGCGCCATGCGCGAGGATCCGCAGAAACCTTCTACACACCACCACCATTTCTTGCCAGGGCTATCCTGGGCCCCAGGCTGGCGTATAGTGTAATGGCCCTCCTGGACTTGGCCAGGAGGGCGTTCGCACGCCATGCTAGCCCACGATGTCCCCAGGTAAGGCGGGGTGGCGGTGTACATGCGCCTTCTGCGTAAGAAGGATGGGCCCAGGGCGCTCTGCCTGGGCTTCAAGCTGGTGGCGCGGGTACCGGCGACCGCGGCTGGAAGCCCACTGACCATGGCGAAGACCACAAACGTTGGCAAGGTTCAGGAGGGACAAAGAAAATCAATCACCACAACCCGCTGACTTCCATTACAAATACGTGACATGATAGGGCATTGCGGGGGAGGAGAAAGCTAGGGAAACCTTCAAGCATACATGAAATCTTTGAATCTGTGTCGATGTGGTTGTGGCCCCCTGGACCTCTTGCAGGTGGCCGGGGCAATTGCGGAGCGGATCCGGGCGGACAGCGTGGTGGCGGTGCGAGGCGCGGGGGCCACGAATCAGCGGCAGGCCCTGAAGGCCACCGCCATAGCGCGCGAGTTCCTGACCGAGCGCGGCGACCTGAAAGACCAGGCCGCGGGGCCTCCTCCTCGCTCCCGCGCCAACCCGGGGGGGCTCGGACGGCGGCGGAAGCTGGCGGAAGCCAAACGCGGCCGCCCTCGGAGATGGCACCTTCTCTCGGCCCAGGCCTTCCAGCGCGGGCCACACAGGACAGGGTGGTGGCTGACCCGCGGCAGCCGGCTCCCCAGCCGCCGACGGCAGGACCTTGGCACGGCCCTTCCCAGGACCAGCTCCCGAGGTCTCGACCCATTCCCCGGACCAGCTTCTCATCCCGAGTCCTGTTTGTGCAGTCCTGGGGCCCTGGGGCCCAGCGAAGGCCCCGAGGCCGAACACAGCAACATACATTCCTATCGCGAATTGTCTTGCCAAGGGCTCTAGCCCAGGCTCCTCTTTCAGTTTGTAAATTGTTCCCAGTGCCATGTTCGAAGAGGGCCAGCGGTCTTCCTCTTCTTACCTACGATGTAGAAGAGGTCCTGCGGATTTATTGCCGGAGGATAATCGAGCGAATCGCTTGTGTTTGAAATTCCGCTTGGTACATATCGAGGCCAAGTGAGAATTGTTGTTGATTGTGGATTTCTCAAGCGAAACGCTCGTTGTGCAGAATTTGTTGAGGATGTCTGAAGCGAAACGTTCGTTCCCATCCACTATGTGATGTTGGGTCTTCGTTTTGAAGAGGCAGTGCCCCGCGTTCCTCTCCTCCTTATCATCCTTCCCCTCTTCCCTTCTTCTTCATCATCATCAGTGGCAGCATCATCATTGTCATCAGCATAATCATCAGCATCGTCATCATCAGCTTCAGCATCAGCATCATCAACATGATGATGATGATCATCATCAGCATCATCAACAGCATCGCTGTCACCATCGTCTTCATCGCCTTCATCTCCATCATTTGTATCCCCATCATCACAATTATCGCCGTCGTCATCATCGCCATCGACGACGGCACCATCGTCATCATCACCAACAGTGTCAGCATCATCATCATCATCATCATCATCATCATCATCATCATCATCATCATCATCATCATCAATGCCACCATCAGCATCATTATCATCAGCAGCATCAGCCACATCATCACCGACATCAGCTTCACCATCAGCATCATCATCATCACATCACCGCCACGATCAACATCAGCATCATCATTACCACCACCACCATTCTCATCATCATTGCCATCATCATCTTCATCACCAGCATCGTCAGAATCATCATCGTCATCATCATCACCATCATCATTTACATCATCAACATCACCATTATCAGCATCAGCACCATCATTTTCATCAACACCACCATCATCATCATGATCGCCACCCTCAGCATCAGCAGCACCATCCTCACCACCATCATTCTCCTCATCATCAGCATCATCTCCACCATCACCATGGTCATCATCATCACCATCAGCACCTTTATCATTATCATCATCATCAGCATCGTCATCATCATCATCATCGTCATCATCATCATCATCCATCATCATCATCATCATCATCATCATCATCATCATCATCATCATCATCATCATGATCATGATCATCATCATCATCATCATCATCATCATCATCATCATCATCATCCATTATCAGCGCCATCAGCTTCGGCACACCTCTCACACGGTTCGTGGCTCCATAGGGAGCTCCACGAAGGCGCATTGGCAGGGTTCCCATGGCGGCCCCGCCCCATTTCGGCACACCCCTCACACGCTTCGTGGCCCCATAGGGAGCTTCACCAAAGGCGCCAGTGGCAGGGTTTGCATGGCGGCCCCGCTCCATGTTGGCACACCCTTCATCCGCCTTGTAGCCCCGTAAAGAACGATACCAAAAGCCCCTGTGACAGGGGTCGCATGGCGGCCCCGCCCCGTTGTGGCACACCGCTCACACGTTTTGTGGCCCCATGGGGAGCTCCACCGAAGGCGCAGTGGCAGGGTTCGCATGGCGCTCCCGCAAAATTTGGGCACACCCCTCACACGTTTCGTGGCCCCAAAGAGCGCTCCACCGAAAGCTGTATTGATAACGCGGAACCCGCAATGCATATGGTTGGGCCCTTCATCCGGGTCAGTTTCACGCGTGCATGTCGCCCAGGCGGCTCTCTAACATGAGGATGCGTTGAGGATGGTTCCAGCGAAACGCTTGTTTTCACCTGTCCAGGTCGCCCAGGCGGATGTCTAACCTGAGGTCCTTTGGCTCTGCGCACGTACAAGTACGTACTCGGAGGGGGTATCTCACATGCGTCTGGCGCCCTTGCACGTTGCGAGTGAATTCACGTGCCCAGGCCACCCAGAGGGAATATCGAACGTGGGTGCCCCGAGCTGGAACCACGTGTTTTGACGTACCGAGGACACCAAGGTTGGGTGTCTAGTATGATCTCGAGCTAGCCTATGTATATTTACATGTCCAAGCCACCCCAGGGGAATGCGACATTGTTGTCTCGAGTTGGAGCCACATGTTTTTACGTATCCAGGCTACCCAGAAGGGTATCTAACATGGTTGTCCCGAGCTTGAGCCACCGTGTCCAGGCAACCCAAGGGTGGTATCTATCATGATTGCTCCGAGATGGAGCCACATGGCCTTATGTGTCCAGGTTTGTCTGACACTGTCGTCCCGAACTGGAACCACGTGCTTTTACGTCTCCAGGCCACCCAGGGGGTGGATACCTAACATGTGGCCGCCTGGGCCTCCAACAGTGGGGGCCCAAACGAACAAGATGGATCAGGAAACTCGACCAAAGATGTGTAAAGATACCCCGGTGATTTTCTGGTTCCAGACGGGAATATCGAGCATGGCTGTTCCAAGTGTATTTTTAATTGTGCAGGCCGCCCAGAGGGGATATCGAGCATGGCCTCCCCGAGTTGGAACCATGTATTGCAGTGGACTCCGGCCGGTGCCGCCGATCTGAAGCGGGAAGTGGAAGAGGGGGAGGGGGAGAGGGAGGGGCATGACGAGGATTATGAGATTTGTTTCGGTTGTTGGAGATGTTCGGATCTTTGGGGCCAAGTGTTGGCCTTCTTTGGGTTGACGTCGCCGATTTCGCGCGCTCTCTGAACAATTTTGTATTAGAGCTGTCTGCGTCATGCTTCTGTGTTGAGCCTTGTGCATCACCGGTCTCTGGTAGGATCCATGCTGTTTTTGGGGTTTGGGGGGCCTTCGCGTGGTCCTCGGCGGGTCGGGTGCGATCATGGATGTGAAGGCCGCTGAAGACGGGAGAAGATGTGAAAGTGTGGAAGAACTTTTTGTATTGCAGCGCTTGTGATCAGACGTAAGCGTTGTGGAAGCATTGGGGCCGGTTTTGGGCGTCTCGGGGGGACTCTTGGAGGCAGCTTGGAGGCCTCTAGAGGGCGTCTTGGCTGCAGTTTTTGGAAAATCTTGGAGATTTTTTTAAGGGGGTTCGGGAGGCCTTTTCGGGGCCAGTTGGAGGCGTCTCGGGCCTCTTCAGGCCTCTGGGGGGCCGCTGGGTGCTCGCTGGGGGCTTCTTGCGCCGTCTTCGGCACTTTTTCCGTGGCCTTGGCGCCCTCTCAGGCGCCTTTGGGGTCCGTCCTGGGGCCCTTTTGTACCCTTTTCGGGGGCCTCGTGGGCCATCCTGGGCCCATCTTGGGCTGTTTTGGAGCCCTCTCGGCGACTTCTTGGGCCGTTTTGGGGCTCTCTTGCGGCGTCTGCGACGCTCTGAAGGCCCAAGAGGCGAATCTGCTAAGATTGCACGTTTCTCAAGGGAACGGGACATTGTTTGTTTTTTGGTGCCTTTTTTTTGGTGGCCTTTTCAATGTTTCCGGGGGCATTTTGGAGGTTTCCGGAGCCGCCTTGGGGACATCTTGAGCGTCTTGTAGCGATCGTTCGGCGACTCGGGGCCCTCTTGGCCATGTAGGGGCCCTCCTGGCGCCCCTGCGTGAGCTGGAGCTCCGATTCCGCCCCGTGAATTCAAAACGACCCCCCCCGTACCCCGGCAGAGCCACCCCGGCACCGACCCACCAGTAGAGCTGAAGCTCAGGAATTGAGATTCAGGCTGTTCTGACGGTTTTTGAAACTCACACGCCGGATCGGCGGATTTTGCAGATTCAGGCCAGCCAGGGCATGCTTGTTTCGAGCTGGAACCATGTGCTGTTACGTGCGTGCCGCCTGGTGTAAATTGTTAGGGATATATGACATGGCTGTCCCGATCTGAGGCCACGTGGTTTTACGTGGCCATGCCATGAACGGGGCGGTATCGAAAACGGTTGCCCAAAATTGTAACCAGGTTTTTTGGAAGGGTCCGGGCTTCTTGAAAGGGAGGTGTCTAACATTGTTGCTCCAACTTGGAACCACGTGTTTTTACCTGTCCAGGACACCCTGGGGGTATTTGGCATGGTTGGCCCGAGCTGGAGCCACGTGCTGTTACGTGCCCAGGCCCTCCAGGGGGCGTATCTAGTAGCGTCGGGAGCCTCTGCACTTGCCGCATGTTTTGATGTGTTCAGGCCACCCTGGGGGATATCCAACATGAGGTTGTCGGACAGCTCGCACGTAAAATACGCGCGCGGGGGTGTATCTAACATGCGTCAGGCGCTTGTGCATCTGGAAATTGTTTTCGCATGTCCAGGCCAACCATGAGGGACATCCAACATGAGGGCGTCGGCCCCTTCGCACGTAACAGTACGGACGCGCCGGGGGGGTATCTAACACGTTGTTGCCGCTTGTGCTAACACGCGGTCTTCGGACGGCTCGTTCGTAACAAAAATGCGAGCGGAGAGGGTATCTAGCATGCGTCTGGCGCCTGTGCCGTTGGCGCGTGTCCGGGTCGCCCAGGGGGGTGCCGAACAGGAGGATGTGTTGAGGATATCTCGAGCGACGCGCTTGTGTTCATGTGCCCGGGTCGCCCAGGCGGGTGTCTAACATGAGGGTGTTTGTTGAGGATGTCTCGTGCGAAACGCTTGTGCTGCAGGATTTGTGTAAGATGTTTCGGGCGAGTGCCGCGCTTGCAGCGAAATCGTTGTCTGCAGGATGTGCTGAGGATGCATCTCACGAAACGCTAGTGTTGCATTGCTTGAGGAGGTGTCGAGCGGGGGCCGTGTCGAATTGTCAGTGCGTTTCACTTCGGCTCGGGTCCGCCCTCCGTTCGTTTCGTCCCATTTCGGAACTGAATCGAATTTTGACTTCGATTGAACGCCCCGCATGTTTCGACTGCAACCTGCTCTAGGCGAGCCATGCGCGTTGGCAGCTTGAGCTCCGCAACAGAAAACAGCAAAGTTCAGCACAGCATGATGCATCGAAGTACGGCTAAATTGCAATTTGCGCCATGATCGCGGCCCTGGTTATATGTCAGGGGCATTGGCACCACGGAGTCCGATTTACTCGCTAGGAGATGCCATGTGGTTTCAAGATTGTGACCCGACGCGTATTCGGCTTTTTCAAGTTTTGGTGTGTCTTGTCTCGGTTCGTAATGTTTCGGCGTGCGTCTCGGTTCGTATTGTTTCGGATCGTCTTGATGCAGTTCGTCGCGTCTTGCTTCGTCGCGCTGTGGTCCATCCAATCTCAGAGCGTTTCGTGTCGGTTCGGAGTCGCCCAATCCTGGTTCGTCGTGTCATTGAATTGAATCGGATCATGACCTTGAGCTGGTCGAGCACCCGCGCGGCTCGACTGCAATCAGCTCGAGCTATGCGGTCAGGCAGCTCGAGCCTAAGATCTGGATCAGTTCTGTCAGGGTTCCGACGCCAAGGACAACCTGACCCACAATGCGAGAGAGCAGTGCGCATTTCAAGTCATCACAGCATACCACAGCCCCTGGCACCATACATCACAATCGTTACAGTGAGCATTGCAACTGTTGGTCCCCCAAGTGTTGTGTTTTGAGCGTTTCCATGCCTCACACTTCTACATCACTTTCTGGGCTCGTGGGCCGATCATGCTTATTGTACGACGCGGGGAGTGTCTGGTCGGGTGATGCACGAAGTACCCCTGGCCCAAGGTGCCCCCAGGATCTCCCGGGAACCCCCCATGGCATCGAGAGCACCCCTCACAAGGCCCAGAATGCCCCAGGGCTCCCAAACAAAGCAAAAAGCTGAGGGCACCCTGGGCCAGGGGCACTTTCATCAAGCCCAGATTGGTGTGGTGGCAAAGGAACTTCACCGACTACGGCAGGTCAGCGCCGCGTTGATGCGGAGGCGACCCCAGCGTTGGCGTTCAAGGTTGACCGCCGCTAGAGGCCCAACATCGGCCGATGTCGAACGCGCTGCGCTATCGGAAAGCCGCGATCGTTCAAGGTTGAACGATCCGCGCGGTGTCAGAAACGAAAGACGATGCCATCGCGACTTGAACCTGCCGCACTGTCAACCCGCATAGTAAGGATACACAATTTTCCAAGGCTACTTTGCATCCTCCGCCTCTGGCTGGCCCAATCCTTGGCCGCTTTCGCTGGCCGCGCCCCGCTCGCAGAGTGTCGGCATGCCCTTCCAAGGCCGTTGCATCCCTACCCCGCATCCTGATTCTTCACTTTGACTGTAGGCGCTCGCGCTGGTGCTGCGCTTCGATGCGGCGCCCGCGGGCGAGCTGAGGGGCCTCCCGCGCTCGTGGCTGCTGACGGCCTTCCCGCTGCGGGGGTGAAGTGTCCCGACGCCCCGCCCGCCGCGACCTAAAGCTGCGGGCCTGCGGGCCTGTGCGCCGCCGTCGGCCGTCCCTGTCGCCGTCGCCGTCGCCGTGGCCGCCGCCGCCGCCGCCGCTGCCGCCGCCGTCATCATCGTCGTCGTCGTCGTCGTCGTCGTCGTCGTCGTCCATCGCCGTCGTCGTCGTCGTCGTCGCCTGTGCGGAGGAGGAGGAGGAGGAGGAGGAGGAGGAGGAGGAGGAGGAGGAGGAGGAGGAGGAGGAGGAGGAGGAGGAGGGAGGATGGAGGAGGATGGAGGACGATGAAGGAGGGAGGAGGGAGGAGGAGGAGGGAGGAGGAGGAGGAGGAGGAGGAGGAAGGGAGGAGGATGGAGGATGGAGGGAGGAGGGGGAGGGGTTCGAGGACAGGTGCGCTCGCGTCATGTCTGACGTCCTACCCCTCCCTCCCATCCCGTACCATGGCGTAGATCTCTTCTGTATTCGCACAATGGGATGTCGTAGCATGGCATAGAGTTACTTGGCATAGCATGGTGTAACGCGTAGCCTGACATAGCATGGCGTGTCGACGCCTCAAAGTGTAGGGGGGGGCTTCCGCGGCCCAAAAAATAAACGAATCGACACCGAATGTGGGATCACTTCCAATGTTTTGTTTCTGTTCTGGGGTCATCTTCTAAAGTTTGGGCCCGATTTGGAAGGACCGAAAACCATGCCGTGGCATGGCGCTGGAAATAATGACGCAAGCGCTGCAGCGGGAGCACGATTCGGAACGAGCGGAAGCGCGGGAATGAGGCCAGCGCTGCAGCGGGAGCACGATTCGGAACGAGCGGTAGCCCGATGATGAGGTCAGCGTCTCAGCGAGAGCAGCTTTTTACACACAAAAAAAGCGAAAACCTGTTTCCAAAAAACACTACGCTGAGGGGTGCTGGCCATTTCCCGGACGCCACCAGGGGAGATAGGAGAGTCGTAATACTACTCTCCTCTCTCCCCTGGTGCGGGGGAGGGAGGAGGGAAGGGAGGGGCGAGGAGGAGGAGGAGGAGGAGTCCGTCGTCCCGTTGTCTCCGGCCGCCCTCGTGGCCCGAGGGCGCGCCACTTCGGGGGACGATTTCCCCAGGCTGCCCTGGATAGTAAGGATGAGCGGTTTTCCCAGGTCGCCCTGGCATCCTTCCCCGCTGGCCCATTCTCGGCCACGTTTGCTGGCCGCGCCGCGCTCGAAAGGTGCCGACATGGCCTTCCGAGGCCCCTGCGTCCTTGCCGCGCCTCCTTGTTGTGCGGACTGCGCGGGGTGGGTGGCTGGTCCCGGGGAGCAGCAGAGGCGAAGAGGCGGGTCGACGACGTCGACGAGCAGGAGGTCGGGCTATATGGGGACGGGATGTTTTAGGCTGGAAAGAGCGTGTTCTCTCGCTGCTGGCGGAAAACCTGGGGGGGTCACTGGGGATTCCCAGCCCGTCCCCCCCCCTCGAAAACCGGGGGGGGGTCACTACCGGTTCGAACCCCCCCACCCACCCCCCGCCCCCAGTCCATCATGAAAAGGGGGAGGGGGTCACTACAGGTTCGAACCCCCCCCCTCGCCGCCTGCAAACGATTCTCGCTCCTCGGGACAGGGGGACAGTGGTGGGACAGTGGGGCAGTGAGGGAGACGGTGGTGGTGGGGACAGTGGTGTGGGGACAGCGGGACAGTGGCGGGGACAGTGGGACAGTGGTGGGGACGACGGTGGTGGTGGGGACAGTGGTGAGAGAATAGCGGGACAGTAGTGGGGACAGTGGGACAGTGGTGGGGGCGGTAGTGGTGGGGACAGTGGTGAGGGCGGTGGTGAGGACGGTGGAGGGACAGGGGTACAGTGGGGAGAGTGGTGGGGACAGTGGAGACAGTGGGGACAGTGGTGGGGACTGTAGAGACAAAGGGACAGCACAGTGGGACAGTGGCGGGGACAGTGGGGACAGTGGGACAGTGGTGGGAACAGTGGGGACAGTGTGACAGTGGTGGGGACAGCGGGGACACTGGGGAGAGTGGGACCGTGGTGGGACAATGGTGGGGACAGTGGGGACAGTGAGACACTGCTGGGGGCACTGGTGGGGACAGCGGGGGCAATGGTGGGAACAGTCGGGACACTGGGACAGTGGTGGGGACAGTGGGACAGTGGTGGGGACGGTGGTGGTGGGGACAGTGGTGTGGGGACTGGGACAGTAGTGGGGACAGTGGGTACAGTGGGACAGTGGTGGGAACGGTGGTGGTTGGGACAGTGGTGAGGGCGGTGGTGAGGACGGTGGTGGGACAGGGGTACATTGGGGAGAGTGGTGGGGACAGCGGAGACAGCTCAGTGGAACAGCGGCGGGGACAATGTGACAGTGTGGACAGTGGGGACAGTAGGACAGTGATGGGGACAGTGGGGACAGTGGGGAGAGTGGGACCGTGGTGGGAACAGTGGTGGGGACACTGGGGAGTGCGACAGGTGAGGGGGCACTGGTGGGGACAGTGGGAACGGTGGTGGGAAAAGTGGGGACAGTGGTGGTGTGGACGGTGGTGCTGGGGTCAGCGGTGGGGGATGTGGTGCGGAACTGTAGGGATTTGGGAGTCGTTTGCCGGCGGTGAGAGGGGGGGGATGGGGGGGGGTTCGAACTGGTAGTGACCCCTCCCAGTTTTTTGGAGGGGGGGAAGGGGCGGGTTCGAAACGGTAGTGACCCTTCCCGGTTTTCCGGAGGGGGGGGTCGAATCGGTAGTGACCCCCCCCCAGTAGTGACCCCCCCCGCGGTGTTCCGCTGTCCTTCTGTCCCCAGGAGCGGGAATCGTTTGCCGGCGGCGAGGGGGGGGGGTTCGAACCGGTAGTGACCCACCCTGTTTTTTGGAGGGCGGGGTGTTCGAACCGGTAGTGACCCCCCCCGGTTTTCCGGAAGGGGGGGGGTAGGGAGGGGGGGGGTTTGCCGGGGGAAGGGGGCGGGGGAGGTTCCAGCAGAGGGGGCCCGGTGAGGGAAATTCGAAGGTGGGGGGGAGACCCCCGGGTTCGGGAGGAAGAGGGGGGGAAACAATTCCACAGTAAAACGGCGGTGGATCACGCTCTCTCTTAGGTCGCGACCGATCGCGACGGAATGGTCGCGACCGATTGTTTAGCAAGCTGGTTGGAACCGATACGGGAATTTTCGAGCAAGATCGGTAGCGATCGAGCTCGCCGGTTGCGTTTGGAACAGTCTGTCATCCAACGATCAGTGTATAGGGCCATTTAGCGAAACGCTATTGGGAAATTGCGACGTCGGTGGTCTGGATATTGGACGATCGAAAAGGGATACGGAAAAATTGGGGGTACGATGCTCAACGAAAGTTGCTGCCCAACACGGGCAGAGGCCGCTGTTGGGCAGGCGGCCTTCTGTCTCAAGTGGACAAAGTCCGCGGCGACACCGACAGCGAGTCTTGTTTTCGATGGGCAGGAACTGCCGTCGGTCTTTGTATCCATTCTTTCCGTACCCATTTCGTTCGCACTGATGGGTCCAGGGGGCGAGGTCCTCGCCTCGGGCCTTCCAGCGGCCGCTCCCTCCGATCCCTGGGCCTCGGGGATTCCCGGGCCCCTTGCAACAGGGGGCAGCGCTCTCCGTCGCGGATCGACCTGCTGAGGGCCCCCCCCGCCGCCCAGATCATTTGACACAGCCAAGACCTTGGCATCGCTCGGACGTGTGCATTTTTCCTTCGGCGAGGACCGTCGAGGAGCATCCTTGATCATTGGGCGAAAAAAACCACACACGAAACCGAAAATTAGCCTGGCGAAGGACCCAACCATATGCAGCTGCGAGTACCGCAAGGATACCAGTGTCAAGCTCCCCCCGACCTTCGGTGGAGATCCCTATGGGGCCACGAAACGTGTGAGGGGTGTGCCGAAATGGGTGTTGGGGAGTGCCGAAATGGGTGGTGGGGAGGCATGCGAACCCTGCCACTGGGGCCTTCGGTGGAGCTCCCTATGGGGCCACGAAACGTGTGAGGGGTGTGCCGAGATGGGTGGTGGGGAGGCATGCGAACCCTGCCACTGGGGCCTTCGGTGGAGCTCCCTATGGGGCCACGAAACGTGTGAGGGGTGTGCCGAGATGGGTGGTGGGGAGGCATGCGAACGCTGCCACTGGGGCCTTCGGTGGAGCTCCCTATGGGGCCACGAAACGTGTGAGGGGTGTGCCGAAATGGGTGGTGGGGAGGCATGCGAACGCAGCCACTGGGGCCTTCGGTGGAGCTCCCTATGGGGCCACGAAACGTGTGAGGGGTGTGCCGAAATGGTGGTGGGGAGGCATGCGAACGCTGCCACTGGGGCCTTCGGTGGAGCTCGGGGCCACGAAACGTGTGAGGGGTGTGCCGAAATGGGTGGTGGGGAGGCATGCGAACGCTGCCACTGGGGCCTTCGGTGGAGCTCCCTGGGTGTGAGGGGTGTGCCGAAATGGGTGGTGGGGAGGCATGCGGGTGGAGCCACTTAGGGGGCCACGAAACGTGTGAGGGGTGTGTGGAGGGTGTCCGGAGGCATGCGAACGCAGCCACTGGGGCCTTCGGTGGAGCTCCCTATGGGGCCACGAAACGTGTGAGGGGTGTGCCGAAATGGGTGGTGGGGAGGCATGCGAACGCAGCCACTGGGGCCTTCGGTGGAGCTCCCTATGGGGCCACGAAACGTGTGAGGGGTGTGCCGAAATGGGTGGTGGGGAGGCATGCGAACGCAGCCACTGGGGCCTTCGGTGGAGCTCCCTATGGGGCCACGAAACGTGTGAGGGGTGTGCCGAAATGGGTGGTGGGGAGGCATGCGAACGCAGCCACTGGGGCCTTCGGTGGAGCTCCCTATGGGGCCACGAAACGTGTGAGGGGTGTGCCGAAATGGGTGGTGGGGAGGCATGCGAACGCAGCCACTGGGGCCTTCGGTGGAGCTCCCTATGGGGCCACGAAACGTGTGAGGGGTGTGCCGAAATGGGTGGTGGGGAGGCATGCGAACGCAGCCACTGGGGCCTTCGGTGGAGCTCCCTATGGGGCCACGAAGCGTGTGAGGGGTGTGCCGAAATGGGTGGTGGGGAGGCAAGAGAGCAGCCACTGGGGCCTTCGGTGGAGCTGCCTATGGGGCCACGAAGCGTGTGAGGGGTGTGCCGAAATGGGTGGTGGGGAGGCATGCGGAGGAGGGGGGGGGAGGAGGAGGAGGAGAGGAGAGGAGAGGAGAGGAGACGCGGGGCGCTGTCTCTTCAAAACGAGGACCCAACACCACAGGATGGTTGGGAAAAACACATGGTATCGACGTCCGAGCGATGGCCAGAGACGAAATAAGGAACGGTTTGGGTTCGGAATGGGTTGCATGTTGCTTAGGCCCCTCCATGGCTCTCTCTTTCGCGTTCCTCGTCCACGCAAGCGCCGTCGGGCCAAAAAGGGATTCGTTTCTCATTTAGCATTTAGGGTTCCTTATCTCAGCAGTTCGACCGTACCAGATTTTTTGTCGGTTGCGACCCGCGAGGTCGATCGCTACCGAGTTTGCTCCACATTCGGGCACCGGTCGCGACCTATGTTGGAGTCGGTCGTGATGGGTCGCGACCGATTTGGAGTGCCGTTGGGTGTGTTGATTTTTAGAGAGGGATAAGCTCGAGGCTGCTTAGGACAGCTGCGACCCCCGGAGGTTTCAATCCATTCCGCCGGGAGGGCTCTTCCTCCTGAGTTGTCTTTTGACGGCCCCGGGGCTCGAGGGGCTTGTCAGATTCCGACAACATGTCGTTTTGATTTGAGCGGGCCCCAACCTCAGACCGCGAGGCAGCATACCCAGGGAGCACTGGCACGCTCTGGGCCTGGTGCCCACGGTATGCAGTCAGCATCCGTCGAAGGCCCGATGCGGGATACCCAAGGTGCACCCGCGGCCGCGGTATGCAGCGCGTGCGAGACGAATCGGGAGCTCGTCTTTTCAATCTAGCAACCCTGATCTGTCGGGTGGGCAAGACCTCCCGTCGTGATTTTTGCCACTACCCGACGGAGGCCGAAAATCTGAGAAACCGAATCGTCTTGATTTGTTTCACGACGCGAGAGGGTCTGGGTATACAGCGGCGAGGCCTGTGTGGTAAGGCTTCGTGCGGGATTTGCACAGACAGGCCCCCCAGGCGGTTCCGCGTGGCCTCAACAGGCCCCAAGAGCAGTCCTTGCTGCCCTTCAGGCCCCACGGTCGGAACACCCTGGCGCCGCCTCTGGTGGCGCCCTGGGGCGCTCCGCGCCCCGCCTGTTGGGGTGTTGGGACCGCCCCAGACTACTCAATGGGAGCTTGTTGAGTTTAGCCGGGGCTACTCGAGGGGCCTGTTGAGGCCAGTTAGGATTGCCTGGGGGGGCCGCCTGGGCGCAACCCGACGCCCTGCCATCTCGATTCTTTTTGTCGGCGCGAGGGGGTCTGGGGTCTGGGTATACAGCGGCGAGGCAGGTGCGCAGGGATTGTACGAAGCAAGCCGCCCAAGGGCCCTCGCCCTCGCCGCGCGCGCGACAGGACGCCGCCGCGGCTGTCGCCCGCAGTGAAGCGCGCGCGCTCCGCGAGCAGGCCGGCGTGCCAGCGTTTGCTGCTCTCATCTCCGACGACATCTGGAGCTCCAGAGAGTGTCTCGCGTTCGAGGACCGAAGTGGCGTTGGCATCTTCTCCTCGGCGGAAGGCGGCGGAAGGCCGGGGGGAAGCCGGCGGAAATGCAGCGAGGATGCTTCCGCCGGCGGAAGCTGGCGGAGTAAAAGGGAGAACCACCAAACCACCAAGAGGTGTTTTGGTTGTAGGTTTCCGGAAGCCGCCATGTCGGGTATGAGATTTCCGCTCGTCGAGGATTGAACGTACATCGGCGATTAGTTTCCAAATTTCCAACAATGCCTACTAGCGCTCAATAGCGCCAAATAGCGCCCAGAAGCGCCGCGCAGCGCCCAACTAGCGCCCAACTAGCGCCCAACTAGCGCCCAACTAGCGCCCAACTAGCGCCCAACTAGCGCCCAACAGCGCAATAGCACCCCATAGCGCCCAATTGCATCATGTGAGGGAGATGCATTTTGTCCGCTATGCACGCGATTGGGTGCGCTGTTTTGGCGCCAAGGCGACGACCGAACGCTTCCGTGGGTTGCTTTCTAGCTTGCTGCTCTCATCTCCGACGATGTGCTTGTTTCAATCGCTTCGTGTCGGAGGGGCTCAGAGTTTTTGCAGGATCTCCTTGGCTCCTGAAGGCCTTCTCGCCTTGTGATCGGAGCGTGAATTACCTACCCCGCTTTCGCTTCCAGGCAAAACCAAGTCATACCACGCGCCTCCTCGTCAAGCGGCCTGACCAGCACAGGCCGTAGTTTGGCATCGTTTGCTATCTCTTGGGAGCGAGGGTGGTCAAAAGCGAGGTAGGTTTGTTTTCCCCCTCTGTGATGCTTTCCAGCAGCTGCGCCCTACCGAGCACGTTCCAGGGGTGCCAGGGTCGGCCCGCATGGCCGCTGGAGGCCCGAGGCATGGCCCCGCAATCCAGGTCTGCTGCGATAGGATTTGGGCAATCCTGGCGCTGTTCCTTGACTTCGCCCTCTGTGGAGCGTTTTGGGATTCGGGCCCAGGGACCATCAAACATGGATCGGGGACGGAGAGCTGCCCCTAGGGGGAGGGTTCGGAACCTTTTTGGGCCGCGCACTCAAAACAAATCATCGTCGAATGTCAGAGGAGAGTGCCCCCCCGGGGCGGGGTACACCACTACCACGAACCCTGCCCCTACAGGTACAGTCGCTGCTGCGATGTCGGACACTCCTGCTAGGGCTTCGCTTGGCGGCAGGCATCCCTCGCGTCTGTCTCGCGAACCTCAGCTTCGGACTACGCGGTTGCCAGTGGCAACTTGAAACATCGATGTTTGTTCTTTTGCCCCAAACGCGCAACAGGTTGGAGTCATTCCTGGCGTGCCACCGGGGAGAATGCCAGCCCGCACTGAAAGAGACAGGTCTGCTAGGAAGCAGTGGAGCACCCCCCGACTTTGCCGACTGCCCTCCCTGTTGCCATTTAAAAAGTCTGGAGGCCTCTCTTGTGGCCCGCTTGGGGCCTTGGCCAGAGAGGAAAGAGCAGGGGGGCCCTCAATGTCAGCCCCCCTCCCCTGGGGAGGCTGAACAATTGCCCTTTGGGGCCATCTCGAGGCCACCTTGGGCATCTCTTGGCCCATTCCTGTGGCTCTCTTGGGCCATCCTGGAGCCATGTTGAAGCCTCAAGTGTTGGACGGATTCTGGCCTCTCGCGGGGGTCCTTGGGGGTCTCCGTGGCACTTGGAACCATCGTCGGGCGGTCGGGGGCGGTCGTCTTGGGCTATGCCGAGCCATCCTGGGCTATGTCGTGCCGTCTTGGAGGGTGTCTTGGGCTAGCTGTGTCCTCGTTGGGCCATCGTGTGCCATCTTGGACCACAGGCGGCCCGGCCCGTCCAGAACTCGGCATAGTAGGCAGGGGGACAGGTAAACCTTTCCCCGAAGGGAAAGTGGAGGTTGGCAGAACGAACTCCTGAAGCCACCTGCGCCGCAAACGGCGGGTGAGATTACAGAGCGAACTCCATATGCATGCAGTAGCCAGCTTGAAATCCAAGCAGTGTGTTTCCTGTAAAACATGTGCAGTGTATGTAGGGCAATATATGAATTGTAGTCCGTCCGGCCGAACTTGACGATGTCAATTCCATTGCCTGCGCAATCATCCCACCCACCCACCCGCAACCTGGTTTGCAAAACCGATGCGGCGGCGATTGTCATGACTGCTTGGCGCTGACTGGCGCATCGCGGCGTCTGCGCTGGCGTGCGTTGGCTCGCGCGCAGACGTGCCAGCTAGTCTGGGCGTTTCCCAGCGCGTCTTGCAGGCTGACGCGCGGGCACTCTGGTGCGAGTTGGTGACTCGGGCGGGCTCGGTGTCATGGCGACGTCGACACAGGCAGACACGCTCATGGTAGTAGCGATGCTGGTGACGACGGCAAAGCCAATGACGGCGCCGATGCTGATCACGCCGATGACGATGATGGTGCCCACGCGTAGGTGACGCAGGTGTTGGAGCGATTTCGCCATGCGCGTGCGGGCGACGGGCTCTTCTGGCCGGCATGGTGTTATTTGACAGGGGCCGCGCCCCTCCATCCAGCGCGTGCACAAGGGCGGCCGAACGATTTCGACATGCGCGCGCGTGCGGCCCGCCTGGCCGCATTTGATGAAGATGTGGGGCAAGTCATGGTTGTCCTACGATTTCGCAAGAGTGCGCGCAGACCTTTTATTGAACACGCATAGCGCAAAACCAGGTGGTTTTATTTGTTCCCCGGATTTTCGATGTTGTGTTTCTTACGAGATCTATGGCGCGTGAGGTATTTCGGCATGCGCGCGACGACGAGCGAATGTGCATTCCGTCATGTTTTCTCCAGTTGGGTTCTCTCAAACGAATGATTTGTGATGAACGATTGTGTGCGCATCCTGTTATTTGACGAGGGGGTGCGGAACCCGGCCTGGATGGGATACGATGGGCCCATGGTTGAAATGAAAGACGGGGCAGGATCACATGGAAACTGCACATCCCCAGGGTGGACTGACAATTTTGGCCTTGAAAGGGTGGTTGATCCTTTTTCTGTACATGAAAAAAAAAAAGACCGATGTGGTGCAATCTAGGTTGTGCCATGTATGGGGGTGTGTTATCTGCGTTGTGCAATACATGTGGTGCGATCTACGTGTTACAATGGATTTTGTGCAATCCATGCGGAACCATCGATGTGGTGCAATCTATGTGGTGCAACTGACTACCCTGCACCGCGCTTGACCACTCCACTGCTCGCGCAAACAGCCCACCCACCCACCCGCAACTTGGTTCGCAAAATCTCTTAAGACCTTGACGGTGGGTACCAAATGGCACTTGCCAACGACAGCGACTCCGACGACGACAGCGACAACGACGACGACGACGCCGCCGACAACGACTACGACGACACCGACGACGTCTCCAACGACTTTGACGACGCCGACAACGACGACGACGACGACGACGACACCGACGACGACGACGACGCCGACGCCGACAACGACCGCGACGATGACAACGACGACGACGATGACGACGCCGACGACGACGACAACGACGACGCCGACGACGACGACGATGACGTCAACGACGCCGACGACGACGACGACGGCGGCGACGACGACGACGCCGACAACGACGACGAAGAGGACGACGACGACGCCGACGCCGACGACGACGACGAAGACGACGACGACGTCGCCAACGAAGACGACGACGAGGGAGGAAGGAGGACGACGACGGCGACAACGGCGACAGCGACGACAACGACGAGGGAGGAGGGAGGACGGCGACGACGCGAACGACGAAGAAGGAGGAAGGACGGCGACGCCGACGACGGCAACCACGAGGGAGGAGGGAAGACGACGACGACGACAACGACGACGACGACGACGGCGACGAAATAGGAGGGACGACGACGAGACGCCGACGACGGACGACGACGACGACGAGGGAGGAGGAGGAAGGACGACCACGGCGACAACGACGACGGAAACGACCACGACGCCAAAGAGGACGACGACGACGAACACGAGGAAAGACAGAGGACGACGTTGGCGACGACGACGACGACGACGACGACAACGACGCGGGACGAGGGAGGACGGCGACGACGACGACGACGACGCAAGAGCGCGCGCGCGCACGTTTTTGTTGAAAATCCGTGTTGCGAAACCTTGGGTTTTTGTATGTTTTTTGGACGCGCGATTTCGAAATCCTTCCGAAACCGATGGGTTTTGAAGGATTTCGGCGTTCGCGCGCGACCACGCGCGCGTCTGCACTTTGCCAAATTTTTTGTAGAGGGTTCTCGCGACGGCACACGCGCAAGGGCGTTCGACAGATTTCGACATGCGCGCGCGCGAAGCCCGTTTGGTAGCATCTTGTGAACATCTTGAAAGACCTATGGTGTTCTTAAGATTTCGCAAGCGCTCGCGCGGAAGTTTTTTTTAGCAAACCAGCGTTGCGAAACCATGTGTTTTTAATATGGTTTTTGGGAACTCGATTGCGAAATCCTTCCGTCACCGATGGTTTCTGAAGGATTTTGGCATGCGCGCGCGACGACGCGCGCGTGTGCATTTCTTGTTTTCTGTTGCAAGTGATTCGCGAAAAAGTGCTATGTTAGAACAACAAATGTCACCGCATAGTGTTTTTTACAAGGGACCCTCAGGGGGGGAAACCGGCCTGCCAGGGATGGTATGATCTCATATTTAGGATGGACGAGTGTGCAGAATATCTATGAAATTATATTATCCCAGGGGGAAGCGTTAAGTCTGGGGGGGGGGTAGAGTCTATTCTTTTTTAGAAAGGAGAATTCACATTGACTGTCTTGAGCTGTCCTCTCCACTGCTCGTGCAAACATCCCACCCTCCCACCCGGAACTTGGTCGTATACCTCTTAAGACCGTGGCGGTAGGTACCAAATGGCACTTGGCAGCGACACCGACGACGACGACAGCGACAATGACGACGACGCCGCCGACACCGACTACGACGACAACGACGACGTCTCCAGCGACTTCGACGATGACGACAACGACGACGACGACGACGACACCGACGGCGACAACGACGCCGACGACGACGATGACAACGCCGACGACGACGGCGACGACGACGACGACGAAGCCGCCGACGACGACGACGGCGACGAAGACGACGACGACGACGCCAACGAAGACGACGACGACGAAGGAGAAGGGAGGACGACGCCGGCGACAACGACGACAACGACGAGGGAGGAGGGAGGGGCGACGACGCGAACGACGAAGGAGGGAGGACGGCGACGCCGACGACAACCACGAGGGATGAGGGAAGACGACGACGACGACGGCGACGAAATAGGAGGGACGACGACGACGACACGCCGACGACGGACGACGACGTTGAGGGAAGAGGAAGGACGACCACATCGACAACGACGACGGAAACGACGACGACGCCAAGACGACGACGACGACGACGAGGGAGCAGGGAGGAGGGAGGACGGCGACGACGAAGACGACGAAGACGACGACGACGCAAGAGCGCGCGCGCACGCTTCTGTTAAAAATCCTGTTGCGAAAACTTGCGTTTTTGTATGCTTTCTGGACACACGATTTTGAGATCCGTCCGAAACCTATGTGTTTTGAAAAATTTCGGCATGCGCGCACGACGACGCGCGCGTCTGCACTTCGCCTCATTTCTGTTGCAGGGGATTCTCCTGAGGGCACTCGCGCAAGGGCGTTCGAAAGATCTCGACATTCGCGCGCGCGAAGCCCGTTTTTTTACAGTTTTTTATGTTTTTTGTGCACATATTGAAAATCCCATGGTTCTCTTAAAATTTCGCAAGAGCGCGCGCGTAAGGTTTTTTAGGAACTCAGTGTTGCGAAACCCTGTGGTTTTGGATTTGTTTTGAAACTCGATTTTGAAATCTATCCGAACCGAAAGTTTCTGACGGATTTCGGCATGCGCGTGCGACGACGCGCGTGTGCGCAGGTCGTCCCATTTGTTGCAAGCGACCCGTGAAAACTTATGATTTGTGATAAACGAAAGCGCGCGCATAGTATATTTTGCAGACGATAGGGGGGGAAGTAATACTGGCTTGACTGGGATAGTATGAGTTCACATTTTGGATGGATGATGGGGCAGAGCCATATGTACTTTGCAACACGAAATGCGAATCGTTAATGATGGGGGGGGGGGGCAGAGTCCAGTCTTATTTTAGAAAGGAGAACCTATGTTGCGCAAAGCGTTACAACGCAAGGCAATGCAAGACAATGCGAAGGACGCTAAACCAATGCAAAATAGCGCGGTGCGAAGCAATGGATAGTACTGCGACGCAATGAGAACAGCGCGATGCAATGCAAGCGGACAACGACGGAGCGTCGACGGTGGCAAGATAGCCGCCAGACTGACACGGAGGCCTTGATGATGGCCTGCAACGAGGCGGCGACGGGGCGGCGACGGCGGCAACACAGCCGCCAGACCGCCACGCAGGCCCAGTCGACGGGCGGCGACGGAGCGGCGACAGCGGCAACGTACCTGCCAGACCGGCTCGCAGGCGCAGTTCCGTAATCTATGAGTGAAAGTTTTTAAGTGCAAGCTCTGTTGGGGGAATCGGTTTCTGCGTCTTCGAAGAATCGAGGGGTTCCCCTTTCGCCCTCGGCGGAGGCTGGCAGAGTGTCTGCGGAAGCTGCGGAATTGATGCGGGCGTGGTTTCGCCGGCGGAAGTTTCTAGAAACTCCCCAGATCACGGCCAGATGACGGGTGGAGTAAGCACGAACTCGCAAGAGTCGCAATGTTCGCGTATGTACAAAGGGGGGTCTCTGGAGAAGGCTAATTCACACAAATATGTTGAAGCCAGTTTGGAGACAATGCTGCGTCATCAAAGGGCGAGGGTCTGGGTGCATCCGTACTTGCAAGGGGCAGGTTACACAAAGACAACATGAAGAGCTAGGACATGTACACCTCGACCAATAATGGCATTATACCTTGGTTCTACCCCTCGACGACTTCGAAGACATGTTGCCCCTACTCCGGTTCGAGGAGTATGTCAATTGGTTGCGAATTATTCGGGAAGGGGGTGTCATGTTCTGATTTCAATACAGGTCCGTAGATGTTTTTGACAACGCTTGGGGCGTCCGTGCTCAACTTTTCATGTTGCGGCTGACCAAAGCATAGAACACAGCATCCCAAAGCATAACAATCACGACACCGATCGGGCCCCAAAAGAGCGAAACACGACAACCCAACACAGAAAAACAAACGGCAACCCAAAACAGAAAACAGTGGACACAAACGGGAAACAGAAAGAAAACACGAACGGAAAACGGCGAGACGGCAATCCCAAAACGGAGACAAACTTGTTCCCAAGACAGAAAACACTGTCCATCTTAAAAACGAAGAAAAACGATCCCAGCGTTTGTAAGAACATGTCAGGAAGTTCAGATGTCATCTGAAGGGGCCTGTCGGCCGCTTTCAAGTTCTCGCTGGTTTAGTATGTTGGTTCATCTGACTTCTCGTACGGTCGATGATTGGCCTTCGGATTAGAAAAACCTTGAGGCATGCACGGCTGAGTGTACTCTGGGGTAGAGGTTGAACATTCAGTTGCTTCTTAATTTATGTTTGCGCTGTCAGAGAGCACAGGCAGTGCCGCCCACAGGTGTCACAGTAAGAACGTGCATCCCCGCAGAAGTGAACCGGCTTGGAAGTGTAAAGCAGGCTTGCGATCAGAAGCCCATGGGACGGAGCCTTTGATACATGTTCGTAATCATTTGATTTCAGGCTCTGGATCTATGGTCATGGTTTCGTGCGACCTCAGTCCTCCCGCTCTATCTCTGCAGAAGCACCTCATCTCTCTCCCGATGAAGCTTTGCGCAACCAGCAGCACCTCATACTTAGATCGCTTGTGCACGCGAGGAAGGGACTGGGCCTCCATGTGAACGATGGAACATACGAGTTTGACTGCGCGGACACTCCACCGACACATGCCCACGCAATTCCGCCGATAAGCGCACTCTTCTCCACGCAGTGTGCCGCGCGACCGGCTTGCGTGGGGTCAGGAACGTTTGCTGGCGTGTCGCTCCGCCATCCCTGGCCCACCGTGCTTCGGCGCGACACGCTAACCATTGCCCCATCCTATAGCGTTCACGTCCCGAGACTTGCCCAGCCTTCCGCCACGCGGAGCGGAGCGACACGCTATATTTTTCCAGGGTGTACCGTGCGGCCGGGGCCTTGGCCGCGACACGCAAAGCAAAGCTTCTCCAAGTGGTTGGCCGTCAGCCGAGCGAGCACGACGGTGACTTAGGGGAAGGAGCTTCCAGATGCCGCCGATCGTCGGCGATGCTAACACTTCGGCGCTGTTGTGCTTGCGCGACGTCATCTTCCACAGTCTCAGCCTCGGTCATTGGACCACCAGGCCGCCTGATGACGGAACACCGCCAGACCCAGGGCCCGATGATCCCGCGCCCCGATGAGTTTGTTGCCCTGCTGTTCCAGTGAGTTTTTTTGGGGGTCCACGCGCCCAGACACCCGACGACGTGTTTTTGTTGCCCGGCCGCCTCCCCGTGTGTGTGTGTGTGCGTGTGTGTGCGTATGCGTGTGTGCGTGTGTGTGTGCGTATGCGTGTGTGTGTGTGTGTTTGTGTGTGTGTGTTTGCGTGTGTGTGTGTGTCTGTGTGTGTGCGTGCGTGCGTGCGTGCGTGCGTGCGTGCGTGCGTGTGTGTGTGTGTGTGTGTGTGTGCGTGTGTGTGTGTGTGTTTCTTGCCGACGGACTTCGGGCATATCGACTGCTCCAGGTCGGCGGCGAGCCCCGGGGGTGCAGCGAGAAGGACCGGGCCTTCTCAGAAGTCGGAGGCCCCCAAACGGTGTGGTGACCGCACCGTGCGGTGAGTCGGCGGGGATTCGGGGTCGCCGCACGGTTTTGGGACTCGGGTCGTTCTCCGAGGATGTCTCGGGCGAGAGGGGCCCCCGGGGTCCCAAAACCGTGCGTTGACGGACCGTGCGGTGAGGTCTTGGGGGATTTCGAGGTCACCGCACGGTCTGTCACCGCACCGTTTCGGGACTCCCAAAGAAGGCTCGGAGGTCCCCTGGCCTTCCGAGAAGTGTTCCCGGCTTTTCCTTTTGATGCTGACAACCTCTCAGAAGGCCAGAGGCCTGCTGAGAAGTTCCGCCGCCTTCTGACAAGAGGCCTCCTCCTTCTCACTTCCCCCCTCGCTCGCCGTTGCCCCAGGCCCGGCCCGTCCTCAGCCCAGGAGCGGTGTGAGGCGCCATCCTGCCTCGGCCAGGGAGGCATAGATACGCCGCTCCTGGGCCGAGGACTCCTGGGGCAGCGGATGTGTACAGGGCGGCTATCCAAAGCATGTAGTGTTGGACTCCCAGCTCCCAATCTATTTCAAGCGCTCCTACTTCAAGAATCGATACGCTTGTGCTGCGTTTTGTCGTTCTCGGGGAGGGCCTGCACCCAATCGATTATATCCACCATCCTACTTCATAGTTTTTACCTACGTCTTCTGACCGACAGGTAATAGGTATAGGTCTCGTCGCCTTAGTTTTTCGTCCAGGATCCACTTTATTGACAACGTCGCCGGGATGAAACAAAAATGCATTGTCTTGAGCCCCGCGCGCTGGGGGACAAGGAACGGGGGGCAGCGAGGGCTGCAGAAGAGGGGCCCTTTGGGACCCCGAAAGTAGCCCTTTCGGGCCCAAAAGGGCGTCCTCCGGGCCCGAGAACTGGGCCCTTCCCCCTTCCCTCATCGCCCCCCCAGTCATCGACGCCCAATCGTCGGCGATCGGAGCGTGTCACCGAAAGCCCCGGCAGCGCGGCCAGCCAGCCCATGGCCGCGGGGCCCCTCGCGGAGGCGTCGGCGCGGTTTTGCTGCTGTTCCGCCGGGGGCTGTTCTTTTGCTGCGCGCCCCCGCAGGTGGACCGCCTGGCCGACCAGCTGGTCGGGGATGGGGGGGCTGGTGCCGCCTGCCCGCCCGCCCCGCCGGCCCTGGCCTCCCGCCTGCGCGTTCGTCGTCGTCTGCCTGCTTCTCCCCTGCTCCTGTCCCCTCCGCCGCGCAGCACCGCCTGCCCGGGACCAGGCCCCGGCCGCGTACCGTTCTCCTGGCGCCACCCGCGGCGACGGCACCCTCGGGGGGTGTTTCTGTAGCAGATCATGGGGGGCCTCGTGTGCCCTCGCAACTCCGTCTTTCGAGTGCACTGGCGTCGATTCGCGTCTGGTCATCGGTGGGACAGCTCCGACTTGGCGTCGACTGGCGTTGGGTAGCGTCGATTCGGCGTTGACTAGCGTCGACGAGCGCGAACTCGCAAGAGCTAACATGATTGGGAGGCTGCCATGAGTTGCCACCGACGAGGGGCAACGTCGGGGGGGAATATAGCCTCGGCGGGGGACGGCAGGTTCGAGCTCCGAGGTTTCGGGACGTTCGTGTCGGTTCCTGGACGTGCCTCCGCTTCGGGATGACCTCCGGCAGCTGCGCCTCGCTGGGGGGCGCTCCAGGGGCGCCTGCTCGGCCCGAAAGACCGAGGAGGAGGAGGAGGAGGAGGAGGAGGAGGAGGAGGAGGACGAGGACGAGGACGAGGACGAGGACGAGGACGAGGACGAGGACGAGGAGGGACGAGGACGAGGAGGGAGGAGGGAGGAGGAGGAGGAGGAGGAGGAGGAGGAGGAGGAGGAGGAGGAGGAGGAGGAGGAGGAGTGAGATTTGACCCCCGAACCGAGACCAGTCGACGTTAGGGGGATCGGCTCAGGGGGGGAGGACTCGGCCCCAGGCCGCCCGCTCATCGCCGAGAGGGGGGCGGTGGCCCACCGCGCGGAGGGAACGGCTGGCCGCCTGGCCTCGCTAGCGGGGGCCTATCGCAGATACATCGGTCATGCATCGCCGATTCCGGGTCTATTCAGGGGGGGGGAAAAACACACAGACACAATGAATCCTCGATTCCCCAGAACATATTGGAAAATGTGGGAAGTGGGGGAGAAGACAAAAAACCCAAATATATTTGAAAATATGGGGAATCATTTTATTTGTGTGTATTCCTTTGTGTGTCTCAGGGCCCCTTCATCTATGTCCCCCCCCTTCGAGCCAGTCCCCCCACAGGCTGCCCTCTCATGGGGGTGGGCGAGCAGAGACAGGGCCCGCCTCAGCTGCCGCGCGGGAGGGTCCGATCGACGAGCAGGGCATCTATCCGTCTTGGGCGGTGGACTGTCAGTCTGTCCGCTTTGGCGCGTCCCCTTTTCGATATGTCCTCTTTCGTGTCGTCCTCTCTCGAAGCGCCGACGACATGAGCTCGGACAAAGGAGAGCGGACGAATCGAGCGGGACAACACGCGGCGGACGAAACGAGGCGGGCCGACATGAAATTCGGACGACGTGGTCTGGGGTACTCTCGAGGCCCAGGGGCCCTCGGGCACTCCAGGCCGCAAGCCCAGGCAATCCAACGCTTCCGGCCTCGGGGGCCCTTGCCAGGTCCAGGGCCGTCAACGAAACCACTCACGGATGGAAGGCCGTGCCCGGGGAGTGGGTCGATTAGGCAGCGAGTGAACATCTTGCATGACATGTATATGTACCACCCCGCCGTTGCGAATTAGAGTGGGGAGGCGGGCGCGGGTTGGGTCGCGGGTGGGTCGCCGGTGGGTCGCGGGGGTGGTTGCAGGTGGGTCGCGAGTGGATCGCGGGTGGGTCGCGGGTGGGTCGCGGGTTGGTCGCGGGTGGGTCGTGTGCCGGTCCGTGAGTAAGACGACGACAGCAACAAAGAAGAACGCAACAACAACTCGCACCGCGGACCCCCACGTCAGCCACGCACCCTGGGACCGTGACTGACCTTCAGGCCCATCGTGATATAGCCTTGCATTGAATGTCAGAGACTTCCAGTCGTCTTGCAGTGATTGTATGTCGGCGAATAGCGCCCAATAGCGCTCACTTGAAACAAATATCGCCCAATTAGCGCCCAGTAGGGCAATTAGCGCCCAAAGAGTGCCTAGCAGCGCCGAACAGCACCCAGTTTTCGAGATGCGATCCGGCAATAATGGTACGTCCCGCGCGGGGCGGGGCGTCCACCAGAGCCCGCCCACCCTGTATCCATGGGGTCGCGTTGAAAGATTCCATGACCACGTGGTCGTGGTTTCCCACTTGGGGCGGCGGCGACGCCGACGACGCTGTTTGGATGGTGTTGGTCGAAGACTCTGCGTACAATTCCACATTCTTGGAATTGTATGACAGGAGGTTTTCTTCAGAGCGTCTGCTAGCTTTCACCCGCCTGTGCCCTGAGCGGCCGCCCCTTCGCGGGCATGCAGGCTTGACCTTGACCTTGACCTTGACTCTGCGTAAACACAGAAACGTTCGGAACTAGCTCCGCGCGGATTTCTTGGATCGGCTCTGAACCCCCCCCCCCCTGGCGCCGCCTCTGGCGCCGCCTCTGGGAGAGGGGTCCAGCGCGGATCCACCATACCCGTGCGGGCCTCCGTGAGTTTGTGCATATGTTCTGGGGAAGCGTAAGACTCGAGTTCGCCAGATTGTTATGTTTCCGACGCTTTTTGCGGGGAGGTGACCCCACAGTGAGTTCCACCCAAGGCCCCAGTGGCCGCGTTCACATGCGTCCATCCCACCCACCGCGTGCCCATTTCGGCACACCTTTCACACGGTTCGTGGCCCCATAGGGAGCTCCTCCGAAGGCCCCGATGGCCGCGTTCACATGCGTCCACCCCCCACCCGCATGCCCATTCCGGCACACCCCTCATCGGGGTCGGCCCCATAGGGAGCTCCACCAAAGCCCCAGCGGCCGCGTTCACATGCGTCCACCCCGCCCACCGCATGCCCATTTCGTCACACCCCTCAGCCGGTTCGTCGCCCCATATGGAGCTCCACCCAAGGCCCAGTGGCCGCGTTCACATGCGTCCACCCCGCCCACCGCATGCCCATTGCGGCCCACCCATCACATGGTTCATGGCCCCATGGGGAGCTCCACCCAAGGCCCCAGTGGCCGCGTTCACATGCGTCCACCCCGCCCCCCGCATGCCCATTTCGGCACACCCCTCAGCAGGTTCGTGACCCCATAGGGGAGCTCCACCCAAGGCCCCAGTGGCCGCGTTCACATGCGTCCACACCGTCCATCGCATGCCCATTTCGGCACACCCCTCACACGGTTCGTGGCCCCATAGGGAGCTCCACCCAAGGCCCCAGTGGCCGCGTTCACATGCGTCCACCCCGCCCACCGCATGCCCATTTCGGCACACCCCTCAGCAGGTTCGTGACCCCTAGGGGAGCTCCACCCAAACCCCCAGAGGCCGCGTTCACATGCGTCCACACCGCCCACCGCATGCCCATTTCGGCACACCTTCCACACGGTTCGCGGCCCCATAAGGAGCTCCACGCAAGGCCCCAGTGGCCGCGTTCACATGCGTCCACCCGCCCACCGCATGCCCAAATCGGCTCACCCCTCAGACAGTTCGCGGCCCCATAGAGAGCATGGCGTCCAAGGCCACAGTGGCAGGGTTCGCATGCGTCCACCCGCCCACCGCATGCCCATTTCGGCACACCCTTCACACGGTTCGTTGCCCCAAAGGGAGCTCCACCCAAGACCTCTTTGGTGTAGGTGTCCCGGGGGCTCCCGCATGAGCTGTCCTCGCCCCGATACGAGTTTCCTGCTTGAGACTTCCACAAAGCGGACGTGGCGGCGGAGGTATTCGCCGGAGCCGTTCATAAATCTGAGGTGTGTTGCTGTTCGAGCTGTAATCTCATGCCAGGAGGCTGGGAACACAAGGCGTGGCCGGCCTGAGCGAGAACTGCTGGCATCCGTAGCCGTTGTGGCTCAAGCCGGGGCCGCCCGCGGCCGCTGGATTTGTGCACGCAGCGCTCCTCAGGAGGGACGGCACCGCCGTGGCCCGTGGCGACAGTGAGTATGACCAGAGCGGCCTGCCAACGCCTGTCGCGGGGCTGACCTGCAGGCAGGTCGCCGCTGGAGGAGACCACACAGTGTTCCCGCGGCCGCTGGATTTCTGCACACAGCGCTCCTCCGGAGCGGCGTCTTACCACCGTCACCCGCCGCCACTGCGACTTCTCGGGCCGCACCACTCCTGCGGTGCTGCGCAGCTGGTCCTTCTCCGCCTCCTTCTCCTCCTCTTTCTCCTTCTCCTTCTCCTCCCCCTCCTCCTTCTCATGCTCCTTCTCCAAACCCCTCTCCGCATTTTTTCAACATGAATACTACTTTCAAATTTCCCATGACACTCGGGTGTCGGCAAAAACATGCCCGTGGTGTTTGATCCTCGTATGAAGAGAAAGTGACCCCTCACCCGGATCGTGGCCTCAGGGGGAGGCCAGTCGAAGTGTGGACCCAAAGCGCGGTATCCCCAACTGCTTGATGGTTGGGTCATTCGTCAGGATCATTTCTTGGGCGTCCCCAGTCTGCTTGTGAATTCGCGCGACCGCAGGCGTCTCGCCAGAAAAGCGTTTGGCGCTTCTGGGCGTCCTCGCGGCCACGGCTCGGCGCGGCTCGGAGAGCTGGCCCCCGGGAGGACCTAGCGGGGGGGCCGATTTTGTCTGACTTTCTGGCCGGGGCTTCGGGACAACGGCAGCGCGATCGTCGAAGAAGGCACATCTTCTCTCATAACGAGCTGCGTCGTCGTCGTCGTCGTCGTCGTTGTCGTCGTCGTCGTTGTCGTCGTCGTCTGATTTGTCAGGTCCAGGTGACGCAGCAGACGTCGCGACGGCTGATTTTTCTGTGCATTCGGTTTCCAGAGGTCTTTTCTCGGCCTTGGGACCGTCACAACCAATCCGAAATCAAGAAGGGGTCCTCGGGAGGAGGTCGAAATCGGGGGGTGGGAGCGTCTTGGAATAGAAAGATTTGGTCGTGAGGGATTGTGGGTAGTTGGTAGTTATCATGATTGGTCACTGGCGATGCCCTACCTCCTAGCCCCAGACTAACTGCAACAAAAACAAGGCTGCTCAGAAAAGTAGTGGATCTCGGGGATGTAGCTTTTGGGCCGTCTCTTGGTATTGGGGCCCTCCTTGAACCCTCATTGCCTGTCTTGGGGCTCTCTTGCCTTTGTTCAAGTAACGCGAGAATCCCTGAAAGTCAGGCGACAAGTTCCGAACAGTCCGTCTCTTGGGCCCCTGGTCCCTTGAGCAGTGTTTACAGCACACTGCTCGAAGGGACCTCGGGGCTCCCCTCTCAGCTCCCAGGCCCGGTGGCGGATGTGAAGCTGAAGAGATTTGGAACAAAAAGGTCAACTATTGCGTTTTAAGGGGATCGATGTAGTCCGAGGCTCCGAAGCGAGAGTGTATCTTCCTGTGGAATCGACCTCTCGGGACCTCGGCAGGCGGTGGAACCATGGTTAGATTCGAGCAGGGGCCCAGAGATATCCATATCCGCCACCACCTGGGGTCCCAGGGCACCCCCTTCCCCAGGCGGTGGGCATGGACCTATGCATGCCATGCCCCGATGTTTCCAATACGCGGTCCGCGGATGTCCCGACCTTTTCTACCCCAGGGCGGGCTCCAAGGGCGGGTTTCAACTTGGGCCCAGTAAGGGCCCCCAGATGCATAGCATCGAGGAACAGCTCCGTCTCGATGTGTTGAATACTTGGTTGTTTGGGGATAAGTCCTCGCCCGCCTCGCATCTGGGGATCAGATGTTATTGAGAACGAACGCCTGCATTATTCGTTGATTTCTCGACAATGACGTTCCAGTAACGATGCCCTTGGATGCGAACGTCAGCCGTGCGGCATTGTCGCACCTAAAGGCGAATTGCACACGCATTCAAACGATAATAAAATGAACCGGGGACCTGAACACGTAACACAACAACGCCTAACACTACAAGAAGATGCCGATCTTGAGCTCGAAGGGGAGCGCCCCCACCGTTTTGTAATATCATTGGAGCTCTGACTCTGGGGCCCCTGCACGCTGTCCCGCTCGTCAGCGGCCGCTGTGCTACAAGCGGTGGGCGCGGGCAGGGCAGGAGCTCGAGCGCGGCCGCCACGCGGCGCAGCTGGCCTCGGAGCGGGAGCGCTGGGAGGCGGCCCCGGCGGGTGGGGCGGCCCGCGCGAGGTCAGCTGAGCACCAGAGGCTGGTGCCCAGAGGTGCTCGCCTCGCAGCGGAATCGCGACGGGACGTTTGCGGCCGTTTTCGGCCTTCGGGGGCCCTAGTCGGGTCCTGGGGCTGTCGAAAAAACGATTCGGGGTGGAAAACGGGCCCTGGGAAGAGGGTCGGGATTTCGGGAACCCCGAGGCTGCTGAGGCTTCGGGCTGCGCGCAGGCAGCCCCCCCCCCCCCCAAAGTAGTCCCGACTTGCCTCAGCAGGCCCCCCGAGTAGTCCTGGCTGGCCTCAGCAGGCCTCTCGAGTGGTCCTGGCTGGCCTCAGCAGGCCACCCAGGATGTCCGGGGCGGTCTCAACACCCAGGCGCCGCCTCAAGCGGCGCCCCCTGGGCGCGGAGCACCCCAAGAGGCCTCCACTACGGCCACATGACGACGCAAGGAGGCCCAAGACGGCCCAGTAGGCCTCCAGGACGACCCATCAGAGCCCCACGGCGGCTCCAAGAAGGGACGGCGAGGCCCCCAAGACAGACTCCGAATGCGCCAGACTGCCCAAGATCGCTGCTAGTAGACGGCTTGCGCGAAGCGACTCCCAGGAAGCAGAGCTGAGCAGTGCACTCCTGAGGTCAGTCCCACGCCCCGCGGCCACCCCGCGCCACGCCTATAGGCCTCACGGCGAGAGCCCTCCGTGAGGCGGCAGCGGCTGGGTCCCGGGGCGGAGCGGCTCTCACAGAGTCAGACGCGTCCGGCCGCCTACTGTGCCACTTCTATCGCGTGCGCAGCGGCAGGTTCGCGTCGCCTCGGTGCGGCGGCGACGCGGTACGGGCGCCAGTGGTTGATCACATTCGGTCAGGCTCGGAGGCGACGATGGGTGCGAGTATCCCAGGGGCGGACATTGCATGTACATTGCACGGACTCGCCTGGAAGCCTCGCCGAAGACATGGACCATCAGCGCCCTATTGCTCCTCGCCTAAGACAGTCAGAGGATAAAAGCACGCTGTTGACGATGCGCTTTCCTCGTCTTGGCTTTTTTGTGGGACACCTGCGGGGCCTTCGTCGCCCCGACTGGGGATTCCCACCTGACGCCTGTTCAGAACGTGCCCTGGGAGAGGTCTTTCGAATGTCGGTATAGGTACCTTTTTGTTCACACGCTCCAGGTCTTCGTCTCGGGTCCCGAGACCCACTGAACCCACGACGTTGATAATATAACGATAGTTGGTGTTGGTAGCCCCATGAGGCCTCCAACAGCCTGAAATGTTGAACGGTTCGCGCGGTAATAGAGATCAGGACCCACGTAGGGCGCTCCAGAAAATGCTTCGCCTTCGGTAATCGAATGAGTTGCCTTTTGCTTCTCGAAGGAAGGCGGCGGAAGGTCGGCGGGAATTGGTGGAAGCAAAGCTCGGGCAGAAAGTTGGCGGAAGTTGTTGGAAGAAAAAAATATGTTCCCGAGAGATGTCAGTGTCTTTGGATCCAAGGTTTCCAGAACGGTCCACGTGGGCATGACGATTGTTGTCTGAGATGATTAATTCGGAGGCTAAGAAATTCGGGTTGCATTTGCGTTGGCCGCAGCGCCGCTCTTGGGGCTTCATGAAGGCCATGCGTGTTACGCGCATGTAGCTTTCTGTAATGAGTTTTGTTGTTTGAACTACTTGCACGCGCTCAGTCATTGCAGCAATCTTCAATGGAAGTAATTACCAACGTTGTCTGCACAGACAGAGCCATTCCATGTTTCCTGACTGAGTGTAATTTGCTCGAGTGTGTCTGCTCCAGCTGGCGAGTTCAACGATCCCAGAATTGACTATGAGGGATTCTTCCTGAAGTTCAAAATTTGTCGAACCTATTGACAGTCACGGCAGGCACAATTCGGAATGAACATGTTCACAGACACGCTGGAAACATGGCCAATCATAGCCATAGATTTAACATCGAATCTCAGCCGCCCGATTCGCCCTGTTTTGTCCTGTGCCGATGTTGTCCCGTCATTGGCTTCGTCTCAGGTGAAGGATGGCTGGGGGAGAGCGTGGGCTCGGTAGCAATTCATGGGAGCCTTGAGTGTGTTCTCGCAAATCCATTTTTAGAAAGTGCAGTCGAGCGTGCGCAATCGATGAGAGAGCGCCGATTTGGTGCCGATCAGCGTCCATCAGCATCGACTCGCGGCAGTTACCGTCGGTCAGCGCTGATCCGCAAGAGCCAGCAAGATAGTATGGGAGGCCCCTGAGTTTCGATTGAAAAAGCAGTGGGCGCTTGCCACTTTTCGATTCTGACTCGGCGATCACGTTTTGAAAACGACACCCTGGAATGTGGACGTCAGGCAGGCGGCATTGTGACGTATTCGAAGTTTATTGTCATGCGTTTAGAAGGGGATGAAAGCGTGCAGTGGGGGCCACGGGCGGAGCCCAAGCCTGAGAACGTAACAGCACGGGCGCCCAACACGGAAAGAAATGCAGATCTCAAAAACGATGTTTCAAAAAAACGCCCCAGCGATTTGAATAGCATCTTGGAGGCTCCCTTGAGGTGCCACCGAAGTTTGACCTCAATACCCGAATTTCAGGGCCAGCGACATGTGCACTATACTATCTCATGTTTGTCATCCATTCGACTAGAAACATCGGCCTAAACATTTCATGTACTGTCTCTGGGTTCGTGGCCGAAGTGGGGTTCCGCGGTGCGGATTGCTGTGCTTGTTGTTTGTTGTTGCGTCGTTGTTTGTTGTTGTCGTCGTCCCACCCGCGCCCTGACCCGCGACCCACCCTCGCGACCCACCCGTAACCCACCCGCGACCCACCCTCGCGACCCACCCGCAACCCACCCGCGACCCAACCCGCGACCCAACCCGCGACCCATCCGCGACCCACCCGCGACCCATCCGCGACCCATCCGCGACCCACCCGCGAGCCACCCGCGACCCACCCGCGACTCACCCGCGACCCACTCGCGACCCACCCCGCGCCCGCGTCCTCACTCTTATCCGCAGCTGCGGGGTGCTACATCAGAGTGAGGGGTCGAACGGTCATTCTTTGTCCCTGGGCGCGTGGCTGAAGTGAGCTTCTGCGGTGCGGATTGTTGTTGTTTGTTGTCGTCGTCCCCCCCGCCAGCCAGCCCGCGACCCACCCGCGACCCGGCCCGCAACCCTTTTGCGACCCACCTGTGACCCACCCGCGACCCACCCTGCGAACCATCCACATTGCTTTAACGAAGAAATCGGCGCCTGCGGCGGGCCCACTGCATAATTTGTAAAAAGTGCGGCGCCCACGGCGGGCTTCTTTGGAGCCTCGCAAACTGCCGACGTCCTCGCAGCCTCTTCATTAATATCCACAGCTGCGGAGTGTTACGTATGTTTTTCAACGTCTGTCTCCTGGATAACTGACCGCAGAATCATACACTACGTTGTCTTTTGTTGGCTTGTCTGCGAAACCACATGGAAAAGGGCCCGTATATTTTTAGTGCATATGCACGCGGCCCCCGCGCGCAGACCGAGCGGGAGCAGCAGGCCGGCGCCCTCGGCGGCACGCTCCAGCGGCAGCTGGAGCGGGTGGAGCAGGAGCTTCAGCGGGAGGCGCAGGCCAGGGAGTTCTGGCAGCAGGAGCGCCGCTTCGCCAGCCATGGGAGGCACCACGGGGCAAGCACGCACTATAGGTCCGCGTCGTGTCGACGTGGCGGCGACCTCGCCGTTCGCGTTCAACGTTGAACGCCGCTGGCGACCCAGAATCGGTAAATGCTGAACGATCTGACGCTCTGGAAGCGGCCGATCGCTCGAGGTTGAACGATCCCAAATCGGTAAATGCTGAACGATCTGACGCTCTGGAAGCGGCCGATCGCTCGAGGTGGAACGATCCCCGCGGTGTCGGAGACCAAGGCCGAGGTCGGCACCACGCGACTTTGCCGCAGCCCCCCCCACAATCATGGATGTGAGTGAGGGGGCGCCCGGGTCGTCGGCCGCCTGCGAGGTTCTGAAGAAGCCCGCCGCAGGCGCGGATGTTTTCATAGACGTTGCACGAGGGGCCCGCCGCAGGCGCCGACTTCGCGTGGAAGCAATGGAGGAGGGTCGCGGGTGGGTCGCGGGTGGGTCGCGGGGTGGGTCGAGGGGGCAGGCGCCGGTGGGTCACGGGGTGGGTCGCGGGTGGGTCGCGGGGGGGGTCGCGGGGGGGATGACGACCTTTTGAGCAATCATTTTACGATTGTATATGCCAGACCCTCGATTTCCCTCTTCGCTCGTGCCCACCATGGGGGGCATATAACCATCAAGCAGTGACGAAGCCCCCTGGCGTGCCTATAGTCCTGCCAAACAATGTTCTAAGAACCTTTTGTGGTTCCCACGGAATGTTCTTAGAACGTTTCTGGTTGGAGTCTGCCTTATTTTATCACATCGGGTTTATGTTCTAAGAACATTGTTTCTGCTCTTAGAACATCTTTGGGTTCTAAGAACATTTCGTGCTAGGACTATAGGAATGCCGGAACGGTCGGTCCCTGCTCAAAAACCTCATCTGCAGCGAGTATTTCACTCAGCCCGTAGAACAAGGGAAAAGGGGGGAGGGAAGGGACATTGGGAAGAGAGAGGGATGGAGCACGCGTAGCAGGAGGGGGGTTAGGAGCAAAAAGGAAGGGCAAAAGCAGACTGGCGGGTCGGGGTCGGGCGGGCGGGCCCATGCGTCGGGGTCGAGCAGGCGGGTCGCTGAAGCGTCAGTCCTATATGAATCGCAAAGCGAGTCCACAGCGATAGCGCGATGCCCAAGTAAATCGTTAGATAATACACAGTCGTGGCGTGATCCCTGAGTGTTTGGGGCGCGGCGTTTCAATCCATTGCGATGAGTTACCACCCGAGAGCGCGATTCTTGGATGCATTGTGAGGAGGTCCCGCGCGAGAGCGCGAACTTTCATAACTTGTGAGGAAGTATCAGGCTCTCACGCGGCCCAAGGGCAGCGAGGGGGCCACGAAGGGCGAACGAGCGGGGGCCACGAAGGGCTGCAACGGGGCCACGAAGGGCAGCAAGGGGGCCCCGAAGGGCTGCAACGGGGCCACGAATGACAGCGAGCGGGCCACGAAGGGCTGCACCGGGGCCACGAAGGGCAGCGAGGGGGCCGCGAGGTGCTGCAAAGGGGCCACGAAGACTAGCGAGATCCCGATTCCTAAATACGCTGTAATGGAGTCCTAAGCGTGAGCGCGACTCCTGGATGCCTGAGTGTCGGGGGCGCGGCGCTTGAGTAAATAGTGGGGAATTCCAAGGCAAGAGCGCGATTCTTGAAGAAGTTGCAAGCAAGTCTCCAGCGAGAGCGCGACTCTAGAGCGCCGAGAAAGCGATTCCAGAATACATAGGAATTCCTTAAGCGAGAGCGCGACTCCTGAGTAAAATGCGAGAAAGTCTCAAGCGGAAACGGGGTCCTGGCTAAATTGCTAGGAAGTCTCAGGCGGGAGACGTTGTTGTTGTTGTTGTTGTTGTAATCCAAAGGCCAGTGGCGAAGCTTGAGCTTAGTGACTTTCCCTGATTGAAAAAAGGTGCGCCCCGGAGGAAGCATTTCAAATTGGAAACACAAGGGTGCGAGCCCCGGGGGGATCAACCATCTTTATTTTTCTGTTTCGAGAATTCAACAACAACAACAACAATCACAACATTCCGCACCGCAGAACTTTGCTTTAGCCACGCGCCCAGGGAAAGTGAATGACCGCTCGGCCCCCGTTGATATTTTTTTACCTGAGAACTTAGCAGCAATAGCTGCACGCGGAATCCTGACCACGAAATCCGATTTCACCCTCGCACCCAAGGATGGTGAAAGACCGTTCGGCCCCGTCTTTTTTCTTTCTGTTGAGAAAGAGCCTCGCACATATCACGTACGTGCGTCCACCAAGAATTTGAGAGAGTTATTCGGGTTCTCGCCTTTTTGCTCCTAGGCGCGGCAGAGATGCCCAAGAAGCCCTCCAAAAGCTGGGCCAAGGCGGCGCAGAAGGGCCCCAAGATGACCCCATGACTGCCCAAGAGAGTCACAAGATTGCCCCGAAATGGCAGCAAAACTGCATCCGAGATGGACCTGGGATGCCCCCAGGACGACCTCCGAAGGCGGCGCCAGACGGCCGCTCAATATACTTCCAGGCTTCCCAACAGGAGTCCGAGCAGATGGGGTCGGAGGATTGCGGCCGGGCCGCAGCGCCGATGCATCGCCGATGTGGCTCGATCGATCCACGCCGACGGCGCCGATGCATTGCCAACGTCGCCCAGTGCGATGCATACAAGATGTGTCGGCGATGCGGCACGATTCTCCGACACCATGCATTCGGACGACATGTAAGGGGCCTTGATTACTCAGCATTACAGCCCCAGACCACCTTCGCGTTGTGAAACAGGCGCGGCCGGATGTGTTCCATAATTTTCCGCCTTTGGGTTGCCTCGCCGGGCCCCGGGACCGTCAATAATCTGTCCAGGATGAGAACACCGGTCCGGGAAATGGGTCGAGACCTTCTGGGGCCCACGTTGTGGGAAATGTCTGAGAATCACGCCGGGGATCTAGGGCTGGCACTGAATCATCGGCTCTCCACGTTGGTATGTTCTTGTCTTTTGGTGCGTGGTGTATCTACTGGGCGTGTGGCCTGCGGCGACGGTCATCATGTTCATAATCCACGCCCGTGTGGCCGTGCTTCAACTGTGTAACCAAGACCGATCCTGACATGGCCATCCTGAGCCCAGACTAGGGGCATACTGCCACATCGAGCCTCATTGGCGATGCGGCGTAATCTTCCGACCCCGTCTATCATGATCCCATCCGGGAGGCCTAGAACGAAGGCTCAGTCACCATCGAATCAGGACATCGGATCGACTCGGAGTCTGCGTCGACCAGGATCGATGTTGGGGTCAGGCGTCCTCCTCAAGCAGCGCAGCACATGCTTTCCCGATTGCCTTTCGAGAGGTTTTGCCTACGGTTGTCCCGAGCGCGTGAAACGAAACAGCAATGTTTGGACTATAAGCAAAACAACAACATAACACACATAAGGACAACACGCAAAATCACACAAACAAAACAACATGCTTGGACTCGGTGCCAGGGCAACATTTCGGACGGGTGGCCCGAAATAACGAGAGTTTCTCTCCGTGTGCTAAGTGGGAGTGCTGATTTCAGTCCTCCTCCCCGCTCCCGCAGACCATCCCGCTCGCGTACCCCCGCACACTCCCTCTCGCTCTCTTCGCAACCATCGTTCTCACTCACGCTCACCGCCGCATCCGTCGAATCTGCATCCTCACCCTCATTGGCGGCACGCTCACCCACACAAGATACTCATCATCACATTGATCGTATTTGCACACTGCGCCTTCAGACTGTCGCAGACCAATAGGCTTAGAAAGAACCTCGGAATTGGAGCATACTGCTCTACGCCTGGGTGTCAGCTTTAGCCTTCGGATACGGTGACGGGACGCCAGTTCTAAGACTCGTCTCTGCACCTACTTGCTATCCTTCCCGGCCTACCCGGCCTAGCCTCCTCCGTCCGCGCAAGCCTTTAGACTCTAGACACCACGACACCCCCTAGCTTATATTGAACTCGCCAGCCTCTTGGACACTCCTAGAGCCAGAGTTCGACATGCTGGCCCCCCAACCCACGATGCGAGTTGGTTGTTGGGCCACGGCATTGCCCGTCCGGGCCTGATGGTCGCGGCCTTGCCCACAGCAGGGCTCGATTGATGCTTTTTCGCTCGCTTTCCCCCCCTCGTCCTCTTCCTCCGCATCCCCCTCCTCCTCGCGCCTCGCGTGTTCCTCCGTTCCTCCTCCTCCTCCTCCTCCTCCTCCTCCTCCTCCTCCTCCTCCTCCTCCTCCCTCTCGTCCTGCCAGCCTCAAGTTCCAAGACTTGCGTCAGCAAGTGCCCTCCTCCTCTCCCCGACTCGTCTTCCCACCCTTCACCTCCCCTCCTCTCCTTTCACCCCATCATCCCTTCTCTCTCTTCTGCTTCGTCGTCGCTCCTCTCCCTCCTCTCCCTCTCCCCGGCCCCTCCGACACTGCGACAAAGACACGACGAGCATAACGAGTACGAAGCCAGCGCCGCCACCCACGACGACGACGACGACGACGACGACGACGACGACGACGACGACGACGACGACGGCGACCACGACGACCACGGCGACGACGGCGACGACTCCCCCGCCGAGGAGTGCGCCGCCATCGAGGAGAAGCGGGACATCCTCGAGGCGCTCCGCCCGCCCCCCACCGCGACGCCAGGACGACCACGGCTCCCTCCCCTGGCGCCCCTCCTTGCCGCCCTCCCTCCCTCCTCCCTCGTCCTTCTTTCTCCCTTGCTCTCCTCCTCCCTGCTTCCGCTTTCGGGGCCGGTTGTGGGCTTCCCGGGGGGAGTCTTGGAGGCAGATTGGAGGCCTGTAGAAGGCGTGTTGGATGCATTTGTTGGCATTCCTAGGGACCTGTAGGGGGTTTCAGGGAGTCTCTTCGGGCCCAGTTGGAAACGTCTTAGGGGCCTCTTCAGGCCTCTTGGGGTCCTCTGGGGGCCTGCTGGGGGCTTCTTGTTGCCGGTTTCTGTACGTATTCCGCCGTCTTGGCGCCCACTCCGGCGCGTCTTGGGCCCGTCCTGGGGCCCTCTTGGGCCAGTCTGGGGGCCTTATGGGCCATCTTGGGCCCTTCTTGGGCCGTCTTGGAGCCCTGTTGGCGGCTTCTTGGGTCGTCTTGGGGCTCTCTTGGGGCGTCCGCGACGCTCTGAAGGCCCAAGAGGCGAATACGCTAAACGAACTCATATTTAGGATCGGCGATGGGGCAAAACCGTATGCGAATTGCAACACAACAGTGTCTACCGATAAAACCCCAGGGGGGATCTTGAGTCTTTTTTTGTTTAAAAAACGCGAATACACGTTGTTTCGCAATCTACTTTGTGCAATCTATGTAAGTGGCACGGTCCAACGGCGGCGACGAGCGGAGACGAGCGGCGACGGCGGGCGGCGACGGCGGCCACATCGCCGCCAGACCGACCGCCAGGCTCAAACGACGAAAGGCGACGACGCGGCGACGGGGCGGCGACGGCGGCCATGTATCCGCCAGGCCGACTTTCAGGCCCAGCCCCTAAGAACACAAGTAAGAACGCCTAAGTACGAACGCTATTTGGGGAATGATGCTGGCCTACTGGCGGACTTTTTGGGGTTTTTTGGGCCCGTCTTAGGGGCCTCCTGGGCGCTTCTTGGGCCGTCTTGGGCTCTCTTGGACATCGTGGCGGTGTTTGAGGCATCTTGGGACCGTCTGGGAGGCCATCTTTTTGTTATCTTGTGCTCTCTTGGGGCCATCGAGTCCGTCTTGAAGGCACATCCGGCCTCACAGGCGAAGCTCGCCGGCGCCCTGCTCACCAGCGAGGCCCACGGCTGCATCCACTGCGGCACGCCCTGCGCACGGTGCTTGCCCTCGACAGCGCCGCCACAGGCGCGCCTCCCCGCGCGGCCGGTCGTCGTCGTCGGCGTCGGCGTCGGCGCAGGCGTCGTTGTCGTAGTCGTTGTCGTTGACGTTGTCGTTGTCGTCGGCATCGGCGTCGGCGTTGGCGTTGCCGTCTTCGTCGTCGTCGGAGTCCGTCGGAGGGTGACGATGGGGATCTGCCACAGGGTGTTCGCTATAGGTGCTTTTTGATCCACTCATGGTTCATGTACCGCCATCACAATGCTCAGGTATGGATGGCGCCCATTGCTTGCGGGCATAACCTTGCAGGAATACTACGCTCGAGAATTGTCCGTTAGCGGCGACGCATCGCCCAGCCATCGTCGCCCGCTGTGCTACGTCGCGGGCCATCAACTGGGGTGAGTCGATCGCTTCCTCCCACTTTGCAAGTTGTGATTTCACCTTTTGCTCTCTCCGAGTATACAAATTCACTTCGCGTGGTCCCATATGTGAATTCACACTTTTCGGTCGGCTGATGTAAAAGAATAAAGAAACCGGAAATTGAGAATTCACATGATGTGTCGATCAAAGTTGTGAGTTTACATGTTGCGACCTTTTATCATTTGATTTCACACATTGCGTTTTCCCCAAGTTTGATTCCACATGTTGCGTTTTGCAGCGAATCGATTTCGCTGTGTTTGTGCCCGCGACAGTGGCTGGGCGAGGCGTTACCGCCAACGGGCACGCTCGATCGCCGCACTCCTGCCTCAATACGGCCCCGTCGACGCCATCCATACCCGAGCATGTTCATGGGCGGCTCCTCAGCATGAACGGATCAAACAAAGATTGAGAGCGCCCTGTGGCGGACACCCTTCAGCTCCATGGCCTCCATATCCTCCGTCATGATTCAAAAAGGAAGAGGTACATATACCGTTGCCCTTTCCTCGTTTGGGCCTGTTCGGGCCGCCCGGGAGGCCCTGGTCGCCTCGGCTGGATTTCCTTCAAGGTTTCAGTCAGAACAGCAGTTGCGGTATTGGTGAATCTTGTAAGCCTTTTCGCGTCAATGGAAATCTTCGACGTTAGGCTCTTTGCTGTTTTCTGCCTCCGAGGGCCCTCGCCTGGCCCTGGGACCTTCAGCATACGATTCGGGGTGAAAACTCAGTTCCTGGAAGGAGTCGGGACCTCCAGGGGTGTCCAGGGATTCAGACCAGCCCCAGGGAAGGGGTCCAGAATTCCAGGGGTCCGCGATCTGGGAAGAAAGAAGACGTCGGAGGTTGGTTCGGTACGCTCGCGTCGTGTCGACTGGCGGCAACCCCGCCGCGGGCGTTAACCGTTGAACGCCGCTGGCGGCCCAGAATCTGTCGGTGTTGAACGATCTGAGGTCTCGGGAACGACCGATCGTTCCAGGATGAACGGCCCGTGCGGTGTCAGGAACCAACGCCGGGGTCGACACAACACGAGCCTGGGGTACCCTGCTCTGCCCCCCCGCCAGGGAGGGAGGAGGCCCTCTGGACTCCTCTTCCTGCGGCGGTCTCCCAGCGGCGCGTGCAGCGCAGGCACGAGGCGCGGGACGCGCTGTCCGCGGTTGTCTTCGTCGTCGCCATTGCCGATCGAGGTTCGAGGATTGAGGCTTTGTATTTAGGTAGTTTTTTGGGCCGCCTCCTTTCAGGCAGCAGTATGCATATCCAGTGCGCCTTGGACTTTCTTGGAAAGGGGGCCGCAAGACCGAGGCGCATTGTATATGGGTAAAATCGAGCCTCTAGGGGCCAGATGTTTGTCCATATCAAGTGCGCCTCGAGTTTCTGAGTAGGTGAGCCCGCAACTCCGAGCTGCAGTGGATATGGACACAAGTCTTGCCCGCATCCTGGGGTCCTTCGGGGGATCTTCCAACCACCCCCGGCGGATGCTTTGTGGTTGTGCACAGCGTGTGCCCTCGGGGTTCCTCGACCCATTTCCCGGCGATCGGCTTCTCACTCCACGGGTCGCTGTCTGACGTTCCCGCGGGGCCCTGCGAGGGTCCCCATAGGCCGAGCGTGCAAAGCAGCACCTCCCGGCGCTCTCTTTTCACGACGCGAGGGCGTCGAGGTCCCGCAACGCGGAGGGGCCGTTGGAGGCCTCCCAAGGCAGCGACGGGCCCGCAGACGTCAAACGCACACAGAAACGAGCACGAGCAGACGCCAATCACGAAGACGACGGCGACGACGACGACGACGACGCAGACGTCGACGATGATGACGACGACGACGCCGTCGACGACGACGACGTCGACGATGACGACGACGACGAGACGATGACGACGACGACGCGACGACGACAACGACCTCGACCACGACGACCGCTGCCCGTCCCCCGGCGGAGACCCCGGCGCCGCCGGAGCCCCCGCGCTCCGAGTACGGGCGCCCGGCGGAGGGCCTGCAGGGGCCGGTGGAGGCGGTGCGGGACGAGGACGACGAGGACTTCCGCGCCAGAAGGCGCAGCCGACGCGTTCGGCGCTGCAGCGGCGTCGATCGGCGGACCGCGGGCGCTTTGGCATCGCTCGGACGTGTGCATTCTTCTTCGGCGCGGACAATCGAGGAGTAACCGCATATTGTGGATCGTCTTGCGGAGCAATCAACGCATGAAGCCAAACAATGCACTGGGAATGGGCGTCCGAGCAATGGCAAAGAGGGGCCTTGCTTCTATGGGGATCGTGGAGGGGGGTATCCCAAGGTGGGGTCAGGGAACGAACCCGACTGGATGGTGAACGCTCACGTTCCCCTCATCGTCGATGGGGACACTGACAGCGATGTTCCTCTGACCCCACTCGTTCCCCTATCCCACCTTCACGTCCCCCCGACTGTCGCTCGAAGAAGGGAAGACGGCAGGATCGTAACTTCCGGAGCTTCGGGCGGATTCCCTGGTCGGCGCTAGGCCTCCGTGGCCAGGGAGGGGGGTCCAGCGCCGAGCCGAAAATCCGCGCGGAGCTCCGAAATGCTGTGTTCACGTTTAGTTGTTCGTTGTCTGTTCGCCCGGGTTCCCCCCCGACAGGAAAGCTGGGCAGGGCTTGCATTCGCAGTTGCGCGCTTTGGCTTGGCCCCCCTTCCACTCTTCCCCCCGCATGCCCCGCGCCAATACTCGCTCATGCCTCGCTACCCCGATACGCAACACTCACCACGTAGCGTACGGATACGGAACTTAACACGTAGATTGAAACCGTAGGTCTGACGCGATGCGTTCGCCAAAAACGTGGGCCAACACGTTGAGCCAACACGCAACGTATTGATTCGGAGATTGTCAGCACGGTACGTGTTGCGTTTCAAAATGGGCGTATCGAGGCAGCGTCCGATTTGGCCCTCGAGGGGGAGGGGGGGAGCGAGAATTGGGGGCTGAGGTTTCACGCGGTCGCCCGCTCCCTCTCCAAGGGTCAGGGGCAACGTCAGGGAGGGGTCGAATGCATCGACCTCCGATCGCCCATTGATCAAGGGCGCCCGGGAGGGCGCGAAGTGATTCGCGCTTCGCGGTACGGCTCCGATTCCTCCTCCTCCTCTTCTCCCCTTGCGGGTGGCGCGGGAGCGCGAAGTTAGGCGCCCTTGTTGATCGCCGCTAGGGCCCCGACAGGCCGCCCCGCCCAGGAACGTTCGGATTCGCGATTCGCAGCCTATCGCCGATCTGTCGGCGATGTACCGCCGATTCCAGGTCGATGCTTTCTCCACAGCCATTGCCCCTTACTGTTCCCCCTCAGGGCGAGGGGCGGGGGCTTAGCTGATATCAAAAACGCTGGGGGCATCTCTTTCCCATTTCAATGTTTCGGTTCCTGGCCACCCGAACGGAAAAACCAACGGCGGCCATGAACAGAAATTCAACGGCAGTACACAACAGAACCGAACCGCCAACGGTGCGCACGAGAGTCCCGAAACGGAGAAAAGCGTGCCCCCAAACAGGAGACCAAACGTTGGTTTCGAGAACCAAAAACATCCACCATCATCTGAGGGTGCGGGGGGGCAACTCTTCACTCGGCACGCAGCGCTCCTCTGGGTTCGCGTACGGGCAGCGAGAGGCAGGCGCGGCCGCGCCAGCGATGCCATACCGCCTCGGCTCTGGGTGCCGACCCCTGGAAATCAGCTTTTTGCTCCCCCCCAAAGGGTCCATTTTGATACGATGGGTCCGATTCGATGTCGATTCCGACCAGCCCGGTCCGATTCGATTCCGAGTTTTCTTCGGTCCGATGCGGCTCGATGCGTGCATGGCGCTGCGGTGCATCCTGGAGCAGCCGATCCGATTCGATTCCGATGCCGTGCCGATGCAGCCCGATCCGATGCACATGTCGATTCGATCCGATCTACCGATTCGATGCTGACTGATCCCGCCCACCCAGGTGTGCGGGTGGCCGAGTGGTCGATTTGAAGAGTCGCTCGGAAGCCAGTCGCACCATCTAGTCTACCGCCTCCCCATCCATCCGACGACAAAGGAAACAAACCACTTCCCATGATGAGAGACAACACGTGGAGTTCCCAGTCTGGTCGACCCGACTCCATGAGGGTCTTCCTGACCCCCTGTCAAGCGCCACCTCCCGACCTCTCCCGGCGCGCGTTCTGACCCGGTGTCCAGGGTTTGAAAACGAACCTGGCCGTGGCGACGAGGGCCACCCCCAGAGTCCTCCTCCGCCTCCTCCTCCAGAAGGAAGGACGACGCTGGAAATCTTGGGAGGAGCAGGAGAAGGAGGAGGAGGTGGAGGAGGATGAGGAGGACCTCCTCCTCCCCCTCCTCCCTGGACTTCCAATTCGCGCTTCCTTCGGCGAGATGGGCCTCCCCCCCCCGTCGGCGACCCTCTCCGTGGTGACCCCTCTTCGGCATTGGCACCTGGCTCCCGACGCCGTGACTGCCACGCCGTGGACCCCCAGAGGCCGCGATCTTGTTGTAGTTGAAGGTGACAGGCTACCACTGGCAAGGAGACCCTCTGCCGAAAGCTGAGACAAGTAGCAGAGGGTGGAGAAGAAACCGGCCGATAATCACCTAAGGCCACTCCTGGCCGGAGGCGGAAGTGACCCCTTCCCGATTCGGGAGCCTTGAGACGGGGGTCAATGCAAACGGGGGTCAGCCAGAGCGCCGGATCTTGCAGGATCCTACAAGGCCTGAGCGCCCCTGGTTTGCGTTGACCCAGGTCAGTGCGATCCTGACTAGGACCGGCTCTTCGTTCTGAGTCGTTTTTGAAGGTCCCGGGGCCTGGCGAGGGCCTTCGGACCCAGAAGATACCAAGAGACCTCCCGTCGCGAATATTTCCAGACACTAGATCTACGAGGCATAGGTGTAACCTAACAAACCGAGAGGTAGAATCGCGGCCCGATTTCGTTGGGGCCTTTGTAGCCAGAGCATGGCGCAACGCGTTGCCAACGCGTTCAGTCCCGTTCCCCCTTTCGCGGTCGAAGTCGGAAGACATGTGTGGCGTGCGTAAACGCGCGCGCCTTTCATGTGAGGATCGGTTCCCGTGCCGGGCAGGGCCTGCTGGAAGTTGTTCGACTCGTGGTTCGATCGTTGCGCGCGTTGCAGTTCTCGTGGGGAAGCACCCCTGGATGTTGCACTTGCGCCCGTCGGCTGCCGCGCGTGTCTGTTTCAAGTTTTGGCGTGCGTCGATTGCCGTCTGGGCATAATCAGCTGCAACAGAACAAAAAAACAAACAATCCTGCCTCCTTCCTTCTCGTTCCTCTGCGCCTCATCATAACTGCATCTTCACTCCCCGGCGCCCTTGTACCGAGCGGTTCGGAGGTCGAGCCTGGAAGAGCGATGTTCAAGGCTTTCTGGCCTTCGGGAGGCCCTCCTCGCCTCTGCGGCTGGACGCCGCTCGAATAACTGGTGTGTTTGGTCCAAGGAAGGGGTCTGGGGACTTTTTCACAAAGCCTGGTTGGCCTCATGCGGCATATTCTTGTTTTTGGTATGAGAATTCACGCGTGGCATCTCGAACAAGAAACACATATCGATATGAAATGACCTGTTGTCTTCATCGCCTCGGCGTGCGGACGGGTCCGGATGCGGGGGGGAGGCGGCTTCGGGGCGCCTGGGGGCTGGGGGTGGGGGCTCGAAGCGCCCTGGGGCCTTGCGGGTCCTTAACCCTCGATCCTCTGTGCCTCATCTTATCTGCGTTTTCTCTCCCTGGTGCACCCTTTTCCCGAGCGGTTCGGAGTTCGAGCCTCAAGGATCGATGCTCGAAGCTTCTTGGCCTTCGGGAGGCCCTCCTCGTCTCCGCGGCTGGACGCCGCTCGAATGACTGGTGTGTGTTGGTCCCCGGGAGGAGTCTGTTCTTTCTAGCCGTTGGGCAAATTGGTGGTCAGTTCGGCCATTTCTTGCTTGGGTATGACGACTCACGCGTGACATCTCGCAGAAAAGCACAAAGCGATCAAAACAACGACACGCTGTCTTCGTCGCCCAGGCGTGTGGACGGGCCCTGAGGCTCGGGGGAGGAGGCGTCGGGGCGCCTGGGGTTTGGGGGTGGGGGGGGCTCGAGGCACCCGCGGGCCCTGCGGTTCCTCTGGGAGTTCTCTCGGACCCTCCGTGTGGCTTCGCAGTCCGTCCAAAGGCCATCTTGGGCCGCCTTCGCGGCCGCCCGGGGCCGTTTTGAAGACATGTCTGGCCGTTTTGGTTACGGAAGCGCGGAGCCATAGCTTCTGACGTATACTCGCGGCCTCGGGAGCGCGGCCGCATTGCTTTCCGAAAGGAACAGGGCCGTCGGGAGGGGGGGGACGCATGTGGCGGCGTGCTGCTCGGGTGGTGGTGGTGGGGTGTTGAGAGAATGCAGAACACGTAGACAAGCGACTGGCATTCCATCTCGATTGTGCGTCGCAGGCATGGCGGCGGACATGGGGCGGACACGACGTGTCGCACGCGCAGGGGTCGCTCTGGGGATCGCCAGCTTTTTGTCGGGGAGTGGTCGAAGCTCTTGGAGCGTTTCGGCCAACGCGTTTCCCGAGCCCCTCGGCTTGTAGTTGTACAAGTATTTGTTGAAATCTCGGTCGGACAGCTGGTGCCGTTGTCTCTTCACGACCCCGGGGGTGTCTGGGTAGTGTTTTGGCGCTGCTTGGCTCCGTCGGGCTCAACACGTCCACGCGCCTGAGTCCTCGACCCTTAATCCCTTGACCTTCGGCCTCTTCCGTCGGCGGGCCTCGGCCCAAGCCCGTCTCCTTTCCCCCCCCCTTATTTTCCTTGGAAAGACACGGTAAGTCAGAGGAGGAGGGGGAGAAAAAGCATGAGAAACAAGAGGAGGAGAAGGGAGGGGTTGGGGAGGGAGGGAAATTGGAGGAGGGCTCTGACCCCTTCGCGTCGTAAACATGTAGCGACGGGAGGTGTTTAAATATTCTCGGCCTCCCGGGCCGTCAAACAATGACTCAGGATGAAACGCCGTTCCTGGGGGAGGGGTCGAAACCGTTGAGGGTCCAAGTTGTTGAAACATCGCGAATTCGGGGGTCTGAGGAGGAAGGGCCCTCGCATGCGTAAAAGCTGCTGCAGCTTAGATGGCCGACGAGGTACGGCGAAGAGTTCCCCCCAAGACTGGAACCAGCAGCCCATAAGTTTTGTTTGTGCGTGTGTTGACCTCAGTGAGTGCCCCTGGCGCCTTTGGGACAGAAGACGGGGGGCCGAGAGATCCTAAACCACGTGCCTGTAAGGGGTACAGCCTACATACACATGTAGTTTCTGGCGCCCTGTGAATTAGCCCGGTCCCCCGAAGTTGGTGGCCCATCGTGGCCCGCTACCGTTGCCCGCCATCGTGGCCCTTCATCGTGGCGCCCCATTGTGAACCGTGGCAAGGCGTTGAGGGTCTTCTGGTGCAAAATAGCCAGTTGGCCAATACGGGGCCGATTTTCATGCCAGTGCGTTTTCTTGCTGCAGAGAAGCGTGGCAATTAGTAAACACTTTCAATACGCTGTCGGTACAAGGCAGAGGAGAAGGGAGGATGAGGACGATCGATTACACGTGCGTTGTTGAGGGTTGGGGATTCGACGAAGAGGAGGGCAGGAGGAAGAGGAGGGGGGAAGATGGGAAACCGGGGAGGAGGGAGGGAAGGTGGGAGTGGGGAGGGAGGAGAAGGCGGAGAAGGGAGGGAGGAAGACGAAGGAGACAAAAGGAAGGAACGAGGGAGGTGGAGGGAGGAGCGAGCGGGGAGCGAGGAGCGAGGAAGAGGAGGAGAAGAAGCGGAGGGGGAGCGAGGAGGAGGAGGAGGAGGAGAAGGAGGAGAAGGAGGAGAAGGAGGACGAGGAGGAGAATGACGAGGAGGAGGAGAAGGAGGAGGAGGAGAAGGAGGGAGGAGGAAAAGGAGGAGGAGAAGGAGAAGGAGAGAGGAAGAACGGGAGGAGGAAGGAGGAGCGAGGGAGGAGCGAACGAGAGAGGAGGTGCGGGGGAGGAGGAGGAGGAGCCCCCCCCGTCTCCCGGCGCCCCCAGCGACCCCGCGGGGGCGGCCTCCCCCGGCGGCTGCCTGCGGCTCCTGGCCGCCAGCCCCGACGAGGACCCCCTGCCGGGTGAGCAGCGCCCCACGAGGGCGGGCCCGCCGCCCTCCCGCGGAGGGTCCGTGGCTTCCGCGGGTCTTCCCTGAGATCCTGGCGCATCGGCCGCGCGCACAAGGGTCAGATGAGAAGAAGGTCTCTGTGCTGCCAACCTTGCCTCGCTTTCCCCTTCTTGGGCCTCCTCGGTGGTCGTCGTTGCCACGGCTGGATGCGCCTCGAGATCCTGGTCAGGAGGCGCCCCGGAGGAGGTCTAGGGAGTAGCGGTATCGGTGCCTCTTAGTTTCCCCAACAATGGCCTTCGGAATTTTCCTTGAGATCCTGGTGTATCGGCCGCGCGCGAGGTTTTTGTTCCCGAAGTGCTTGGCCTTTCGGGGCCGTTTGCGGGCTCTGGGACCCCCGAAATTTCATACGAGCGAAAAAACAGTGCGAATGGACCCTGGGAGGGGTACAGGAACCGATTTAGACGGATACTCGGCCACGCGCAGAAGGGGCGCAGGGGGAGGCGTGAAGGCTTCTCAGAAGCACCCCCTGTTCCTGAGATGTAGGCAGGCGCCTTCTGAGAGGCAGCCTCGATCTGAGAATCGTTCCCCCCTCCCCCTTATCCCGATAGGTCTTTAGACCCCGCCCTAATAGATGGAAACAAATTATCATTTCGGTGACCTTCTTGACGGACTGGGTCCCGCAAATGTTGGAAATAATAGTTTTGTCCGCGGCTCCCGCCGCGCAACGACGTCGACGACAACGCCTAGGCATGAGGAGGAAGAGTCGGATGACGATGATGATGATGATGATGAGGATGATGATGAGGATGAGGAGGAGGAGGAGGAGGAGGAGGAGGAGTTGCGGAGTCTCTTCGCCGCCGAGAGAACAGGGGGGGGCCCAAAACTAAAGACCGTCTTCGGTTACCCCCTTGTGCGCGCCGCCAAACTTCCCTTAGATTCTGGCGCTGCGATGTTTTTAGAAAAGGCGTTGTTCCACCCGGTTTCGGGCACCGAGGCCCTCGTATATCGATCCGGCCCGATTCGTGAGGCAGGAAGATGGGGCCCAGGGCTCCACTGTCGTGAGTTTTTGTTTGTGGTGTTGTATTGTCCTGCAGCGTCAGGTCGGGGGCTTTGTCTGGGCCGCCCAGATGCTGGGTTCCAGGAAGGGCATCGCCTCCAGGGACCGAAGGAGTCGCGCTCTCGTCCTCGGCGGAGGGAGGCGGGGGGTCGGCGAGCGGCGGCAGGATTAATGACGAGGCCGCCTCCGCCAGGGGAGGGCGGCGGAAGGCGGCCCCAAGAGGTGGGTCGAGGCGACTATAGGGGCGAGTGGCCCAGGGGCGGGCATGACACGCATTCGCCCAGAAGCCTCGCCAAAGGCATGGACCATCGGCGTCCCTGGATACACATATTTCCCTCCCCTAGCTATTCGCCCCCATCGTCGCCCCCGGCCCCAAGAGACGGCAACAAGTTTTGGTTCAGGGTTCCCACAAGCAGTTAAACGGGGCCGGGTCGAGGTACATCGGGTCAGAGCATCGCGCCGCGTCGCCGATGCATCGCCGACGCGGCTCGACAGGGAGCCCGATGTTCTCCACGCCGACGGCGCCAATGCATTGCTGCGCGGCGCAATCATCCGACCTTACCTGCTCAGACCTCATTTGGGAAGTTTTCTAGCCTTTTGCAGACACATCGAGGCTCGCGGCGGGGGGAGGAAAGCCAATGCCGCGGATCGAGCTGGAGGACCCAGATCTTCGACTCTGTGTGTCTCGATCTGGGCCTTGTTTGCTCGAGCTCGGCCTCTGGAGCCCGTCCCTGGGCCCTGGGAGCATCAAGCAGTTGCCCAGGACGAAGACATGCCCGGAGAACGGTCCCCAGACATCTGTCGGGGCTCAAGAGACGGGGTTCAATGCAAACGGAGGTCAGCCAGGGCACAGGATCCTGCAGGATCCTGCGAAGACCCTCTATGGCTGACCCGGGTTAGCGAGCCGCTCGTGGCCGCGAGGCGGCCGCCTATGTTGGTTGATCCGGGTTTGCGAAGAGCTGCGTTGCCGTTGTTCTCTTTTGCATTTCAGTTTTTTGGTCTCCTGCTGACCTGGGTCTGGATTTACCCGGGTCAGAAGATTCCCGAATTTGGGTCCGCGCATGGAGCAAAGTTCGCATTGTCGTCGGATGGTTGGGGTTGCCACGACCAAATTTCTTTTTGAAATCCTGGTCATAGCGCCTCCAGGGAGAGGTCCGAAAAGCAGCGGTGTTGTTCCCGCAAAGACGGGTGTATTGCTCGTCTGCGTCGATCCCCCCCCCAGGGCGGTTCTGCCAAGCTCTGCGGAGCCATGACGAAGAACATCTTGGACGAAGGACCACTACACTACACCAGGAAAGTGGCGGAAAAGCACGGGGGCCCTATCTGTCGCCGCGCTGGTGGTTCGGACGCGCGGCCTTGCGCCTTGAGGAGGGCGCCGCGGCCACCAGGGCAAACTCCGCCTCGGACGCAAGGCTTGCCGTGGGGGTTGCCGTGGGTTTGCCGTGGTGTCGGTGTCGTCCACGTCTTGGCATCGCTCGGACGCGTGCATTTTTCTCGGCGATGCCAGCCCCAGAAAATGTTGACCATCCATGCGGACGTCTTTGGATAACCTTGTGGGACGAGCACGCTCGAGACCAAACCATACACGGGGAATTGACGTCGACCGATTGTTGGGCGCGTCGAGGACAATCCGCGCGACTACATTTTACACATATCACAAGATCGAGTCTCTTGGTGGGGCGTTGCCAGAACGCCTCAGCAACGGCCCGTCGCATCGGCCACTCCTGCCGAAAACCTTCGTGCTGTGAGTGCTTTTCCCTCCTTCCTCCTCGCTCCGCGACCGCCCTCATCCCTGTCTCGTGCTGCCAGACAATCAGTACGCTCCGCCCCAGCCCCTGGGGCGCGCGAGTGGGTTGCCTCTGCAGCGCTGCTATGGACACAGGTGCTTCAGGAGGAGGAGGAGGAGGAGGAGGAGGAGGAGGAGGAGGAGGAGGAGGAGGAGGAGGAGGAGGAGGAGGAGGAGGAGGAGGAGGAGGAGGAGGAGGAGGAGGAGGAGGAGGAGGAGGAGGAGGAGGAGGAGGAGGAGGAGGAGGAGGGAGGAGGAGGAGGAGGAGGAGGAGGAGGAGGAGGAGGAGGAGGAGGAGGAGGAGGAGGAGGAGGAGGGAGGAGGAGGAGGAGGAGGAGGAGGAGGAGGAGGAGGAGGAGGAGGAGGCGGAGGAGGAGGAGGAGGAGGAGGAGAAGGCGGAGGGGGAGGGGGAGGAGGCTTCCCGCCGCCGCCCGGGGCCGTCACCAGGCCCCATGGGCCTAGGTGGTGGGGCCCTTTGAGGGGCGCCTTGGGGGGGGAAGGCGGCCTTTTGGGGGGGGGGGCAAAGCTGCACCAAGGGAATCAAGCGGTCCCAATGGAATGGATTGAGATTTCTGGCGATCCACGCTTTGAAGCAAATCGAGACGTCGGATGTTCGGGGAGGAAAAGAGGAGGAGGAGGAGGAGGAGGAGGAGGACGCAGGAGGACGCAGTCCTTGGGGGCACATCTCTCACGGCTCCGGAGGTCTTGGGGGATCCTTTGCGCCGCCGCTTCTTGCATCGCCATGCATAACTGTTCCGTGTGCCCCACCACCTTCTTTAGATCGGGTTCCGAAAATCTGCCCCGCAGTTGGGAACAAACGAACGTTGGGGAGGACGCTGATCGGGAGGATAGACCTGGGGATGGAAGACAACAAGAATTTGAACGCAGACCAATTCCCGTTCTTGCCAATGGAATTGCCGCGGACTTTCCCCATGTTGAGACAAGCGAAGCCCACCTGGCAGCGGCCGCAAAAAGGCGCTTGGACAACATTGGTTGTCGGGCATCGTCCCCATTTTTCCGTCGCGATTTCGGGCATGTCAGCCGGAGATTCGGTCCGGAACTGTTGGATGGCGTGTCGCTCCGCCGGTCCTGGCCCACCGCGCTTGGGAGCGACACGCTATCCACGTCGCAGATCCCAGGCGTCATCGCCCCGAGCTGTCCCATGCCCTCCGCCCCGCGGAGCGGAGCGACACGCTATCCGCTCGCAGGGCATAGCGTGTCGCCGAGGCCGCCGTGTCGGCACGCTATCCAAAAGTTCCCGACCGTATGATCCTCGCAACTGTCGCACACCATGCGTTTTCCCAGTGCCTCGAGCCTTGGGGCCCTCACAGGTCGGTGCGGCTCGGAGAGTGCCGCAGCAGGAATGCTCTCGAGGGCTTTGGCTGTGACATGTCATGATGAGGACGACGACGACGGCAGCCGCGACGGCCACGGCTGCACCGTCCACAGTCGGGTATGTTCAGGGGTGCGTTCAAGGTGGGTCCAACCGCGGCCACGATGGCGGCCCATGAGACCCCCATGGACCCCCAACCTGTACCCCTGATGGCGATGAGGTCCACCTGATCGTGATGGCGCCCCACGATCAGGTGGACCTCATCGCCAGGGGCATGATGTCCCCCCAGATGTTCTGGCGTTCGCTTCTCTTTTCAATGCGTCCCCTGCCCCCTCCCTCCCTCCCCCTGGGCCGCGCACATGCATTGGGCCAGGATCTGCGTGGCCCCCTCTTGGACGCCCCCCGCTTGGACGCCGCAGGCTCGACCCAAACGGTTTTTGTTGGCGGTTGCGTGGTCCCTTTTGAATTCGACGTCGTTATGTAGCACATGCCATAGGAATACATAGGAAAGGCATAGGGAAGCAAGGAACAGCATAGGAGAGCAACACAGTACAGAAAGAGGAAACCATAGGAAAGCAACACGAACACGAGCGACGTTGTTTATATCGAGCCTTGGGTGCCCCCGACATGGGCCCAGAACCCCTGCTGCGGGCGACGACGGTGGCGACGACGACGGCGGCGCTGGCGGCTTGGCACGCCAGCGGCGCCGCAGAGGACGCGGAGGCGGTGGCCGAGGTGGAGCTGCGCCTGGCGCAGCTTCCCGAGGAGCCGCGCGCACGGGTGCACGGCATCGTTGTAGCCATCGCGCAGAAGATCCGAGGCGGGGATTTACAGTCAGGAATTTGGGTTTCGAGTCAACACGGATAGTAAGGATGATCGGTTTCTCAAGGGCATTTTTGCATCGTTGCCTCTTCGGTCATTTTCGGTCCATCCTCAACTTCGTTCGATGGCCCTCCCCGCTCGAAAAGATCGGCATTGGCGTCCAAGGTCCGTGGTCATCCTCGTCGCTCATCCCCACCATTAGTTTTGAGTGCAGCGTGTCCCTAGGCCTCCCAAATGGGGTCGGATGATCGCGCCGCATCGCCGATGCATCGGCGGTGTGGAGCCCTGCCTTCTCTACACCGACGTATCCGATGCATCGCAGATATCGGCGACGCAGCGACGATACATCTGCTATGCATCGGCGATGCATCGGCGATGCGGCCGGATCGAGGCCTCTGGTGTCGCTCCATTTTCCCAGTCCCATGCGTCCGCGGCTCGAGCCTTTCTGAGCCTCCCGCCCCGCGGAGAGCGACACGCCATGTGCTTGCAAGGCGTGGCGTGTCGCCGGGGCCGCCGCTACGACATGGTATCCAAGAGTTTCTGACCGTATCCATACAGGGTGGACGCGCATCAAGAAACTGAGCGCTTCTCGTCAGGGTGCCCTGGGTTTCTTCTCTGCGCGGTGACTTCCCGCGGCGCTGACGGAGCTGCCGCGTTCAGGTGCTCTTGGGCGATCCTCCGAGCCTGCATCTTGCGCGCGGGGTTTGGCCGCGTCCGCACTGTAACCACCGCATGGGAGACCCATCTCTGAGGAACTCGGCAGGCGGCGGGTTTGGGTATATTCGAACCCCGGGGGGGGTCAAATCGATCCATATCCACCACCTGCCGAGATCCTCGGGGATCATCTCGCAGACGGTGGTTCTGGGTAAGCCCTTGCAAAAATATCGGAACCGTTTTTGCAATCGATGAACAGTTGCATAGACTGACATGCACGTTCGGAGGTCCGCCCGGATTTGTCGGGTCGGCGCCGGGGCCCTTTGTCGACGCATCCAGCGCCGCCCCCTGGCGCGCTCCGCGCGCCAGCGAGGGTCTCGTCTGTGCGCAGACACTGCGGGACGTCCGCGCGGGACTTGTTTGGGTCGGCGCTGGAGCCCCTCCCCACAGGTGCACCGACAGGTTGGGATAGGCTCATGGTGGGAGGCATCGACACTCAGTTGCTCACTCATCGCTTATAACGGCCCGATGGCCCACCCCGTCCATGGGCGTGCGGTTTCGCGATTGAGCCTACCGCCGATCTGTCCGAAATGCATCGCCGACTCCGTCTTCCCCCGCTGAGCGGGCCACCGTCGGCTCAGTATGTCGATTCAAAGGCTTCAGTGCCCAAATTACCGATTCCAAGGCTTCAGTGCCCCACTCCAGTTGCCAGGCCAATCCGTAGAGAGTTTGGGAGCAATCGCTTTTAGGACGTTCCTCAGTCTTGGGACCCACCTGCCAATACCCGATCGTTCCCCCACTCGTCCCCACACGCCTGGACCCGCGACCGCCTCCCCGCGCCTCGGGCGCCACCCCCCTTGGCGCGGTTCAGTGCGTGCAGGGGGGGAGCACTCAGCAGCCAGTCCACGGCGTCCGAACTGCCCTCCAGACCTGTTGCTGGCACGAGCACCGCGCTCTGTCAGCAGCGCTCTGTCAGCAGCGCTCTGTCAGCACAGCCTGCGAGGCCGTGCTGGCTCGTAAGCGACAGCCGCTGTCACCGCACGTCTACCTCGCACGCCCCGAGCTTCACCCCTGGCAGTGCAATGACACCACTCCTGCAGCAGCCAGCTGCGGGCCGCAAGCGCTCCGCGGAGCAGGGCAGTCCGACCCTCTGGCCTCCCTTCGGTTCTCCGGCCGTGATCGCCCTCGTCGGCGGCCGAGCAGGCTCTCAGTTCCAGCTGATCGCCGTCGTCGGCGGCCGAGCGGGCTCATCTTAGCTCCAGCCTCCTCCCTGCTGGGAGACTGTTTCTCTTCTGACTCGGGCAGGTGTACTCGCATGGCATTTTCCCCGACCCCCTGGGCCGAAGAGGCACGCAGGCCAATCCCGGTTCGCTCGGAGTCCAGATTTCCGTGCGGGCTTCGCCACGCCCCTTCCTTCCCCCTCCACGCCTTTCCGGCCCAGCGCTGTTTGAAACAGCGGCAGAGAGGGGAAGTGTCATGCAGATGAGCTCGCCTGAGTCTGAAGAACAGAATCTCCGGAGGCCCTGAAGCCTCCTGAACGGCGGCACGGCGCGCAGCGGCTGCGGATGGCACCTCCGTCGCCCAGCGCCCAGCGCCCGCCGGCGGCTGCAGTGCCCCGACTCGACTCGATTCGATGCCGATCGATTCCGATTCGATTCGGTTTCAGATTCCGACTTGGATTTCGGTTGCCCAAAGTCAACCCGCTTGGTAAGGATGAGCAATTTTCCAAGGCCACCCTTGTATCCTTGCCTCTTCGGCCAATCCGTAGCGATTTTCGCTGGCCAATCTCGTTCTAAAAACATCAATGTGGCCCTCCACGACCACTGCATCCTTACGGCACATCCTAATTATACGGGTTGATTGTACTGAAGGCATTGTTTGCCTGCCGATTTCCGCCGATTCGACTTCTCCCGACTTGGCTGCCGATGACCGATCCGACTCAGACTTACCGATTCGATTCTGGGCTCTCTTGCGGCTGCGCAGACAGGCAGGCCACACAGGCGCAGGAGCAGGCCGCAGCTTTGACAAGAGTTGCTGCGGCCTCCTCCGAGGACGTATGGAGGCGCCCGATGGCCTCCACGGCCGACTTGCCTTGCCCTGTGCATCTCATGAGGTTGATGATGGGCATTAACTTGGGCCGTGCGGAGCCGCTCTGGGGTTCAGCGCAACGCCGCGCCCCGTTTTCACGCGCCATCTCATGCAATGTTGGCAACCTCGCAGCCCACCCCTTCCTCCTCCTTGCCCGCCTCTCTTGGAGTCTTCTGTGGCGGGCCACTTTACGTGGCGAGCCACACAGTTTTTAGACAGGAATTCCCTGGCCGAGTCTCGGCCACGCTCGCAGGACAGCCGTGCAGCGTTGCCGTGGGGGGATGCGCGCTTCGTTCTTCTGCACAGGTTAAGGCTACGCGTGTTTTGGTGGCCCAGTGTGGCAGGTTGGCTCTCGCGGGACTCCGCGCTTGCGCGGCTCAACCTGTCAGGATTAGTGTTGGCTGGCGTTGGCGATTGGCACTGAGAGCTTCAAAAACAGGCTCACAAAGGCCCCCCCCCAAAAAAAACAAAACAAAATAACAACAAAAAAGGCTCACGAAGGCCCCCGACGGCCTTCGAGTCGGGGGCCCTTGGGCCTCCGCAGGTCCTCACGGGGCGTCCAGCGGCCTCCGAGTGGCCTCCGCGCACCTGGCGCGCGTGCGCGCTCGGCGCCAGGTCCTCTCCGGCGTCGCGCACGCAGGGGGCTGGCGCGAGGGGCGTGGTTCTGACAATCGGGGGCGCAAAAGAGGGGGTTGATGACTAGGGGGGGTGGATATCATGGCGTGGGCCATGATATTTCCCCAGATTTTATGGCGCCTCTTCTTATTTCATTAGGTCCCTGGCCCCTCCGCTGGGCCGCGCACATGCCGCCGATCATAATTTGCACCCCCCCCTCTTGGACACCCCCCTCTTGGCCGCTCCCGAGAGAAGGCCGGGTGCAAGCTGGGGAGGCCTGCTTAGGTGGTCCTGGCGGTTTTCTCAGAAGGCTTCCTGGGAAGCCAGGGCGGCTCCGAGAAGGCCCTTGCCTTCTACCAGGAACCTGGGTACACATGGCGCGGCCGGCCTGGGCGAGAGCTGGATACGCATGCCGATACGACCAACCGTCGGGTGATAAGGAGGTTGGGGGGCTTGGGGGGAAGGACCAACTGCTGACAAATGCGATGGGAGTGCTGATGACAAAGCTGGTGACGCGTCCTCGAGTGAGCGACGACGCGTGATGACGATGTTGCACTACGATGTAGTATTGCCACTATCGTCCCCGTTTTTTCCCCACATGTTTCGTGGGGTTCTGTTTTTTTTCCTGCCGCGCCGCACCCGCGTCTCACCTACTCCTCCCCTCCTCCCTCCTCCCCTCCTCCGCTTGCTTCCTCACAGTTCAGCAGAGCACAGCACACAGCACAGCACAGCGCAGCACAGCACAGCACAGCACATGCACAGCAGCGTAGGGCGTAGGGGGTGCGTAGGGGGTGGTCTCTCACGGCGGCCGCTATCCGTGACGGTCGTCCAGGGCACAGAAGGCATGGCACATTCTCGACACCATAGGGGGTGCGCAGGGGGTGGTCTTTAACGGCGGCCGCTATCGGTGACGGTCGTCCAGGGCACAGCAGGCATGACATATTCTCGACACCATAGGGGGTGCGCAGGGGGTGGTCTCTCACCGCGGCCGCTATCCGTGACGGTCGCCCAGGCACAGCAGGCATGGCATATTCTCGACGCCATAGGGGGTGCGCAGGGGGTGGTCTCTCACCGCGGCCGCTATCCGTGACAGTCGTCCAGGGCACAGCAGGCATGGCATATTCTCGACACCATAGGGGGGTGGTCTCTCACCGCGGCCGCTATCCGTGACGGTCGTCCAGGGCACAGCAGGCATGGCATATTCTCGACACCATAGGGGGTGCGCAAGGGGTGGTCTCTCACCGCGGCCGCTATCCGTGACGGTCGTCCAGGGCACAGCAGGCATGGCATATTCTCGACAGCATAGGGGGTGCGCAGGGGGTGGTCTCTCACCGCGGCCGCTATCCGTGTTGGTCGTCCAGGGCACAGCAGGCATGGCATTTTCTCGACAGCGTAGGGGGTGCGCAGGGGGTGGTCTCTTACCGCGGCCGCTATCCGTGACGGTCGTCCAGGGCACAGCAGGCATGGCATATTCTCGACACCATAAGGGGGTGCGCAGGGGGTGGTCTCTCACCGCGGCCGCTATCCGTGACGGTCGTCCAGGGCACAGCAGGCATGACATATTCTCGACACCATAAGGGGGTGCGCAGGGGGTGGTCTCTCACCGCGGCCGCTATCCGTGACGGCCGTCCAGGGCACAGCGGTATCGGCGGGGCAACGGCCACCAACATCATTCTCACAGGCTTCACTTTAGCTCTCATCATTCCAGCCATAATATAAGTATGTGGGGTTCCTCGGTAGCGTAATTGATGTCACTCGATTGATCCCTAAAGCGACCTCACGGCCAGTTTCAGTACACATAGATTCAGAGATCAATCCCATTGTGCTCGCACCAGGGGCGATCGCCTGTCCCCGCGAGGTCTGCACGACCCAGGGGACGCCGCCTCCCTGCGCTTCAGACAGCGCGAGCACAACCAATGTCACACTCTACCTCACTGTCGATCCCACTTGTGATCTCACTGCCCATCCCATTCCAGCGATCTCAGTTTTGACCTCACTACCGACCTCACTATCGATACCAAGGCAGGACCTCCCCGGCCGCCGCCGATGGAACACCGACGGAACACCAGCGGGACACTAACGGGACACCACAGGACACCACGGCGGGACACCCTGGGCCACCGCGCGCCCACCAGGGGCGGGAGGGGGAGTCCACTGCATTCGAATCGCCCTGACGACGGCGGGATCATTCCTTTCGCGCGCCCACGCAGCATCGCCTCGCCCGCACGCACTACACGAAACCGAAACCGACGTCCCAGTGGGGGGCTCACTTTCCCATTGCGACCTCACCCCCCAACCTCCCATGGCCAGGTGTCAGTCCAGCGCTCGGCCCTTGCATGCCCAGGCGCGGTGGTCCTCCACATGTGTATCCAGCAAGTGGCCTCTGGACGCTCCACATGTGGATCCAGCCACGTGTGTTCCCAGCTATTCCTGCCACAGAAGCCCCCTCCTGCCCCCGGCTTCTCCGGAGCCCGCACCCCTCGCGTCACCACCCTGTGCGTGCCGCTGGGTGCTGTCCGGCAGCTCGGCCGCCGCAGGCCCCCCCCCCCTCCCGCGAGGAGTCCTTCGGCCCGCTGCTCGCAGCGGCAGCGGGCCGCCAAGACGGGGGGCGGCTGGTGCCGCGGGCGCGCGCCCTAAGAGCGGGGCTCGTGTCGACTCCTCCGACTCGCTTCGGTTCGGAGTCGGTGGCCTCCGATTCCGATGCGGCACGATCTGGGATTCCAATCTGGATTCCGACTTTTCAGTGAAGGCCTTACTGGCCTTTCGACTTCCCCCGATTCGACTTCTCCCGATCTGGCTGCCGACTTCCGCTGATCCGATGCATTCCGATCGCTGGTCCGATCAAAGTGGAGAAGGCCCAAGAGCATCCATCGATCCTTTTGGAAGCAAGCGCACCTTCGCCCCCCCCGCCCAGACCCCCTCGCGCCGTGCAGAAATCACAGTGAGGGACTGTCGGCTGCTTTCGGCCGCTGGGGGCCTTTGCGAGGGGTCCAGGTCCCTCGCACCAAATTCCTCGGGATGGAAGGACGGTCCCAGGGGAGGGGCCGATTTTTTTGGGGTCCATGTTGCGAAGAATATTCCACGCTGGTCGAATCGGCTTCAAGCGCCTTCCTGCTTCAAGACCCGATCTTTTGCCCTTGCTGTGTTTTGGTCTTCTCCTGGGAGGGTCAGGGCCCAATCTGCTTCCTCCGCCTTCCCACTTTCTGCTTGTGCCTGCTCCTTCCGCCCGACGTGTACACGACGTCGGGGTCTGGGAGCGCACCTCCACCCCCAGCCTGGCCCCTTGCCTCCTCGGAAGCGGAGCCCAGGTGACGCTTTGGCGGCCGAGAAGGTGTACACGCACAACACACACACACACAACGCACACACAAACACCACGTGCCCCATCCCCTTCCCTCTGGGAGAGGGGGGGAGGCCGGGTGCAGATGCGGCTGGGGGTTGACACGCCTCTCGTTGAAAGTCGACATTTCTGGATTCCCAGATCCCAATCTATTTCAGCAGCCCCCCTACCTCAAGAGTCGAGCGGTGTTCCCTCGTCCCTCCTCTATTGGGGGCGGGTGTAAGTCCAATCTACTCTCAGCGTCTTCCTGCTTCATGCTTCTGCCTACTTTGTCCGACCGACGGGAAGCTGCCCTGATACGCCCGTTTTGAAACGCAACGCATGCCGTGTTCATAACCTCCGTGCCAACACGCTGTGTTGGCTTGGCGCGCATTGGCCCACCTCACGGCGGGCCAGCCCTGCGTGTTCAATCCACGTTGTGGAGCTCCGTGCCAACACGCTACGGGTTCCGTGCCGCGCATCGGGGCAGGTAAGGGGGGGGGGTTCTTCTGCTTTTCTCAACCTCGATCCCCGATCCGCCACGGCGCGGCGCCAGCGCCTCTCCCGCGCGCCGCCCCATCGTCGTCGTGGTCCGTCATGCGTCGTCGTCCGCCGCTGTCTTCCATCCACCGCCCGTCGTCGTCGGTTACCCTCACTCCATCGTCGTCGTCGTCGTCCGTCGTCGTCGTCGTCGTCGTCGTCGTCCGTCGTCGTCGTCGTCGTCGTCGTCGTCGTCGTCGTCGTCCGTCGTCGCCGAAGGAGGAGGGGGAGGAGGAAATGGGAGGGGCGGTTGGAGGGGGAGCAGAGGTAGCAGTTGCGGCAGGAGCATGAGGGAGAGGAAGAAGAGGAGGGAGATGTAGGAACGGGGGTGGAGTGGAAGGGGGAGTAAGGGAAGAGGAGGAGCAGGAAAAAGAACCTGCGGAGAGGAAGGAGGTCTCCAGGATGAGGAGGAAGGATGGAGCGGTAGGAGGAAGGAGGAGGAGTAGGGCGAGGGCTCTAGGGGGCAGACTGAGGAGGGGGCGCGGTGTAGGGCTACAGCACGTGAGGGGCTCGCGCTCCGGCGTTGCGGGCAGGAGGACAAGAAGGGAAGGGGGAAGGCAGGGCAATGGGGGTGAGGAGGGGCCGCAGGAGGAGGGCGGAGGAAGGAGCAGGTGGGGGCGTGTCTGGGAGAGGGCAGGAGTTTGATTGGGGAATGGTGCGGCAGGAGCAGATGCGGAGGAGCGAGGCGGTAAGAGGAGGGAGCAGCGAGGCGGGAGGAGCAAAGAGGAGGCGGAGAAGGTTCAGAGAGTGATCTGTCCAGCTTCGAGCGTGGTTGTCTCTCGTAGTCTGCTGCTGGGCGGCCTTTGACCGTCGTTGCGATTCCGATTGCGTTGAGAGAACGATGTCCTGAGCGGTCGCCTCGGACTCCTTGATCGCCCTCCTGCGTCCTTCGCAGTTCTTACCGGAGCAAGGCTTCTTCACCAACAGGTTAAGAGGCATCCACAGCGGTGCCGCCGTCCATCGAGAGAGGGCCGAACAGGGCGTCTCATCAGTGCGGTGGCAGCTCCTGTGCTGGTGCCGCAGGTGAAAGCTGCATCCTTGGTAACTTGCGGGGAAGAGAGAAGCATGAAAGGGGGGCGGGCCTGACTAGGCAGAAGAGCGATTCGATGCGGCCCCAGAAGGGCGATTCGATGCGGCCCGATGCTTGTTTGGCGCTGCTGTGCAGCCTGGCGCGCCCGGCTCGATTCGATGTCGATTCCATGCCCGTGCACCCCAAACCGATGCACATATCAATTCGATCCGATGGCTTGACTTGGTGCTGACCGATGCTACTATTTAGCGGCGAGGCTTGGGGGGCGGTGAGAGAGGCAGACATTTCCAGAAGGCGGAGCGCGCCAGGTATTCTCAGAGGCCCTCGCGCCATCTGAGAACTTATCTGAGTTTTCGCCGAAGACGCAGACTGCTACTCAGAAGGTGCCAGGGCTGCTGAGAAGCCCCGCTGCCTTCTGAGAAAGCCAACCCCTTCTCATCGGCACCACCCAAACATATTTTTAGACATCTACAACCGATGTATGTAAGGGGGCGTGTCGCTTCGCCCTAAGCTTGGTCCTGCGCCCATGTGTGCCCAACCATTCTCGGTGAATGGGTGATTGGTAAGAGGCAGATGATGAGCACGAGGGGGGTCACAGTAATTTCCCGGAACAGGCCACACGCATGTCTTTGGTTGGGGAGAAAGGCATCGGTGTGACGGGGCCAAAGGCACGCATGCGGGGTTGGAGGTAGTGGTGGCCACGAGGGCGGTTGCGGTCATGACGCTCAAGAAACCGTGCTATACACACCAACGAAACGAACACAGAAACGGTTGATCCGCAGTCAGGATTGCGAGGACGAAAACGACGAGGAGGAAGACGAGAACGACGGAGAGAACGGGCACGACAAGCGGACAGTCCCGCAGTCACCAGGCACGGGGAAACGGTCATGACGGATTGCGTTTCCGGCAGCGAGAGAGGTGATGCAATGGCTGCGAGGTGGGGAAAAGGTCACGACGTCGAAACATGATAACCATCGGCGCGAATGGGGGCCGCGGGCATTGACAGCGGGGTGGATGCGAGGACCGTCGGACGGGGGCGGGGGTCGGCGCGACGAGGGCGCGACGCTGATGACCGCGACGGGGGTGAAGATCATCGTTCGGAGACGGGGTGGCGAGACCGTCCGTGAGAAGAGGGGCGGGCAATGACACGTTTTCATTGTGGTCAAAACTTGAAGCTTTCTTGCGTGCCTGTGGAGCCTCTGCGCCGTCGAAGTTCCTCGTGGAAGCCTCTGGGGCCGTTTTGCGGGCCACATGCGTCAAATCTGGATCCATCGATCGCTTTGGACGAATCGTTTCTTTGTACATATCGCAGCACTCTATATCATGTCGCAGCTGGTGGATGACGATGACAAGTGCCCGCTCGTTTTGGAGGTGGCCCTCGTGTTGTTTGGAAGCCCTGGGGGGGGCCTAAGGTTTGAGCGGGTTTGGGGGGCCTTGGCGTTCACGGCGCCGAGTGGCCTACAGTTGGTTGGTGCCGATGGGGCGACCGTGGAAGACGATGACCAAGTAGGAGTTGGAGCAAAAGATGCAGAGCAGGAAGAGAATGAGGCGAACGAGTCGCAACCGAGTCATGTACGTTTTTTGGATGGTGGCCAGGGTGTTGTTTGGACGCTTTTAAGAAGGGTTTCAGACTTGATAGGGGGTTCCAGGGGTTTGGGCGTTCACGGCGCTGGCTGGCTCACGGCGTGCCGAAGCGAGTCGAGATGAGCTGTTTCGGGGGACAAAGCGGCGGCGGCCCGACGAAGCGGTGACGCGGACATGACCGCGATGGGGGGTCGTGGTCATGCCGCTGGGGTCGTCGTGCCGCTATGGCGGCGCACCTCTGATCTGGATCGCGAGTTCGGGGCGTCCCGGGTGCCCGCTGCGGCCTCGCGGCGTGTTTCCGCGGGGCTTCTGGAAGCCCTGCATGGTTTGTGAATCGGGGGCCTCTGGGCACTATTCTGCGAACGCCGTGCAGGACGTAGACGCGAGACTTCCCATGCGCTTCTGGGCGTCCAATGGGGAGCTTTCTGTGGGCCATTCGGAAGCGTTCGGGGAGTCTCCGGGGGCCTCTTGGGCATTCTCATGGGTCCTTGGAAGGCTTCTGGGCCGGCTCGGGGCCCTTTGGGGCCGTCCTGAAAGCCATCTTGGGCCGTCCTTGGAGTTTTGCGCCGCCTATGGGCCCTCTGGGGGCCCTCGTGGGCTGTCACGTGGGCCTCCCATGACCCTCTTGGGGCTCCCTTGGAAGCCTTTTGGGGCCCTCTGGGGCCTGTCTTGGCCGTCTCGGGGTCTCTTTGGGCCGTGTTGGAGCCCTCGTGGGCCGTCTTTGTGCCTTCTTGAGGGCATCTCGGGTCGTCTTGGGGCGATCTCGGGGCCTCTTGGGTCGCTTTAGGCGCTGCTAGGACCGAAGGAGCGAAAATGATAAACATATATTTTCCTGGCGTGCCTGTTGAGAGTTATTTTGGGGGCCTATTGGGTCGTGTTGAAGGTGTCTGCGGCCATCTAGACGCCGTCTTGGGCCCTCTTGGAGCGCTCGTGGGCATTGTAGAGGTATTGCAGGGCGCCTTGGGGGCCTCTTGGGCCAGCATGGGGGTTTCTTGGGTCGGGGGGGGGGCGTTTTCGGCTGTCCGTGGTTCCTCCGGCAGGTGCGTCGGGGCTGGGGAGTGCCGTTCTAAAGGTAGTATCGAGGGGGGCTGTCGGCCGCCCGAGTGGGTTTTCCACGCAGGATGCGCGCGTGCATGTACACACACATATATGTATTTACACATATATGTATATAGGCACACGTGGGTACGAGCGATCTCTCTCTCTCTCTCTCTCTCTCTCTTTATATATATATATATATGTATATGTATGTATGTATGTATACACATATATATATATACATAGATCTATAGACACACGTATACGCGCATCGTTCATACATCCTATACCATGCGTTATGTATGTTTGAAGCCGTAGACATGTAGACATCGTACATCGAAATATTGTATACCATATGTATTTCTTGCTCGTCATTCACGCACAAAAAAGGCGTCGTGCACGTTTGGAGAGATGATAGTCTGAGCTCCGTGGCGGGCGCAGGAACCACGGTTCGTACTTGATGTTCGGATCGGACGTGCGTCCCCAACAACAGCACATCTTAGTAAGTCTTTTTCGCGCCCCCTCTCACTCCCCCCCCAGTCGAGACACCTGATAATTCTAGACGCTTCGCCTTTGCATGTCTCCATTCCACCTCGACCGACAGTTCTTTGGCCGCACCACCCTGGTGCCCACGCAGTTGCCCCGATCTCGGTCTCCTGCCTTAGTTTACGGAGTTGACCTTGGTCGTCGTCTATCCCGACTTGTTGGTGTCTGACGCCCTGCTTACTTGCACGCTGGCAGTTCGACTCTGTTTCAGTCTGCCTTGCCACCCGCCCGCCGCTGGGCCGCCGCGTGAGGCCTCGGCTTGCTGCGTTAGTCGTAGCCTGTTCGCGCTGCCTTTGCTTAGTTAGTCTCTGCGTAGCCCGCTTTGACCTGACTCGCCGCCGGCGCGCTCGCCCGCGGCCGCTGACTAAAAACATATCCCCACCAGCAACCAGCAATTAGGTTCGCGCGTAGCCCGCCCGACCTCTGGCGCTGCTGGCGCGCTCGCCTGCGGCCGCGACGAAAAAATATCCCCACCAGCCCATCCAGAAACGACGCCCAGGCGAGTCGAGAGCCGTTCTGAGGGACTCTTGGGCGTCCTGGGTGCCTCGGGGAGGCCTCTTGGGGCCGCTTGGGGTCCTCTTGGGGGCCTCTTGGAGGCCTCTTGTGCACCTCTTGGGGCCATCTTGGGGCCATCTTGGGGCCTCTTGGGGCCTCCTGGGCGCCTCTTGGGGCCATCTTGGAGGAGATCGACCAAACAAAAGGGGAACGTCAATTAGAGTCCCCCCCCAGGAGGCCAACATGGGGCCAGACTCGTAGTAAAACCAATGATTGTGGCTCCCTTGCCGAGGCCGTTTTGAACGCCCTGACACCTCGCGACACCCCCCCCGTCCAGGTCCATGGGGACGGGGGAGGGGGAGGGGTCAAGATTCCCTCCCCGCCCGCAAGCCGTCGTGCTCACCCCCCCCCCTTCCCAACACATACGTAGCACCCGAGCCTGGCCCGAGCCGCAGCATATTCAGCAGTCGTTTTTGGATGGGCAGCTATTGGGGGCGAGTCCGCCGCCGCCGCCTCCGCCGCCGCCGCCGCCGCCCGCCGCCGCCGCCGCGCCGCAGCCGCCGCCGCCGCGCCGCCGCGCCGCCGCGCCGCCGCCGCCGCCGCCGCCGCCGCCCCCGCTGCCGAATCGCCGCAGCCGCTGCCGCCCGCTGCCGCCGCCGCTGCCGCCGCCGCCGCCGCCGCCACCGCCGACGCCGCCGCCGCCGCCGCCCGCCGCCGCCGCCGCGCCGCCGCCGCCGCCGCCGGCCCGCTGTCCACCGCAGCCGCCGCCGCGACGCCGCCGCCGCCGCCGCCGCCGCCGCCGCCGCCGCCCGCTGCCGAATCGCCGCCGCCGCTGTCGCTGCCGCCGCAGCCGCCTGCCGCCACCGTTGCCGCCCCGCCGCCGCCGCCGCAGCCGCGCCGCCGCCGCCGCCGCCCCGCCGCCGCCACCGCCGCAGCCGCCGCCGCAGCCGCCGCAGCCGCTGCCGCCGCAGCAGCCGCCGCAGCCGCCGCCGCCGCCGCCGCCAAGTGTACTCTGGATTGTTTTCCTGGTGGGGGGAGGCCGCATCGGGTTCGCTGCGCATGCCCCGAATTTGGAGGCAGAGTGTTTTTTGTATCAAAAAGGATGGTGGATGGGTGCCCGCATTGACCCTGGTTGGCTCCCAGTCGCATTGGGGAGGAGATGTATACGAATAGGGAACAGTGAGAAATCCTTCCCCGAAGGGGAAGGAGGGGTGGAAGAGGAAACGCTCTAAACCACCGAAGCCCAGAGGGCTGGCGGGATTTCTGCTTCTAGGCCTCCCAGCTGAAGTCCGAGTGGATGGGTTTTCGGAGGGTCGATCCGCATCGCCGACGCATCGGCGATGCGGATCGATGTGGCGCCTGAACTTTTCCACGCGAGTGTCGCCGATGCATCGGCGATGCATTGGCGATGCGCCGCGATCATCTGACCCCGTCTGCTTCGACGACCCCATGGCCCATGGCAGGTTCCAGAACTCATTGGGGCGCATGTTTTACTTCCGCCGGTTTCCGCCAGCCTTCTGCCACCTTCCGCCGAGGACGATTCGCCAACGCATTCACTCGAAACCGAAGCCTATTGCTAGCCTTCTGCCACCCTCCGCCGGGGACGATTCGCCGACGCCTTCACTCGAAACCGAAGCCTATTGCTAGACCGATCCGATGCGATCCACAGGCTCCTGCGAAGACGTCCCGGGAGGGGCTCCCCAATTCATCCGAACTTGTCAGCATTCGAGCTTCCGCTATCCGCCGAGGGGGAGATGTCAACCCGCTCGATCCACAAAGGCAAGAAGGAGGAGGAGGAGGAGGAGGAGGAGGAGCAGGAGGAGGAGGAAAAGGAAAAGGAGGAGGAGGAGGAGGAGGAGGAGGAGGAGCGGAGGAGGAGGAGGGACGCCGATCCGCACGGCAATTCTGGATCCGACCGGGCGCGAGCGCCGCGCGAATCTGGACGAAGTGAGCACGCGCCCCGTGGTGCAGAGTTGCGGCACAACCTTGATCGAGACAACACAAAACGAGGAGGAGGGAGGAGGAAACGAGGAGGAGGGAGGAGGAGGGAGAAGGAAGGAGGAGGAGGAAGAAGGAGGAAGAGAAGCAGAAGGAGGAGGAGGGAGGAGGAGGACGAGGAGGAGGAGGAGGACGAGGAGGAGGCCTCCTGCTGCTTGCGATCCCGGGTGGACTTCCCGTGGGCTTTGGCATGCCCCCGAGGTCGCGCGCAGCTGGCTCGGGCGCCTGGTCGCGGGCGGCGGGGCCGCCGCCCTGCGCGCGGCGGTGCGCGCCAGCTCAGCGGAGGCCGCGCCACCCGGTGCCCGCGGTGCGCAAGCAGCTTGGAGCCGCCTGTGGGCCCGAGGTGGCCCAGCACTGGCTCTGGCCAGCAGGAAGGGTGGGCAGGCTCGAAGTTCTGGGCTCGAGGAGGTTTCCGTTTCCTTCCGCAGCCGGGGGACGTGGCCGGGCCTCGCGACCGCGAAAACTTGATCCGGAGTGCAAAAGTTCAGCAGGTGGACCCCGCGGGAGGATGAGCTGACCGATTTTCTCGGGTCCCAGCCAGTGCAGACCCCCCTGCCGCCTCCAACGAACAGTTCTCCCCAGATCCAGATCTCTGACTGGGGGGTCGGAGGGGCAGGAGGGGTGCTCAGAGGTTCTCGCTGGCTCCTGGAGGCTCTCCCGCCTAGTGGTGCTCTTCAGCAGCTGCGCCTCGCCGAAGGCGCCCGCGGCGCGGTGGCGAGCATCGAGGATCTCCGACATAGCTTCGAGGCCTCCCAGATGGGGTCCAGGCAGGTGCGGTGGGAGGATCACGGCCTATCGCCGATGCAGTGGCGATGCGGCTCGATGTGGAGCGCGATTTTCTCCGCGCCGACGGCGCCGATGCATCGCCGACGCCGCCGATGCATCACCGATAAGCGTAAAGTGTCGGAGTTCCGCGCGAATTTCCTCGGTCGGCGATGCCCCCCCCCGTGGCGGCGCCTCAGGCGCCGCCTCTGGCATCGCGCAAACGTCGCAAGCCCCTGGTCGCGTTGCGCGCAGGGCGCTGCCTCCTCGCAGCACGGTGCGCCGCGCCCGTGGTACGGTGCGCACGGCCCTGCTTTCTCCCCATACATCCGGCGAGGTGGTTTTTGACGCGCGGCCCCAGAAGTCCCGGCCCCCTTGTTCCTGCTGCAGCTGGATTGAATGAACCTCCCACAGATCCTATCCTCTACTGCGCCCTCTGCCCCTCAATCTGGCGTTGGTGGGATGAGTTGACAGAGCAGCCTCGGGGCCTGCCGCACGAGCTGCGAACGCCCACCCTTGATTACCTTGCTGAAGCTGGCCAGCTGCACTCAGGCGCGTGACGCAGATGGGGGAGGGGCACGCGCCAAGACGCCCACGACCTGCGGCCTGGGTGACCCTGGGGGAGTCGACGTGCAGGAATTCGCTGCCCGCGAGAGACGGCACGCCGAGTGCACCGTGCAGAAGCGTGCCGAGGTGACCCCGCCGGCACGATTCCACACGGTGTCCCTGGCGACATGGGCGTTCGGGGCATAGCGCGGGCCTTTTGCGGCCAGGCGCGATCTCGGCGCCTCCAGAACGCCATCAGCGAGGCGCAGGTGTTAGAGGTCTCCCCGAGGCGAGAAGGCCTCCAGGAGCTAACGAGGACTTCAGAAGATTCCGCGCTCCCTCCACAACGCGGCGATTGAAAGGGCCACGAAGCGTGTGACGGGTGTGCCGTAATGGGCCATGGGGAGACGATTGTGAGCATTGGCGTTGGGGTCTTCCGTTGAGTTCCGTAAAGGGGCCACGAAACGTGTGAGGATAGTGCCGTATTGAGCGGGGGAGGCGCGTGTGAGCACTGCAATTGAGACCCTTCGGTGGATGCCCCTTGAGGCCACGAAACGTGCGATGGGGTAACCGTATGGTCGGGGGGGACGCATGTGAGCACTGACGACTGACGGTTGGGCATTCGGTTGAGCTTCCAATCGGGCCACGACACGTGTGAGGGGTGTGCCGTTCTTGGTGGGGGAGACGCATGTGAGCAGTGCCGCGGGGGGCATTTGGTGGAGCTCCCCATGGAGCCACGAAACGTGAGGGGTGTGCGGGATTGTGGCCGATGGTGGTAGGGTGCTGCTACTTAAAGACGAGGCAGGATGGTCGGAGGCGAAAACATCCCGTCGTGACTGTTGTCCCGACGTCACGACGCGAGGCGGTCTCGGGAGGATGAACATATACCGATGCCGCCATTCAACGGAGCTCTCTCAGGGTGCGTTTTGACTAGGATTTCGAGGCGAGTCCAGCCGTGACGACGAGGACCTAGCAGGCCCCGAAACAGCGAAACCGAAGCAAGGTCAGCGGCATCTGTGCAAGTTCCTTTTCGTCTCGACGCGAGGGGTCCTGGGTCGTCAGTTACTCCAGTGCGCAGCCGCTGTCGCTCCGGCCGGCCGCTCGGATTCGGTGCGCCAATGTTCTGCACGATAGTTCTGGGCGCGAACCCAGCCGTGGCGACGAGGGCTCTCCAGTATGAGCAGCGGTATCGGAATCTTCCCTCCCTCTGGTACAGAGGCCTCCCGGACAAGGGTCTGGGTCCTCCGCCCCCCCAGCCCAGATCATTGTGTGCCAGATGCTGCTGGGCACGGCCGATAATGCTGCAACATGTCAAGTATCGCTCGCGTCCGATTTGCTACAAAATCGGTCGGGACCAATCGGTCTTGCCACTGATCTGTCGCGTTCGGTCACTGCTCCGACAGAATGGCGCAGACTGTGGATCGTGGTACAGACTGTGGATCGTGGTGATTTTTTTCTCTGGATGGAAGTGTATTGTGTGCAGGGCGAACAACGGCAGTAAAGAGACCCGCTTCCGCAGCAGGAAGTGTGGATTCACGTATCGGCATCATTGCCAGAACATGCGCGACGAAAATCAGAGGGCCAAGGAGAATGCCAAGTTGATGGGTGATATCAACATGTGCACCCACACGTGTATGATCAGCACCACCGACTACGCTATGATAAATAATGTATACCACACCCCTCCGACAGGGGCGGGAGCAATTGTACGGCCGTGAAATGAGCTCCAAACCATGTTAAATATACTGGCTGAGATCGTGATCCTGGGTAAGGAAGCCATGACGAGCACTGTCGCCCAGCAGAAACAAATTGCAGTTATCAGGCTCATGATTTGTCAGCTCAAACACCCAGGAGCGAAGGAAACGTAAACACGTGACGGGTTGCATAGAGTTGCGACAAAATTGGAGGGATTGAAGAAGCAGGCGGCGGCAGTTGAGATGGACAGTTTACTTGAACCGCAAACGATTGAAGGAGGTGGCGGGTGGTGTGGACCGGCCACCTAGTGGAGAATCTGTTGGTCATGCCAGGCGACAGGCGTTGACAGCGATGGCCCCGCAAGGACAAGCACACAACCTTGCCAAGGAGGAGGAGGAGGAGGAGGAGGAGGAGGAGGAGGAGGAGGAGGAGGAGCAGCCACTGCCACCGCCGCCTCCTCCTCCGCCGCCCCCACCTGATCTTCCAGCGCTCAAGGTGTTTCGGAGGTCCCGAGAAGACCCCCCACAGGAACATCCAGTGACGTTCATCGGGGACGGCAGACATATCAGATGCCATGCGTCGTTGAATGAACCGTTTCACAAGTTCGGGGGTTTGGGGTCGTCAGCCATTTGGGAGTGCAGGGTCCAGCGCACAGCCAACCAATTCAGCAGTGGCCAGGCCGAAAGCCCCGTCACCAGCAACCTCAACGACTTCACATGCCTTCATGGTGAGGCGGCGCGAATTGCAGGAAATCCATAGGGAGAAGACGGCGGTGGAGGCGGAGAAAACCCTGAAGAAGATGTCGGATATTCGCATGTTGCAGGAAGAACCGATGACACTTGTTGACGGGGTGGCCGGAGGAGATCGACGGCACGAGGCAATGGTTCAACAGATGCAGCGGCAGTTCATCAGCACGGTCTCGCCTTTTGTGAACAACCAAGGCTCTGTGTGATGTGCCGACCTCAGGCTGAAAGGCGGACGGAAGAGGAATAGTGTCGTGTGCTTGTTGAGTTGGAAGAATACAAGCAACAGCCAAAGCCCGACGCGATGATGATGGCCAAGGTGACGACGTTCCAGGATGGGGGTTTTGAAGGAGTTCCAGGATAGGCGACAAGCACTGGATGCGCAATGCGAAAAATAGAAAGACCGCGGCGTCCACGGAGATGTTCCTTGTACGCCAAGGTCCTTCCAAGCTGCGCAATCGGCCCGTGGTGACGACGAGCATTTCCGGAGAATGGCGTCGCAAATGCAGGCTGTGCAGCGAAAAGGGAAGATATCCGACAGCATGGCAGCAGTGATCCCAGACATCGTTGAGCCATTTGTATTTCCTACCTCGACACCAGCAGGTGCGACGGCTCCGGCAGTGAAGGCGTCGTCAACAATGCCGCCATCAACAAGATATGGGCCGCAAGAGATCCATAATAGTGTATGAACAGTTCGATTGGGTGACCTCCGTATCCTGCCATGGGCTACTCCGTTCAATTGTACGGCGCCATGCGGAGATGTAGCTCTGACCCGAAGGCGGCCGCGGTGAGCGGGGCGCCCCTAGGAGACAGGCGAAGACATGATGCTGTCTGTGAAGCAGAGGAGGCGGAATCATCAAGCAGCAGGAGGAGAACGCCCTGGCATTCGAGGACTACTACCTGCAGGACGGGCCAAGCCATCGAAACTATCTGGGGCAGCAAGAGCATGCATCAGAAGCGGAAGAGAGGGGTCGATTCATGGTTGGCCGCTGAGAGGCGAGCAGGGCAAATACATGGCGGAATTTCAAATCATGCAAGACCAGCGGTGGCAGGAATCTACGCAGGAGCCCATGCATAATATGTTCCAAGCGCAGGTGGATAACGAGCGCGGGGAGCAGCAGACACGCGCCGTATCCATTCCCACGGCGACACAACAGGTTAGAATGTCGTGGAGGAGGGGCGCTGGAAAATGACGACGGGGAGACGAGCGATGCGAACGTGGCTGACGTACTCAAAGATGTCGCTCATTCCGCATGCAATGTGCATGGGGGAATCGAAGATCCGGGCGTAGACTATTGCATGGTATGTGGACCAGCGAAGCCCGTCAAAGCGCGCCAGGTTCCGGGATTGGATGGCGGGGGCATGGCGCTTGCAACGACGACGCGCGTCGCCTCCGAAAAGGTTGAGACTGGGGCCCTGGCGCAGCGGAGACCCATAGGACTTGCGCCAGAGCCCATTGGGGTCGGCCGGGGGGGGGGGGGGGGGGGCGCCCCGCGGGCGGCGCAGCGGCGCGGGGCGCGCGACTGATGGCGCGTCTTCGTCGTCGGGGGAGATCGATGAAGAAGTGGCCCAGGTGGGCGCGGGTCCGACGGCAGTCCGAGGCGCGGCGCTAGACGCCCCAGCGCCGGACGTCGCCGAGGCGGTCGCGGAGGAGGAGGGCGACATTCGGGATCAGGGCGCGCAGCGCCCGAGCATTCGCAACGGGGCGCTGGCCGAGACGCAGGCGGCGTGACAGCAGGGGGGCGCGCGCGGACGGCGAGTTCGATGACTGGAAGCGCCAGCGAGCTTACATCTTTCGGGGTGGACCTGGCGACGTGGCCCGCCACGTCCGCGTTGAACAAGGGAGAGTCGATGCGTGACGCGCGAGGGTTATCATCAGCGACGGAGGCCACCGACGGAACCTCATCAGAAAAAAGGCAGCCACAGAAGACGTCGTGGTCGCGCGAAGCAGCGCGGCTGTCTGGCCGTGCGAGCGCGAGCTCAACGACCACGGCGGGTACCAGAGGAGAGCGCCCAATCGTGGGCGGCCAGTGGCTATCGCCCCGAGGGCCACCGGCGCTCGATGAATCAGCGGGGTGGCCGGCGCCGCCGGCCGTTTCAGGCGGGGGCGGGGCAGACGGAGCAGGCCGCGCTGATTTGGGGAACGACGAGGGCGGCAGGAGTCCAGCAATCCGTCAGGCTACCTCAAGCCGCCGACGCCTCGGGAAATTGGGGCGCGACGGCGGACAACGAGACAGTCCTGGGCAATCATTTATTCGAGAACATCGGGTACGCCTTGCCACTGCGCAGGCATCACCTAGCGCCATGTCTGTTGAGTCGGGCATGACGCCAGTCGACCTCGCATTCCTTTTCAATTAGTTGAATGAGGTAGTCAGGATTACAAGCTAAGTGGTAATGGGGCGCCGTTGGTTAGGTGCAACGTTCTTTTGGCTGCTCACGCGCTGCGTGATCAACGTGGCCCTCACATCTGGCTTCGGCGTGGTGCTGCTGACTTGGTGCTGAATGAGCGCTCCAGGTTAACCTTTTTTTTTTCGCGATCGCATGCGCCGCAACTTGGCCGCTGCGCTATTGTTTGCGACGGCTCTCAATGACCTGATCACCCTGGTCAAAGTCCATGGGCCTGTTCCATCAGATCGGACAGTGCTGAGTCTGAATGTTTTGACGGATTCTGCAGCTGCCATTTCATAGACTGCATGTACTTCGGCTTCCCCAACGGCAGTGCATCCAACGTCACGGCGGAGCCTGCAGGTTTTATTGGGATTGCATTCACTTACTTCCTGCGGACGCCATGGCAGACTACTGCGGAGATCACCTGCGACTGGCCCCTTGCCCCGACGTCAACACTATCGAGACGAATTCAAAGAGGTGGACGATCGAGCCGCGCCGCTCAGGTATTCTCGGAGTAATCCAGATTGCGCCCACTAAATCTAATTTCCATGGGAGGCCGCGAGAGCGGCCCGTGGAACGAGATGCGCGACGCCACCGCCAAGAGTGCGAGCGTTCGGCCACCCCGAGGTTTACCGCGCGATGTCTTTCAGAGCTCGCAGCACCGCCAGGGGTTTAGGCGGGCTTTTCTTCGTGACCAGACTCGTCCAGAACGACGTGCCTACCCTGGCGCTGACCATGTGGGCCTACGCGCGCACGCGAGGAGACGGCAAGTGATGCCGCAGGCTCGCTCAGCACCGACAGTGACCACGCGCGAGTACGACCTCGACTTGAATGTCGCGGCCTTCAACTGTCAGCGGGCGGCGATCGGCGCGGCGCGTGATCCCGGGCATCCTGCGCGCGGTCAACTCGATCGGGTGCGAATGACGGGCTCCGGGGGCCCGCGTCGTGGGATGTCAGGGTGCGCCAGCATTGTTGGCGCCCGCGGTCATCGATGGATATTTCTTTGTATGTAGAGGCTCCGAACAGAAGACGGGCTGTGCATTGCAGTTGGATGTTCCTGAACCTTCACGGCATGGGCCAATCAGGATCCAGATGTTTCAAGCGCTGCGATCTCGGGGTTCCCCACGTGGGGATACGGCTACTTTGTTGCAGGAGTCCGTATTTCAAAGTCTTCGAGAGAGTGCGAGTTGTGCGCGCCGCCGACGTAGGGCGCCAGGTGGGCCAGGCTATCGACTACGATTGGTGGCCGATGTCCCATAGTTTCGTATTGGAGTTGCCGCCAGCCGCGGCGCTGGGAGACATAGTACTCACTTGGGAGGTCGGCCAAGGCGCAGCACATTGGATAATGTACACGGTGGCATTTGTAGTCATGCGGCAGTGCATGGTGCTCCTCCAGTGAACGATATCCCTGGGCACAGGCTCCATCAGTTCGTGTCCCGCAGGGAGCTATATTTGGGTTCAGTATACTGTTCCGAAGCTGCAGGGCATGCATTTCTGAGCAGAGCAGGACTGTGCCGCAAGAGCGATCACATCATGCCCGATGGAGCTTTCGACGGGCACTGCGTGCAATGCGAGTTTGACAGGCAGTTCGACACATGCGCGGAGGCGGACGACCACCTCCCCGTCATTGCGAGGTGCACAGCTACGATGACCAGAACGGCAGGAGAAGGACCACCGAGACCCAGGCTAGACCGAACAAACAAGCTGAAGGACCCCGAATGTCGCGAACGTTTTGGCGACGAGTTGAACTGGCGATGCCCCCCACCGTGGGGGATGGACACTAATGGACACCAGGAGCTTGCCGACGCAATGACGCGGGAGTTGACCGCGCTGTGCTCTTGTGGCGGGGGTAGCTGACTCCGCTGCAACCATGCATCGCGCACGGCGCGATGGAGCTGACGAGGCTGAAGCGATATGTAGCACGCGCCTTGCGCAAATCGTCAACCCTGAGCGAAGCCAAGCCATGGCACGGCTTGCCAAAACAAGGAAAGTCAAGATTTGGGCAGCTGGGGTTTGGAATTTGCGGCCGCTACGCAGTGGGAAACGGCGCGGCCCTGAACTGTCATATCATGATGGTGCTCTCAGGCTGCGATGATTCTTCGCTGTGCCGGTCAAGTTTTTCAAGGCGGCGATCGACCACAATCGATCAGTCCATATAGACACGATTGGAGAACAAATGGGAACGCGCGCCAAAGTTGGGGATGCGCGCCGCGAGCGGAGGCATCTTGAAGTGCCTTTTTCCGGCGCGGACGGAAACGAGGACGTCAATGTAGGCGCGTTCTTTTATCTTATTCAAACGAGGCGATACTTTATCATAATCACCAAAGAGCAAAATCCATTGCATGGCGCGTTGCGGTTACGGAGGACGCCGACGTCGTGGGTTTCAACGAGTTGCAAACGAAGTGCATTGCTCGACTGCATCATGCTCGTCAGCGGCAACCTGGACCCGACGCCAGAACATAAACCTGAGGTAGGGCGGTTGTTCCGTGTCTGGAAGACGGCATAGTGTTCCCGTTGTATAGGAGGAAAAGGAAATGGCCAAGTTCGGCCGCCCTCATTGTTAAAATGTACGGTCGGCAGGTGTCGGCGCGGGACGTTGCGGGGCCATCTGTCGCTGCGCGCGGGCATCGTCTCGAGGGGTGCGCAGCAAGGAGGCAGACAAGCGAGAGTCCCGCTCAGGTCTTGCCTTCTATACTTTCTTTGTCTGCAAGTTTGCAAGGCTGGGGGATGAACGGCGATCTTATGTCTCATTGGTCTGAACGCTGCGTTTCTTGAAGGATGTTGCTTTGTAGTCATGCTAGCGGTGGGCGGTGATGACAACGAGGGGGACGCGTTGCACAGTCGCGGCGTGCCCTTGGCATTTGGTTCCCTCCCTTGAGTCTCATCTTGGAACGCGCCCAGCTCGGCGACGAGCCGCGCTTGATTGCGCTGTTGGTGGAGGGGCATCGCGACGCGCACTCTGGAGCAGCTGATCGCCCCACTGCTGAAGTAGCCCGCTCGCGGAGAGGTTCCCGTCATGGGAGCTCGCTAGGAGGCGCCAGTTTCAACGTCTCGCTTCCCCAACCACTGGCAGCGATCGAGGAAGGGTTGCGGGAGGGCGACCTCTCGCGCGACCTGGCGGTGCCTCCAGGAGGGGCAATATTGTCACAGGGCATGGCCTCGGATCGCCGCGTCATTTTGCATGCGACGTGCGGCGCGTGGCCCGCTCAGTGGGATGACCGGCAGGATGCGCAGGCTTGGTATATGCGCCAAAGTCAATATATGTGGTGTAATGGCGAATGTTTACCATGTGCTCAACCTCGCGGAAGCTCGACGTGAAATTAGACCCGCGCAGCTCAATGCATTGGGCGCGTTTTGTATTCGAGCATGCCGCGCGGTAGCCGGGCTGCAGCACCCTCCAGAGATGGGGGGTTGGACCGCGCACGCGGATATATTGCGGTTGGCAAAGAGGCGAGGCATCGAGCGCGCAATCAGATAGGCGCATTGGTTTTAGATCGCCAGGCGCCCAGTGCATTGATCTTGCAGACGCGGCGGCACGGACCAGTGGATCTGGGGCGAAGGTGATGCCGCGAGACTTCAAATGGCTCCGTCGGCACGACGCAAGGGGGGGCCATGAGGATTGGACGCTTCAGCTTTCCCGTAAGGTGAGAAGCCCGTCGTCAATGCAAGCTGCGGCGAGTGTACCCAGGTACGCATGGCACACCGGGGCGACGGTCCCTACGGTGGCCTCATGGAGAAGACGCCAAGTAGAGCGCGGCCTGGTTGACTTGGCGCAGCTGGCAGCAGGGGGGGCACTATTTGCATCGTGTGGATGCGTCCTCAGGACGAGGCCATCGTCATCAAACAATTTCGCAGGATGGGCACCAGATGCATGCGCTGGATCGAAGAACACGTTGGTCTTCTTGGGAGAGACTGAGCGACCACTCAGAGGCAAGCGCATTTGAAGGTTGCAAGGGAACAGGCCAGCAGAGAGCACCATCGTCTCAAGGTTCCCCAGCGGCCTCCTTCCCCGACAAATGAGCAAGGTGAAGATGGAGCCTTTCTGGGGTTGGACCGAGGGCGGCCGTGCCAGCCGCCGCTGCTTCCAATCCTGCATGCGCAGATGGCCCGCCCAGTGTCCACGTTTGGGATGAGGCACGTAGGAAATGGCGAGGAGATTAGCTTTCTGCATTGCAGAGGCGCGTGCCAAGGCAATGTGGATCGCTGGATCAACCTGGTATCATCAATAGGATCGGTCAAGACTACGACCTACCAGGCCAATATCATAAAACGACCAGGACCAGGAGCGCGACTGGATGGTGGATGACGCTGCAGCGCTACAGGTGATTGGGAGATTGAGGATAGTGGAGGCATCGCAAGTTCTTTGGGCGCCATCGCTCCAGACCTGGCGAAGGATAGCAGTCCCGTCAACTCTATCAGATGCGGAGCTTCAGCTACTACGAGGACGGCCCCAGCCATTTCGAGGCGATTCGGCTTGGGCAGGGGACCCAGCAACCACGCGACCGAGGCCAAATCCACGGGGAAAGGCCGAAGAAAGCAGGGCAACAGGGAGACGATGTCGCTGTTCGTGCCGATGTTGATCGGCTGATCGTTGCACCGACGACTCGAACATCAGCGGCGGCTACGCCGTTCCAGAGCTGCGAGAGGCCATGCGTGCAGGACGGATACGGCATCAGCAGCCACCTGTGCGAGTCGTAGGCAAGAGAGTAGGCTTCTCGGCACTGCCGGTACTCTGTGCTTTGAACTTGTCACGTGTTCTTCTGGTTTTCTACCACAATCTTCAGCAGTTGTGAATGGGGGGCTGTGTGTGGGGCTCTCAAGGCGTATTGCTGAGGCACCGCTGGCGACCGAGCTCGGAGCGCAGGCGCTGTGCATGCGATAGGGCGGGATTGGTCATGATTGGGAGAAGGGGGAGTGTTTTTCCCGACCTGCCCACCTGCATTGGCAGTGCACCGCCGCTTGTCTTCTAGTATCCCGAGGCTACTCACGCTGACAGTGGTTAAACCTTACGTTTCGAGGGGACGGCCTCCCCTTATGGGTGTCTACTGCGAGTGTGCACTTGGTGACAAGACAAGGGGATACGGTGAGTTTTCCGGCTTTTATCAAGTTTACCAAATCGCGGCTCCAGGTCAAGGTTTTGCAGTTTTTTCCCGACCTCAGCCAGTTGTCACAAGAACCTCCCCCCCCGCATCACCACTCCATGGTTTTTTGTCGCCTCTGGTGGCGAAAGTGGTAGAGGGCGAAATCAACCCCGAGCGCCTCCCCGAAGACCCATGGCGGTAGGCCGCCCCGTCCGTTGCGCCAAGCAGGACTCAGGCCACCTGGTCCCTACCTCAAGTTCTTGCTTGAGCGGGGCGTCCTGTGCGTTTTCTCGCATCTTTCGTCTTCGGCTTGACCATCCTGTTTCTATTCTTCCCCCTGCAGTACTAGATGGTGCAGGTTTGCTTTTGGGGCTTTCTCGATGGCGGCATCCCCTGACCCCATACACCGCGAGCTCCCGTTAAGCCGGGCCGAGGGGGTATGGGGAAACACTTGGGAGAGAGGTAGAGAGAAAGAGAGAGAGGGAGAGAGAGAGAGCCCCATTGCGGCCTGTTGCCGTTCGGCCAGCAGCATTAATTCTCTGATGGGTGCCTGGCCGCGTCACTAGCGTTTGGAGGGGGTGAGGAGTTGGAGTGAGTAGTACGATTGTTGGGGGACCGGTATGTGCCGGCATCGTTAATGAAGACTTTGGCCGTTGTTTGTGCTTCACGTGTGTGCTAGATTGGACTTGTTTCCTGGGCCCGTCGTGCCCAGGCTGCCTGACGCTGCGGGCCCTCGTGGCCCAATAGCCTGCCTATCAAAAGAGGAGAAGGACGAGGAGAAGAAGGAGGAGGAGGAGGAGCAGGAGCAGGAGGAGGAGGAGGAGGAGCAGGGGCGCCGAAAAGATCGAGGAGGAATATCGAGGTTTCTGGAAGTGCCTGTACCGTGCCCCCTTTTTCCGAGCAGGGGGGGGACGGGTCCAGAGGGCAACGGATCCTGGGCCCTGGGGCCTTCCCCCCGGGACGAGCGTTGCATCCTGAACCGTTCTCTGGCAGCCCCGGGGCCCGTGGAGGGCCCCGAGGGTCCGGAAACGGCACCCGTTTCCTTCAGAACCCGCCTGCACCATGGCGACGTTTCGGACCCGGGTGCGGCGCCGCTGCAGCTCCCGCTGGCCCCGCGGGGCCCCGGCCGCAGGCCTTGGCGGCGGTGCTGTCGCTCGGCGGCGCGCCGGCCGCGACGGCCGCGGCCGTGCGCGCGACGGGGACCCTCCAGCGCGCGCCCCCTGCCTCGGGGGCGCCAAGCCCAGAGGTATTGTCAGGGGCAACGATGCGGGGGCATAGGCATAGGGGGTAAGGGAGGGGTGCACCGATCCCCAATCGGTCATGGATCGCCGAGGGGGGTGTGATAGTCCCAGCACCCCTCGGATGGTGGGGTTTTTCTATCTGGGGCCCATCGCCGATGTATCTGCGTGTATCGCCGTTTCGAGGCCGATGCATCCCTCCCAACGCCAGTCCCCCTCTATTGTTGCCCCCCATGCTTGCGTTCTGAAAAATGTGGACGGAGTTTTCGTGCCATGAGCGTCGCCGTGGGGGAAGCGACCTGAGGAGAACGGGTTCTCGTCCAGAACCCGTTTCCCTCATGCTATGAGTGCGTGCACGTTTTATATCCATATCCAATGCATCTTGGATTTTACAGGAAGTGGCGCCAGAAGTTCCAGAAGGCCGAGGCGCAGTGGATACGCACAACAAATGTTTAGCCTATCGGGACCAGATGTTTCTCAATATCCACAGCGCCACTGGTTTCTGAGGAAGGGAGCCCCGGACTGCAAGACGCAGTGGATATGGATATCTTGCCCGCAATGGAAGTTCATTTGCATGGCATCTCCACCACCACCCCTCCGCCGCCTTTCCAAACAGCGCTGAGCCGAAAAGGCGTGCAAGTCAATCCCGACCTGCGCGTAGTCCAGACTTCCTGTCGGGCCTCACCACGCCTCCCCGCCATTCCACCTCCAGGCAAGTAAACCTGCGGGGGTCTTGACAGCCTTTTTCTTGCTATGCTCAGTCTCTGGGGGCCCTCCACGGGCCCTGAGGTCGCGAGGAGAAACCACTCGGGGTGAGAAAGCGGCACTGGGGAAAGAGTCGGAACTTCCAGAGACAGCGGATTCGAAACAGTCATGTGTGGGCACGGTTCGGCCGATTCGCCGGAGGCCGAGTGCGGTCGGCAACGGTCGCGGCCGATCCTGCCGGTGTTTCCGGTGGCTACGTGCATTCCGTACCGATCTGCCGCGACGCAAGAGCAGGACAGACCGCGGCCGAAATACCGTTCTCGATTTGCAGCGATTGGTCTTCGCGACCGGAATTTGGGATCGGTCGTGACCGCTCGCGGCCGAAAACGGAGCCTGGTCGCCAGAATGCAGTTCCCGAAATACACGACCGAACCTTGTCAGTCGCGGATGATTTCGGCAGGAGGCGTTAGTCAGCTCTCATAGAGGACGTGTTCGTTAGTTCTTGATGGTTTTCTTGCCGCGGTGTGCTTTCTAGCAGCTGCGCCCCGGCGGGAGCTTTCCAGAGGTGCCCGCCTCGTTGCGAACGGCCGGCGGAGGCCCGAGCTGTCACCCGAAAGCCACCCGTCCAATCGGGGCCGGCGCACAGGCAGCGCACGACTCGGTGCACCAGCGATGAGCCCAGACCCCTTCGCGTCGTCAAGAACGTGAGGCGTGTGACTTGGCATCGCTCGGACGTGTGCATTTTTCCTTCGGCGAGGACCATCGAGGAGCATCCTTGATCATTTGGCGAAAAAGCCACGCACGAAACCGAAAAAAACACAGGAAATGGACGTCCGAGCGATGGCCAGGTGAGGGTTTTCGTCTTTTCTCGGCCTCGTGCACTCGCTGGGCCCCCGGGACCGTCGCAAACGGCTCGGGACAGCAGGCTTGTCTAAAGGAATTGGTCGAGACTTCCGGGGGTCCGCGTCGTGAGCAAAGCATGATGTCGGAGCAAGTGTCCATGATGCTTCCCCAGGCTCGGGGGCGTCTCGAGGGGGACGGCGTTTTTCTTCGATTTCGGTCTCATGGGGCCCGTTGTCGGTCCTCGGGACAAGCGAACATGGATTCTGGACGACCCCCACCCCCTGAAGGTGTGGTGACCTCAGGGGCCGCGAATTGAAGACATATCATCGTCGGGTGATCAGGCAAGGGGCAAGGGGGCTGGCCTTCGGGGGGGTGTTCCAAGAGTGCATGGGGGCGGGGTGCATCACCACGGAGAAAGGGGTCCCGAGGATAATGATGTGCCAACCTACTTCGGCCTTGATCGCCAAACATAATTTCGAGCACGAAGGAAGTACCGAAACTGGAGGGTGGTCACGTGTCGGGCCCTGGGGGGCGATACTCGTCCGACACTGGTTCGATACTTTCCTGGGTGCTTGATTTTGTTTCTGGATGTGGTCCTTAAGCACGGTGGGAGCAACATAATCCAAGGAAAAGGGGTCCTGGTGCTCTTCCCGCCTTCGGCCTCTTCGGGGCCCTGCTGGGGCCCTGGGACCGCGGCAACGTCCCCAGCGCGAGCATCCAAGGTCGGGCGCCGCCAGTGCCAGCCGCGCGCAGTGAGGGGTGGGGAGAAGGCTTCTCCGCAGCACCCCTGCTCCGCAGAAGGCGCGGGCCTCTTCTGCAGATGTAGCTTGGGCCCGCGCCATCTAAGAAGCAGCCTACACTTCTACGAACTGTTTCTAAGAGGGCGCGGGCCTTTTCTGAAGATGTAACTAGGGCCCGCGCCATCTAAGAAGCAGCCTCCTTCTACGAAGCTTCCCCCCCTCCCCCTTCCTCTGGTGCGGGCCGCCAAAGAAACCAACGCGCAAATCGTCACGACACGGACCTGGCGTAAGAGTCGGGTTGGACGAACTTGGGGATAGGGAAGCGTGGGGGGTACGAAATCCGTTGCATGCAGTTTGTTCCGGCCCCGCCCGCTGGGCGATTTCCTCGCTGGGGCCGGGAGACGACAGAAGAGCTGGCGACGTGGACTGATTTGCGACCCCACCCCCCGCTTTGCTGATTATTGCCCCATGTCGTTTGATCCGAAATGGAATGGAACCCCCCCTGCTGTCGTGGAGTGCCTGTCCCCTTCGCCCCGCCCCCTTCGGCGCGCCGCCAGAGTGGGCGCCGCTCTGCTTGCAGAAAGGCCCCCACAGAGCGATGCGCTGTGACGTCTTGGTCGCCGTCGGGGTTCGAGGGCTGAGGGCTTGCACGGCCCTGAGGGCCTTCTTTGACCTCCTGGGGCGTTGTAGCCACGGCTGGATGCGCGGTGAAATCGTGGCGACTCCAATTCGACCCAGGAGAGTGTTGGGGGGGGGTCAGTTCTGGGGGGAGGAGCTGCCTATCTCCGACCGCTTGGACAGCAAAGAACGACTGGACTTGTTCATTATTCCGGGTTCGTTTGGAGTTGTTTATTGCCTTGGCTTCTTCTGGGCCATCAGAATCAGCCATACAGCTGCCGCGTTGGCCACCTCCGACCTCCGAGTCCCAACAGGGGCCTGTGGCTGCAAAGCGTGTAGCCCAGGAAGGCGCACCGCCGAGGTGAGGAGTGCCACGCCTCTTCTTTGCTGAGCTCACTGCCACAAGGGGCCCCTTCGAAGGGCATGCCGCGCAGCATGAACACGGCACAGGTGGTGCGACTTTGCCTCGGGACGTGAGTCCGTGGTCTGGGTGAGGCTCGTCGTCGGCCTCCGAGGCGTGCAAGACAAGAGCGGCCACGCCTGGACAGTCCTGGGCGCCACCGTCTAGAGCATGCGCCCGGCGCGCTTGGCCTGGGGGCTCGGTCTGTGCCGAGCGATGCGCTCAAGCTGCTCCTCGGTGAGGGTGGGATGGGGGAGGGGGAGGAAATCACGGCGAAGGAGGTGGAAGTGGAAAGGCGGAGGAGGAGCAGGTGGGAGAAGGGATGAGATGGTGGAGGTGGGGGAGGAGGATGACGTGGACGATAATGACGTGGACGGCTCGGGCCCCTCCCGGGGCCCCTTCCGGCCAGGCTCTCGAGTTGCGCCCAGCCGTGGCGACGCGTTCCGCCAGAAGCACCCAGAAGCTTCCAGATGAACGACGACGAGGGCGACCCAGAGCAGCGAATACTGGTTGTTCGGTCGCGGTCGGTAGCGACCGATCGGCACTCCACATCGGTCACGACCGATCGCGACCGATTCCAAAATCGGTCGCGACCGACTTCGAAGCAAACCGATCGCGACCGATATGGGGATTTTGACGCACATTCGGCAGCGACCGATCTCGCCGTTCGCGACCGGACAAAGCCAGACATATGATTTCATGATGTTTTCATTACGGGGCCCCCCTCAAGTCCAGACCCATTCCCCAAGACTGGTTGTCACCTTGAGTATTGTTGACGGCCCCTGCGCCCGGCGAGGGCCTCCAGAGGCCGATAACGGCCAAGCATTTCCCGTCCTGATTCCTGTCACGACGCGAGCAGGTCTGGGAATGTGCCACCCAAATGACCAGGCAGCACCCAGGCCTCCGACGTTTCGATAGTCTGCAGCGCCGGGCCCCCCGGGACCTCCCGACGGCCTAGAGGACCCGCTCCTCGTCCAATGGCCACTTCTCGGCGACGGCCCCCTTGGGCCCGAAGGCGGGCCCCCGACAGAAGCGTCCGTCCGAATGGTGTGCAAGGCGTCGGCAGGCCACGAGCGCGGGCGGGAGGGCCCAGGCCCCTTTGGGTCGTGACAAAGAGCATGGCAAAGCGTGTCCTTTTGCTGCAGCCACTCATATGGGGTCCTGAGGGGTGGGGTCCTTTGGGCGAGGTGCCTCAAACAATGCACATCCACCCGTGGATCCCTACCGATCTTCAGGACCCCATCATCAGGACCCTTACTTTGAACCGCCAGAATATGCTGAAATAAGGACCGCTCTAGGCTCGGAAAGGGGCTCGCTGCCCCGGGATGCCAAGAAGGGGCTTCGTTCCTGATGTAGCGTCTTCATTGCAGCGGCCAGACTGGATGTTCTGCCTCATGGGGGCCCGTGCGAGGCTTTGGGACCATCAAACATGCTTGGAATGGGACCCCAGTCCCGGGGAGTGGGTCGAGACCTCAGGGTTGGACGTGATGAAAACTCATGGCGACGGGGGGCTAGCAGGATTGTTTTGCGTTGTCTTGCTAGCCCAGGCTGTCATTCACAGGAGGACGAGGACCAGGAGGAGAAAGAGGCCCGACGCCACAAAGGGCAGTGAACCGTCTTCCGTTTTTCTTTTTTGGAGAATGTTCGCCAATGGAGGATCCTGCCACTACGGGCCATAAGAGGAGCGGGGATGAGCGAGGAGCGAGGAGGGGGAGGCGGAGAGGGAGGAGGAGGGGCAGGAGGAGGAGGAGGAGGAGGAGGAGGAGGAGGAGGAGGAGGAGGAGGTGTGAGGGGAGGAGGCGGGCGGAGGAGGAAGAGGAGGAGAAGGAGAAGAAGAGGAGGAGGAGAAGGAGGAGAGAGGAGAAGAAGGAGGGGGAGCGGGAGGTGGAGGGAGGAGTAGGAGTTGGAGGAGGAGGAGGAGGAGGAGAAGGAGAAAGAAGAGGAGGAAGAGGAGGACAAGGAGGAGGAGGAGGAGGAAGAGGAGGTTAGGGAGGCAGAGAGAAGGAGAGAAGGAGGAGGTGTTGGAGGAGGACGAGGAGGAGAAAGGGTTATGAGGAAGAGGAGGAGTAGGAGGCGGAGGAGGCGGAGGAGGAGGAGGAGGAGGAGGAGGAGGAGAAGGAGGGAGAGACAGGATGAGGAGGAGCAGGCTGGAGGAGGATAGGAAGAGGAGCAGGAGGATGCGAAGGAGAAGTGAGGAGAAGTGAGGAGGGAGTAAGGGAAGGGAGGGAGGAAGAGGATACGCAGCAGGAGGAGGATGAGGAGGAGGAGGAGGAGGAAATTGAGTAGGAGGAGGAGGAGGAGGAGGAGGAGGAGGAGGAGGAGGAGGAGAAGGAGGGAGGAGGAGGAGGAGGAGGAAAACGAGGAGGAGGAATGAGAAGGAGGAGGTGGTGGAGGAGGCAGAGGCCCTCTGGCGGGGCAAGAACACGCCGGCCAGGAGCGCTGGCGGTGGTGTCGGGGAGCCAGGCGTGCTGGACGTGTGCGTGGAGAAGGACCCCCTCATCCCTCCTCCTCCCTCCCTCCACCTCCGCCCTGCTCCCCCTCCGCCTTCTTCCCTACCTCTCCTCTCTTCCCCCCCCCTCGCTGCCTCCATTCCCGCCTTCCCCCCCCTTCGCCGCTGCCCTCCTGCCTCCTCCTGCCTCCTCCCCTCCCTCGCTGACTCCCTCCTCGTCCTCCTCCTTTTCCGCCCTCAAGCCACTTGGGCTCAAGCTCGCTTTGCTTGGGCGCCAGGCCTGCCGCTGTACCCGCAATGGTGCTGGCATGAGGGCCTCTGTAGTTTCTCAGGCAGATCGGCCTGGACCTCCGGAGGTGAAGTGCAGCCTTATCGGATCTACTTCCTGATCTTGGTTTGCAAGCGATTCCTGCTACCTGTCAACTTGGCTTCGTCGGAGTTGCTGGAACGATTGGCTGATCTTGATCATCCTCATCGTCAGCTCGATGTCCTGCTCATCGACAGCGTCTAAGCCTCCTATTTCACGGCTGGGAGCGAGTACTATCCTCCTCAAGGTCGATGGGAAGTTCCGTCGTATTCCCTGACCTTCGCCTATGGTGCGGCAGCAGTCACAGGAGGAGTTGCACCTGGTGGCTGGTCCTGGCAGGGAGATTGCATCCCACGGCTCTTTCCTGAGCGTGCCGACGCCGCCGCCTCCGCCGAAGCCCGCGCCCAGAGCCGTTCCGACCGAGGAAATCACCAACGACACGAAGATCCAGTACTCCACGAAGAACGTCACCAAGCAGGAGAAGAAGGCCGCAAAGCAGCTGAAGAAGAGGATCAGGTACAAGTGGAACCAGTTGAACAACTTGCTGAAGGTAAAGAAGGAGATGAGGGAGAAGCAGATGAGGGAGAAGGTCCCACTGGCAGTGGGGCGTCCGAGGCTGCCCGTGCCGCCGCAGCCACCGCCGCCTGGCAGGTGGACCTAGCCCGACCCGAACATGAGCGACCCGTACGCGCAGGTCGTGCAGTGCCCGAGGACGCCTCCGAGGAGCAGCGCCACGAGGAGTTCTTCATCGGCAGTTCGGTTGCCTCCGCCTCCGAACCCGAGGGCACGATGAACGAGCCTGGCCAGGCGTACGAGAAGAAGCTCAAGAACAAAAAGAATAACAAGAAGGAGGTGGAGAGGGCTCGTGTTGAGCCTGAGGCTCAGGTGGAGCCGTGCGCAGGTGGCATCGAGGGAGCTTCTGCGAGGAGCTTATGCCTGACGTCGCTGCCGGCGTGGTCGCCGCCCGTTTCCGAGCGGCGGGATTATTTCGAGGAGGACTTTGAGAGCCTGGGAGAGGACCTGAAGGAGAAGCTCAGGAATTTGGGCTGTTTCCGACAACGGTCGTCGGCTGAGTCTTGAAGTTCTGCGTGCCCTTCGTCCCGGCTTGTTTTTTGGGTTTTCAAAAAAAATCCGGAACGGTCTTATCGGCATGTTATTATGTGTTATTATTCTTCCGGCCCTTTCGGCTCAAACCCGTTTTTGTGTTGTTGTTTTTTTCCAGCCTGTCTGTTAGTCCAGTCTTGAGCCTAGCATGCAGCCGTTCACTGGAAAACCAATCCTCCTTCTCCGCCTCCTCCTCCTTTTCCCCCTCCTCCTCCTCCTCCTCCTTCCCCCCCTCCTCCTCCTCGTCCTCCTCCTCCTCCTCCGCCTCCTCCTCTTCCTCCTGCTTCCCTTTCTCTTTCCCCTCCTCCGTCGTCATCCTTCCTTCCTCCCCCGCCCGTCCTCGCTGCCTCCCTTGCCTCCCCCCGCCCTCCTCGCCGCAGCCCCCCTCCCCTCCCGCCCCCCCGCTGGCGCCGCGCCGCGCGGGCCCCGAGCCGCGCAGGCCGCCGCCCCCCCCCCCAACCCCCTATTGGCCTCAGCGCCGTGGTGCTGAGAAAACCACAGAGGGAGGTTTGACTCCAACTTCCCGCTGGAGCCGTCTGAGGGTCTGAGGTGGCCTAGCACTGGCTCCGACCGGCTGGGTTCGGGAGGATGCGTTTCTTTTCTCGGCCCCCGCGAGCCGTTTTCGGGCCCCGGGACAGTGAAAAGCGGACCCAGTGGGACACAGTCTGCCAGATGGACCCCAAGAGGGGTCAGGGGATTGATTTTTTTAATGGATTCGGCCCATCCCCCCTCCTGACCGATTTTGTGGGGCCCCAGCCGGTTCAGATCCCCCGGCCGCCTCCAGACGAGATTTGATGCTTCAATAAGTTATGTGTTGTGCCTTTGGGGGCCCTCGGCCCTCGCTGATCCCCGGAACAGTTTTAAACAGTACTTACGAGGAAGAAGCGGCGCTGGAATGGGTCAAGGCCTCGATCTGGGCCTTTGGAGGTCTACGCACATTCAGAAAAAATCAGGACGTCGGGGGTCTCGGCCTGGGGGGTGGGGATGCAGCGGCCAGGGGTCGTCGGTGGTCGGGTCGCTCTGCGTTGGGCATCGCAGGGGTCAAGCGAGGAGGTCCACCGGCTGCCCGAGGACTCCGTCCACAGGGCGTCGGTCGGCGGCGTACCAGGCATGCTCGAGGAGGCAGGCGACGAATCACGCTCCAGGGTGGTAAGTCTCGGGTGGCTCCCCGCGGCCCCCCCAGGGCACTGCTGGCAGGGCCTCGCATTGGTGAGGCCAGGCGCCCCTAACTCGGTGCTGGGAGAGTATGTCTGGCCCGCGAGTACGGACCTCCGCGCCCGCGTCCAAAGGCTTTCCCGATGCACAAGTGCCCGTCCCACGGCCGCAGTGCGCTGTCGGGCATGCCTGTGTCCTGGCTTGCCGAAGCTCCCCGTTGCCGGGGCCGTGGTCGACCCTCCCGCGCGGCAGATGCCACGGCTCGAGGGTTGTCAGTTTAGGTTCGAGGACAGGGTTTCGAGGATCGAAGAGGGGATCGGATGAGGTTAGGACGAGGGTAAATCAGTTCCAAAGCGTTTCGGAACGCTCTCAGAGCGTTCAGGAACGCTCTGAGAAGGCCGCGGCGCTCGAGACATCCTCCAGGGCGGTTTTCAGAGAGTCGCGATTTATCCTCACCCTATGGGATCCTCTTCCTGGCTTCGTCTTGGGGGAGGACACGCGTCGAGGATCGAAGTTCGAGCCCTGCCTCCTCGCGCCTGCCAGCCTCCGTGCGCGCACTGTTTGTGCAGAAGCTGGCCGCCCAGATTTGAGGGAGGGAAGGGCCTCGGAGGTCTCGCTTCACCTCGCAGGCCTCCAACTCACTGCACACAGCCTAGCGCGTTAGTTTTGTTCTGCGGTTTGGTTTCGTTCGGTTTGTCGTGGCCGCCTCCGGCATCTGGGGGGCCTCGCCAAACCCGCAAGAGTAACGGCGCAGGAGGAAAAGCTGGAGCGGGCGTGACCTCACCAGACAGGGTGGTCGGGCTAGGAGTTCTGGCTGGGCATTGCACAAGACAATACCATGGTATACAGACGCGAATTCTTGCCGACGCGCAGCTGAGATACGGAGACAGAGAGAGCGAGAGTGAGAGAGTGACAGAGAGCGAGATAGAGGCAGGCAGAGTGAGAGAGAGAGACAGAGGGCACGAACAAGCAGAAACACAGCCATACAGGGCCTTACAACAACCACTTTCAGCCGTGCCCGGTCATGCAAGATCACGCCCTGCAAAGCCGGCCCTGGTTTCCGTGAGGCGCCCGTGTTGAAACGCGACACGTTCCGTGTTCCAAGCGTCCGTGTTACACGTTGCGTGTTGGCTCGGCACGTGTCGGTCAACGCTTTGGCGAACGTCTCGCGCCAGGCCTGTGTTTTCAGTCTACGCTCTGAGCTCCGTGCCCACTTGCTACGTGTCGCGTGCTGCGCATCGGGACATCGGAAGGTCGGGACTTCAGGGGACCCCGAGGGAACAACACAGCACGTGGCATCGGATCTCTGGGGGCCCTGTCCCGCTGTGCGCTCGTGGCCAGGACTTCGAGGCGGGTGCAGTTGCGGCGGCGAGCGGCCTCTTGGAGGCCCAGCGAGGGCCAACAAGGTATCCAAGAGGTCAGAGTCTCGAAGTTCGATCCTCGGTCGTCGAAGTTCGATCCTCTACCCTCTGGGGGGAGGGGTCCGTCGGATTTGGGCTCAAAGGTCCTTTCGTTCGTGGCGGGGTCAGTAAACACGTCGTGCAAGATCAGCACGCGGCTGCCGCGCGCTTTGCGCCACATGATGAACGAACTATTTAACTTTTGAGCGGCACCATTACGAAGAACTCCCATAGCCCGTAACCAAGTCCGCATCCGCCCTGGGCCGTTCCGCGCGCCGTAGCTGCGGGCGCGGCAATGTGGCGCTTCGACCCGACGAGCGGCCAGACCGTCGGCAACAGCAGGCTGGACGGCGAGAGCGACGAGGATGGTGCCTTGGTTATTGCGAGAGCCGTGGTCACGCCCGGCCGCCCCTCGAGGTCCGACCCCCCTCTAGCTTCGAGGTTGCCGTTCCGAGGTTTGGGATGTGTTCCGCCTCTGTTTGGGCGTCCTGGCGCGCCCTCGTGGCCACGGCTGGATCCACCCCGACATGATGGCCAGCGCGCACGCCAAGTCTGGTCTGGGGTAGAGCTTTGACCCCAGACCTCCAGATCTGGCTGTCGCCAAAAGGATGCGACGGCCGTGTGTTCTAAGTTGTGCTGGCTCCTGGGGGGAGTCTCCCAGCCCCTGGGAAGCCAAGGAATTGCTCAGGATGACAGCCAGAGGGCGCAGAACCGTGTGGTGACGGACCGCGTGGTGACCTCGGAATCCCGAACATTTTCACAGCGCGGTCCGTCACCGCACGGTTTGGAGACATTGGAGTCCCCAGCCGCCCGAGACGTTCTCGGCAAATGACACGAGTCTCAAACCCGTGCGGTGGCCCAGAATCCCCACGGTCTCACCATGCGGTGTGGTCACCACACCGCCTGGAGGCATGCGAAAGAAGCCAGGAGGTGGTCTCGGGATCCATGGGCGCCCACGGAGACGGTGCAGAGGATGAACCGATTAGGAGGATCGAGGAGGGGGGCGGGATCGAGGAGGAGGAGGAGGAGGAGGAGGAGGAGGAGGAGGAGGAGGAGGAGCGAAGAGGGGAAGGAGGAGGAAAAGGAGGATCGAGGAGGGCGCCGACACGATCGAGGAGGAGGAGCATCGAGGTTTGTGGAAGTGTTTGGGCTCCTTCGGTGTCCCCAGAGACCTCTTTGGGGGCTGCTTCTGGAAGGACGGATCGACCCCGAAGGGCATGGAGTCAACCACCAGGGCTGTTGTGCCCCATCCTGCCTGGCAGGGATCGTGCGGTTTCGTCATCGGGGGCCCATCGGCGATGCATTTTCGATGCCGGGTCGTCGCTCCCACCAGCCGTGGGCCAGTCCCGACCCCACCCCAGTTCGGCTTCCTCCAGGGGGTGGCCACGTGCGCCGGAGATGCATAGCCGACTCCAGGCCGATGTTTCCCCACCGTTTGCCACGGCTGAGTTCTGATCCCCGGCTTTTGCACTCTTTTTGTTCGCAGTGTGGAGTCCCGGAGGTCTCGACCCCATCCACCGGACCGCTTTGTCACCTTGCTTCGTCTTGTTGACGGTCCTGGGGCCCAGCGAGGGCCCCCAGAGGCAGAACGAGGCAGGACGCCTTGACGTTGCAGTGCTTTCGGGACGCGTGGGGGTCTGGGCCCTTCTCTCGGGCTGCTGCCCGCGGATGGTCTGGGTCTGGAGGCCTCCTGGGCGGCCGACGCGACCACGGTCCGAGAGGCAGGACTGTCGCCACAGGGCCGAAGCGGCCGACCGGCGGCGGGGCTGCACCGGCAGGCCTCGCCAAGGCTCCCCAGGCATCCGACGTGTCGTGGCGCCTGCCTGCGTCGAAGGACATGTGGCATAAGCATTGAGAGCGTGTTTTAATCCCTGGGCGATAACGGGCGATACCTGGCGGGGGGGAGGGACGATATACCGCAGAGAGCCCCGGACCTCCGGCGCCCATGGACACAGTCGCGGCATGCGGCGTCCCCTGAGCCTACCCTTTTCTTTAGGGTTTCCACGTTTTCGATGGCTACTGGCGGTTTTCCAGCCGCGGGATGCCCTCCAGCAGCTGCGCCTCGCCGAGTGCGTTCCAGGTGTGCCCGGATCGTCCCGAACGGCGGGGGGCGGAGCTGGTAACGTTACGTTTCCTGCCGGCGCCGTCTGTGAATGTCGAGGCATAGCTAGAGACAACTCTCGGGGAAACGGAAGACTCGAATGCGCCGGCTTTCGGGTTTGCCGACGCTTTCTGACGGGCGCGTCCTGGATTTTGACAGTCCAATTTTCGTATAATCTTTGCGGCGGGAGTTCGCGTCGAAGTTCAGGTTGCTCGCGTCACTTTCATGACGGCCCCATCAGACCAATTCGAGTCCCCCGAACTCGAGTCTTACGTCTCCCCGATCTAGGAATGCCGACGGATAACCAAAGACAACTCGGAGGTCAGCACGAATCGTGGCGCTACCTTGAGGGGGAGGGAGGGGGACGGCCAGGACCAGTAACGGCCGCTGTCGCGGAGCATAAAAGACGCTCTCGATGGGCGCCCTCGAGGACAATAAGTTATTCGTGACTCGCGGTTCGGGTCCGATTCCTCCTCATCCTGCGCTTCTTCCCTGGGGATCGGCGCGAGAGCGCGAAATTATCCGCGCAGCGCGCAGCGCGAAGCACGAAGATAGGCGCCCTTGACTGTCTACAGACGTTCGGAACTCCGCGCGGATGTCTTGGATCTGCGCTGGACCCCCGCTCAGCCACGCGCTGAAGGGGGGTAGGCGAGGGGGGAAGGCTTCTTAGAAGGAGGTTTCCTCTTAGAAGGCGCGGGCTTGGTCTGTAGATGTAAAGGCCCGCCCGTTCTGAGAAGCAGCCGGCTTCTAAGAAAACTTCCCCCCTCCCCCTCCCCCCCTTGGGCGCGCCGCCAAGGTGCGGCGCCTCCGGCTTGCCGTGGCCCCTTCCGCGCTGCCAGGGAAGGGCGTCGCGCGCCGATGCAAGGAATCTGCGCGGACCTGCGGACATGTATTGTTGATACGGTGCGTGTTCCTCCTGATCATCTTGTCCAGGAGGGACAAAACACACAGGCACGATTGATCGTCGATGCCCATGAAAAGTACGGAACACATGGGAAATGACCCGGTAGGGTCTTTAGAAAAGGGCCCCCCCCCCCCTGGTTCTCTTTCCGGGGAATGAAACTCCGCGCCCCCCCGTCCTCCCCCCTCCCTCCCCCCGTCCTCCCCCCTCGCTCCCTCTCCCTCCCCCCCACTGAGGACCTCTCGCAAGCTACGAGGACTGAGGACCTCTCGCAAGCTACGAGGACTGAGGACCGCAAGCTACGAGGACTGAGGACCGCAAACTACGAGGACTGAGGACCGCAAACTACGAGTACTGAGGACCGCAAGCTACGAGGACTGAGGACCGCAAGCTACGAGGACTGAGGACGCTCCTGCCTGAGGTACGAGGGCCGCCCAGGAATTAGTTTCGCACTATTAGCCGCTTGGGTGTTGTACATCTTCCCTTGCTGCTCCTCCTCCTCCTCGCTATTGCCCCCCCGCTCACTACTGCCCCCCCCTCAGCCACGTGAGTCTCAAGCTCTTTGAGGCGTCAGCAACGAACTTCCTTTCAGGGCACTCCAACACAACCTGAGGCCTCGAGGTTTTTTTGAGCCCCTCCCAGACGGCAGACGTGCCGTCAGGCGTGAGCCCCCGCGAGGACCAGGATGGCGGGCGCGGTCTTGGACGAGCTCTTTGAGGACGGGCCGAACGGCCCCCCTGAGGCGACGACGACGACGGACGACGACAACGACGACGACGGCGGCGACGACGACGACGACGGCGCGGAGGCCGACGGTGGCGGCGAGATCGTTGAGGTCGACGCTGGTGGCGCGGAGGCCCAGGGCGGCGCTGCGACCGCCGAGCCCCGTGAGGCGACAACGACGACGACGCCAGCGACGACGACGGCGGCGACGACGACGGCGGCGACGACGACGGCGGCGACGACGACGACGACGCCAGCGACGACGACGGCGGCGACGACGACGACGACGGCGGCCCTGAGGCCAAACGCCCGAGGGTGAGCCGCCAGCTCGACCTCTTCGGGCGCCCCGTGCCTAAGAAGGCGAAGCGCGGTCCTGGGCGCCCGCCCTTGCCGAGGGCCCGGCCTGAGGACGCGCTGGTCGGCGGCGCCGAGGAGGTTCTGTCCGCGGCGAGGCTGCCCGTCGTGAGCCACAGCGCGCTGACCGCCCAGATGTTGCAGCGCGTGAGTGAACTGCAGAACCGTCTGAGCGGCGCTGATGGGCCCATTTCCATGACCACTACCATAAGTCGGAGGGGAAGGAGTAGGAGGAGGAGGAGGAGGAGGTGGAGGAGAGGCCTGCCCGCCGAAACGCCCCCGGCCATAGCGAAGTGGAGGGCCCCCTCCCCCCCCCCCCCTCCCGAGTTAGGTGGGGGACCCCCCCTCCTCCCCCCCCCCCCCCCCTCCCCCTCCTACTTATAGTGGCGGTGATGGAAAAGGGGCCCATCAGGTGCTGCGCCTGGGCCGGCCCTTCCCCTGGCGGACGCGGCGCAGGGCGGCGAGGCGGCGCCCCAGATGAGCGAGGAGCACAATCCCTACAAGACGCCTGAGAAGGAAAGCCAGGTTCTGGCGGCGAGCTCTCCGCCTGCTGGTGAGCATGGCGCGAGAGGCGGCAGGCCCCCGGATACGCCTCGAGTGCAGACTCCTGAGCTTCAGCGGTTGCTCGAGGCAAACATGCCTGCAGCAGCGAGGGGGTGCGTGGTAAGCAAGTGCCGTGAGTCTGGGCGTCGGGCGAAGCATTACATGTGTCTGCACATTGAGAAGGTCCTGAAAGACGCGCAAGATGAGGCTACTGTCCTGAGAGCGATCAAGGACTACACTGGCAGGAGCATGAGGTCGGTGAAGCACACCTGGAACAACCGTGACGTGTGGAAGGGGACCGTTGACAGGGCTGAGGTTGGAGCTGGGAGTCGCGGGTCGCTGATGAAGTCCGGCCACGTGCAGAAGAACAGGAAGACGATGGCCGCCACGGGGATGAGGGCCAAAGGAGGTGGTCGGAAAAATGAGCTCCTCGAGGTCTACGCAGGCGTGAAGGATTGGTTGGAGGCTGAGCGTTCGCACGGGCGCTTCGTAGATAAGGCTGACTTGTTCTTTGAGTTCCAGGCCAGGGCGGAGTCGCCCCTGCTAGCTTACGACGCCAGGGCGAGGGCGGGAGACAAACTGAGCGTCGAGGAGAAGAAAAAGAAGGCGGCCGCTGAGCGCGCACTCAAAGCCACGTCGTCTGAGAAACCCCAGTCCGCGAAGAACCGCACGTGCCGGTCGAATTGGATCATGAGATTCGCGGGGGCGAGGCTCTTGAAGCCTCGGCGCCTGGTGTCCCTGACGGCTGATGAGGAGAAGAGGCGCGCCCAGGCCACGCGGAGGGCCTTCGACGCGAAGATCCACGCCGCGAGCTTCGGAGACGAGGCAACCCTGAGCGAGAATGGGATTGGCAACCCGAAGCAGTTCTTGGAGAATCGCCATGAGTGCGTCCTGACGTTCAGCGACCAGGTGCCTTTCTACTGCAAGGCCAGGAGCACTGAGCAAGTCTACGCGGCGCATGAGGTGAAAGAACGCGGCGGGAGCAAGGCAAACAGCAAGAAGCCTGAGCTGATTGCCAAATCCGACCCTCGGACTCGAGGAGCGAGGCGTGAGGCCGCGCTGACGAACGCCTTTGGCGAGGGCGACGAGGAAGAATACAATGGACCCGGAAACGATGGTCAGACGCAGAAGCGCGGAGCTGAGCACAACGGAGCTGACAAGTTCCGAGTGACTCTTGAGCTCGTGCATGAGGTGCACCACTGGTTCAACGAGGGCGGCGTTGAGCCCGTCGGCAGGCAGGGCAAGGCTCTCCTGGCGCTGGCGGGCGGCTACGCGCATGAGGGCAACATTGACAACAACCATCGGTTCATTGAGACCGAGCACTTCATGGCGAACGGAAAACCTGCGACGCATGAGAAGGGGAAGTACACAGGCTTAATGTACCGCGTGATTGAGCTCAGGAAGACCCTGCCGCCTGAGCGCTGGGCTGAGTTGACCGAGAACCTGATCATCACGCAGCAACCATCAGGCTTCGTTGACAAGGTGATCATGAAGTGGCACCTGGAGCTTCAAGGCATGAGGCACCCGCGCAGCTTGAGCCAGAGAGACCTTTTCACAGGAGCTAACTGCGGTGAGAGCAGGCGGGAGGGCGTCGCGCAACACATCCCCAGGCCATCTGTCCCCTCCTCGATCTTATGTTTGACATCTTCGCGTGATAAAGTTCTGATCATAAAACTTGTGCTTGCAAGCTTTTGGGCCAGCTCCGCGGGATACACTCCGAGTAATGTCCGCCGCGCTGGGCATTGGCGGGCGGTTGTTTCTCTGGGAGAAGAACTCCTCGTGAGCTACCTACCCTACACGGACGAGGTTTTCCGAGCCTGTTCGCACAAGGCATGTTGTACAAGTTCGCACCTTCCCAATCGAATTGGACACCGGCCTTGGCAACGGCCTGCAGCGTATTGTCAATTATATCCATTCACCGTGATTGGCGGTTCCATATTCCAGCACATGCCATCGAGTACTGCCCATTCAGTTTTCCAACACATTGTCAAACATTTCCTTGCCGTGGCACTCGGCTGTGAAGAGTCAGCTCTTTCGATCTTCTCTGCCAGGGACGCCGAGGGCGTGGCGGAGGTGCTCATCAATACTTGTTTCGAGAGGGTCATTATCTTTCTCGTGGCAGGACAGCCTTGCTCTAAGTTTGTACGAGCTTGCCTGGATTGCGCGAGCATCATCGATCAATGGATGTTCGGCCCTTCCGTGCGGTATCGGC